AAAATTCTACTGTATCTGTTTCCTTTCATAGTATTTTCATATATTCCTAGTTGTAAACGAGCCTTTGATTAATAAAAAATTGTCAGTAGGGTATTCTGTGGAGATTTTATTAATTTTATATTGTTGAAATCATGAGTGAATTGAAGCTAGACCACCAAAGAAAACCTGGAAGCACTGGACGGTCATTTCATTCTATTATGAGACTCCTCAGCAGTGCGCATCCACGATCCCGCACTCGCGAGATTCCAACCCAGGACCTACCAGTCTCGCGCGCGAGCGCCTAACCATTACACCACTGATCAGGCATCCAACGGTGTTAATGTCTAACTTCAACCAATCCACTAAAATGAACAACCATTCATCAATGTCAACAGTGAATTGATATCTCCCAACAAACCTGGTTGAACTCCACTAGTTACTGCTTCTCACTAGAACTCCAGGAAATGCCTTATAGAACCAGTCACTTGTGAGTATATGTTCACTGTCAGAAGGGAGTTTTGTGAAGATTTTAGTAACTTTATATAGTTGAAATCATGAATACATTCATAAATATACATCTCTCTCCGTCAGGAATGAAGCCACATTTTCAACCACCAGCACATATTTGTTTGTTCTGAAACTCAATCCCTAAGTCTCGAGCAATAGCTCAAACTAATCACTATCTCTCATTTATTCATTAGTCTTTCACTGATATATCTGACTGTCCAAGTATATCAGTTACTCATTATTGGATGGAAAATTTTCTAGTTATGTAACGGTTTTAATTTAAGTGATAATTTCTAGTTTAATCTTCTCATCTAATCACACAAATGATAAATCTAAATTGTAAAAAGATATTTGTAATCACTCATGTAGACGTCTTGTATTTCGATTGAAGGTTGTTTTTTTTTTAAAAATGGAGCTTTACATTAATGGATCTATTATTAGTAGAGCGAACAAGAACATATCAGTGACAACCATTAGAACACTAAGGTGACTTTGATGGAGTTTTGTTCTCTGAGCTGGATCGTTTGAAAGTGGAGCTTTCATCGTCTTTCTAAACGACATCATCAGCACAACCTTCTATCCGAAGCTCTACGACCAAACCATCCAGCTCAGATAACAAAACTTCATCAAAATCATCCACCTGAGCTACAAATCTTCTCCAACACACTAAGGTGACATTTCTGTTAACCATTTTTAGTTATTTATTTCCAATGAAAAACAAAATCAGTTAAATTCCTTTTAAAGTTTTTTTCACTGGAAAAAATACTAATGTCATTTCTAAAAAAAACATGAAGAGGCTTGTATCAGTTATGTTATGTGACAATACAAAACTGTAACAAAAATTTACAAGATTTCAAATTGCCTGCACAACATTTTAAAGTCACTAAACTGCTTCACGAGGCAATTCCTAACTTGGAATCCGGAAGGGAAGAGGAAAAGAGGAAGGTCAAGGAACACAATACGCCGGGAAATAAAAGCAGATATGAAAAGGATGAATAACAACTGGAAAGAACTAGAAAGGATTGCCCAGAACAGGGTTGGATGGAGAATGTTGGTGTGCGGCCTATTCTCCTCCACGAGGGGTAACAGACGTAAGTAAATAATACAGAAGAGAATAATTTTTGGTTGTTTTTTTCGATTCTACCTTCTGAATATCAATCATTTAAAACAGTAAAACACATATCAACCATATTTTGCCTGAATTTGATATTTTTTTATGATCATCAACAGATCAATATTAGACTACCATTTAAAACTTGTAAACATCGGACAGTCGTTTCGTTCTAGTATGGGACTCCTAAATAATGCCTATTCATGACTCCGCATGCGACCTAGGACCTACTGTTCATGGCCTCTATAAATACTCAACTATCTCCTCAACCCTATGCCGAAAATTTGATATTATTTAGGAATAAGATTATTTGATTCGAAGATAGTAGATAATAACAACTATTTTGTCGACAATTCTCTCTCTGTCTATAACATTCTTCGACTGAATGTTCCACTATCCAAATTTGAATTTATGTGACTTTTTCATGACTATAATTTCTTGGTGAATGTCACAGTGCTTTAGCAATAAAGACAACTGTGATAATTTTTATCTGATATTGACGAAAATATAAGTAAATGAATAGAATCATTACAACAATCGAATACATTATAAACAAAGATGGACAGTGACTAGCAGTGGAATCCAGGAAGCGCGTTTCGTCAAGCAAGTAGCTATCAGGACTCGGTAGATGAGTGAATAACCCGGTGTCGTTTCAAGCCAAAGGTAATGATTTCGAGTCTCAGAGTGAACATCAACTCAGCGATGCAGGTGCATCCAGCTGACGAGTCCCAAATAAGACGAAACGCGCGTCCTTGATTTCACTTCTAGCCACTATCCATCTTTGTCTATAATGCTCGTGCACATAGCCAATAACAGACTGAACAATTGCAGTCCAAAACATCAATGAAAAAATTCAAATAAACAATACCAAGTGAAAAAAAATTCACTTAGTATTGTTTGTTTGAATCTTCCCATCGATGTAATAGGACTGCAACTGGTCAGTCTCTAATTGGCATATGTGCATACTGTGCGTATTACTCGATATAGCATTGATTCACAAGTATGATAAGCAAAGATGGATAGTGGCTAGCAATGGAATCCAGTTTGACGCGCGTTTCGTCCTATTTGGGACTCGTCACCCCATTCGCACAAGCAAGTGGCTATCAGGACTCAGTGGCCGAGTGGATAAAGCGATGCCGTTTGAAGCGAGGGTACTGGGTTCGAGTTCCAGAGTGAACATCAACTCTGAGATCCAGGTGCATCCAGCTGACTAGTCCTAAATCGGGTGAAACGCGCGTCCTGGATTCCTCTGTTAGCCACTATCCATCTTTGCTTATAATACCAAGTGAATTTGAATACTTTGTTACCTGCACCTACTAACTTAGCAGAGATCGAACTTAGGAGTTTTGAACCTCACAGTAGATCAGGCAGACTGATTCTTCAATTTTTGAAGTGTCAAATTTTAATACTGTTCCATACATCCTGATTTCCAAATTTTATTCTTTACTATCGCTGATAATATTAGTCCACTTCTTCTATAGTTTAAACCTTGTAAAATTTTGTTCATTTGTCGATATGAATTTTTCAGTTTCTACCTTGTGAATAAATAACTAACCCATGGTTTCAACTTTATAACTATAGTAACTTTTCCTAGATAATGATGTAAAAATACGAGTAAACATTTGTTTCGATATATAATTATTAATAATTGAATTAATGAGCCAATTAAATCTAGACCACCATGGAAAACCTGGAAGCACTGAATAGCCGTTTAGTCCTAGTATGGGACGACTCAATAGTGCGCATCTACCATCTCGCTCGCGGGATTCGAACCAAGGACCTATCAACCTCTCGTAAACACTTAGTCTCTAGACCACTGAGCTGGCATCCATCCAACTCTAACCAATTCACGAAATTGCGCTACTGTCCATCACTCTCTTCAGTAAGCTACTATCGCACAACAGACCCGGCTGAACTCCACTGGTCACGTCTTCTCATTAGAACTTCATGAAATATCTCTTAGATGCACACTGCTGAAGAGTCCCATACTAGGACGAATCGGCCGTCCTGTGTTTCCAGGTTTTCCATGTTGGTCTAGCTTTAATTGACTTGTGAATTCAACTATTAAATTACTGAAATCTCTACAAACCCCCCCTTCTGATAATATAATTGTTATACTTATCTCCCACTGGGTATTAAGTTTGATTCCAATTACTTCTATCAAATATATCATACAAAAAATAAGCTTAATTCCTTTATTCTTAATGTGGGAAAATTAACTAATTTCCTTATTATCTTTTTTTATTTTTTTAGAAAAAACACATCATGTAATCCATGCCAAATAGATCAATAAAATTTAATTGATTTTTGGGTTGACTTCTATTTTAGGAAATATGGTTCAGAACACAGAAACACACAAAAATATACACATCTATATACTAACAAATACCGATGATTATATGAATTTAGTAGTTCATATGTGTAAGGGTTCAAATGCAAAAGCTGTATCGTAGGAGAGTTAACATCAATAGAAAAATGTGCTGCTGTGGGCGGATTTTGTTTTTGTTTATGAAAGATTGATTCTCCTATAGAACAATTTAACCAATTATTTTGTTTTAAACAATCTAAATAATATGCACATATTGATGAGTGGCATTTCAACCAATAAAATTCAAGCATTTAGGAAACTATCAAACTTTTTTATGTAAATTGGTAAACTATGTATATTTGAAACCATGGGCACAATCTTGCTTGTTTGTATGTGTGTGTATGTGTGTGTGTATGTTTATATGTAAACTAAAGTCTGTATGTATCTTAGTGGTTACAAGAAAAATATCCCTAAAAGGGTGGATAGACAATAATACCGATTATTATAAAATAGGATGATTATGTTATCATTGATTAGTAAACTCGGTAAAAATCTTTGTTGAATAGTACGCATTCTTATTTTTTAAACAAAATTCAAAATTTCTTTTTATGATCTAAAACTTTCGAAGAATCCTATTCAACAATATTTCTTTGAAGAACATCAAAGAATAGTGGAAAACAAGATAATAATAATACCAACATTACATATAAGTATACATATACACCCGTGAACATTTCATTACATAACATACACCCATCAACTATCAATTGATATTGATTTAGCGTACTGTTAGTTATTTTGAGTAGCCGAGTGTTGTTTTTTTAATACTGAATATTGCCCCCCCCCGTCATTCTTTCTTCCCTAAGTATCTTCTACAGCATATGTATATGTATATATAAATGTATATATATGTTGGTATCTATTTAAATTGAACTATACATCATTTAACGTTTTTTCTGACTCAAATTCAATTTGAGCAATAATATGTACAACAGAATACATCAAGTTTATTTTCGTTGAATCAAATTATAACTAGAAGCAGTAGTTACAATCATTTCTTTCATTAAATAATTAGAAAAGTAATAAGAAGAAATTATGTCAGATAAAGCAAGTTCATGTGATTCATCGGATTTCTCTGATGGTTATCCAACAACAACAACAATTAGTACAGTTGCATTACAAGCTGGTAATGCACGTATTGTACTTGCAGTATTACGTGTAAGTTCTTTATTTGTTATTCATATTAATTGTATTGGTATTGTTTTAAATATATAATATAATATATAGTACATAGTAGACATATATATTTAACAGAGTATAGGTCAAATATAATTTCTTTTAATTACTCTTAACTAGTTTGAAACTTTAGCAAATTAAAGGAATATTTGGCTGTATGAGATATTTCCTGGAATTTTAGTGAGAAGTAGTAACCAGTGGAGTTCAACCAGGTATGTTGGGAGATATTAACTCACTGATGACATTGGTGAATGGTTGCTCAACTTCGTAGATTGGTTGAAGTTAGACATTAACACCGTTGGATATCGACTCAATGGTCTATCGGTTAAGTGCTCTGACGCGAGACTAATAGGTCCTGGGTTCGGATCTCGCGAGTGCGGAATCATGAATGTGCACTGCTGAGGAGTCCAACAATAGGAAGAAACGGCCGTCCAGTGCTTCCAGATTTTCGATGGTGGTCTAGCTTCAATTGACTCATGATCTCAACTCTATAGAATATTTCACAGTAGAACTATTGAAGTCACAAATGACATAGGTTAAGAAATTTTTCTGACTATGAAGTGAATAGTTTATTATTATTATTATCAAGGACTTTATTCAATATTATATCTTTGGTATAATATAGAATTCTAAGCAGAAAATATTTCGACAAGTCTTTTTCTTCTTATCTCTTGATCGATCCTGATGATAAATATTGAATGATCGCCAGGTGGATGAGAGCAGTTCAAGAATTGACATCTGAATAATGTTTATTCTTTTCATTGAGTATTGCCAACCACTACAATGTTGCCTTCTGTATTTTTTTTGTAAGTTGTACAGTGAAAGGTCGTAAACGTTTCATAGACGCGCTGAAATAGTTTATACGATTAATAGACATAATGATGTGCTAAAACAAACAGGAACAGATAACTTGTTGAAATATCCAGATGGCAGGAATAGGCCGCCCAGATATTCAAGCAGGCCTCCTTAAAAGGCGTATATAAATATTGTGTTCGTTTTATAATTTGAGAGTTGTAATTTCCACTTTTAAAGGAACTGTGTTGTGCGTTGGACCGAAAAATGGATGTTAAGCATTTATATATTAGAACAAATAGGAACAAAATGTAATACATATAACTGACAAGTTTGTAGAGGGGTAGAAGATGTGTACCTGACTTTTTACGTTATTACATGGAACTTAAATCTATGAAGATAGTTGTAAATCCAATGAAGAGTATGGTTTATATGGTTTATATTTTTGCTAAAATTATGCTATACAATCATCATGACTAGTCTTTTAATTAAGAATAATAAACAATGGTGTGACTATAATTTAAGGACGACTTTTGAGCGAGGTGAAAGCGGCTTTGAAAATGTCCACCCATTTACCAGGGCTAAATGAGAGTTATAAATCTATGTGAAGAATAAGGATTATGATCTACAGTTGATGAATGAAGTTAGGAATTAGATTTAGAGTTTTCATCACGGATCGATATCAGTTGAAATGCCAGAATGCCCTATAACTCATTGTATGAATGAATTTCGCCCCAAAATCTAGGACCTGTCATCTTAAATCTGATTGGTTCGTCTGTTACTTATAGTGTCACCTGAACAATTAATCGTGAACAGTAAGAATGTCATTATATGTTCAATTAGTTTAATGTTCAAACTCTTGAGGGTGTTTTTTTGACAACTTTTTATTACAGTTACATTTGTTTGCAATATATAGAGAATTATAAAAACTACTTGAAGGCAAAGGAATATAAATTTATTATTGATTAATTGAGATCAAGAATCGATCGATGTTAGACCACCATTAAAAACCTGGAATTAGTAGACAACTGATTCGTGGATGCTCACTCTGAAGAGTCCCATATTCGGACGAAACGATCATCCAATGCTTCCAGATTTTGAATGGTGGTCTAACATCGATCGATTCATGATCTCAATTAAAACTCAACAACCTCCACAACCCTATACTGATAATATTATGTTTGTTTGGTTTCATTTTTAGTGAAAGTTGAAAGTTATAAGGTCATAAATTTCAGTTATGTCTTTAGAATTGTTTGTTCAATGTCATGGAATATAATGATTTAACAACATCAAGTGTTCACTTAAATCATGTTTACCTAATCTATTAAACCATATCGAATTGAGATAATCTAGTTTTTTAGTTAAATTGAATTCCGGTTTCATTTCAGTCATTTGACAAGACTTAAGATATCCAAAACCTGATGTCAATTATAAAGTAAAACAAGAGGTTAGGGAAAATATAGTTCATGATTTAAGTAAGATTTCCAATAGTTTCTTATCAACTAACCCCAAACTCAGATAGTATGTTTTGTAGCATAGATAACAACAAAACTCAGATAGAATCTTATATATACATAATGTAATCGTTACAGAAACACTTAAAGGATAGTGTTGAGGACCGATACTGATGCCGCTTTTTTGACGATTTTCAATGAAATACTCATTCAGCCATAGAGTATCACTAACCCTTTTCAGTTTTCAAAATAACCTTCATGTAATTAAACCCAATAATTTTCTATAATGTTGTTCATTTCTTTAAACTCCTATAAGTAAGAAAAAGATATCCTGTTATCACAAATGTCTTTATACAGTTTATGGTCGAAATTTATTGTCATGATTGAACGCGTGAGTCAATAGAAGCTAGACCATCATGGAAAACCTGGAAGCACTGGATGACCGTTTCGTCCTATTGTGTGACTCCTCGGCAGTGCGCATCCATGACCTTGCCTGGCGAGATTTGAACTCAGGACCTACCAGTCTTGAGCCAGAGCACTTAACCGGGACACTCACGCGAGACTGCTAGGTCCTGAGTTCGAATCTCGCGAGGCAAGGTCGTGGATGCGCACTGCTGAGGAGTCACACAATAGGACGAAACGGCCGTTCAGTGCTTCCGGGTTTTCACTGGTGGTCTAGTAAAAGAATCCATTGATAATAATTGTGATTATTCATTAGTCATCATACATCCACTTCAATATCTAAGGAATTGAACATAATGTTAGATCATGTTGTTCATACTATTATCATTAGTATGGACATTTGTGGAGGTTGAAGTATTTTCACAGTTGAAACCATGAGTCATTCTAGGCCAGAACACCATTACAAACCTGGAAGCACTGGACTCAAATCGACTTGTAATTTCAACTCTGAAAATACTATAATCACCACAAATCCCATTGCTGATTACATATATGTCCTCGCTAGTGACTACCTTCAAGATGTAACTACTGGAGTTCTAATGAGAAGCTGTGATCAGTGGAGTTCAATCTATATCGGGTGTGAGACAGATATCTACCTCAGGACAGGGATGAACTGTTGAGTACGATCATAGATTGATCAAAGTTAGAAATTAATTCCGTTTGGAACCGGCTCTATGGTTTAGAGGCCGGGCGTTAGCGTGTGAGGCCGAGGGCATTGGGTTCAAATACCGCCCGCGTGACCGTGAATGAGCACTGCTAAGGAGTTCTGTAAAGGAAACGGCCGTCTAGCGCCTTCAGGTTTTGAATAGTAGTCTAGCTTCTTAAATATTACATTTTTCAAAACAGAACAGCAAAAATAACACCAGTTTATTACAATTTTAGCCTGTCTTCTTGTACTAAGAATAGTGGTAAACGTTTCCGTAAGACCTAGGTCAGAATATTTATGTACTGCGAAAGAAAATCATTCAATGAAATATTATTACTAATTTATTTCATTGTTTTTGTTTCTGTTAAAGTGTGGAAGTTGGATACGTGTTCGAATTCAACGTATGGAGCCAGATCTTTATGATATTGGTGGAAATGCTGATGAAGCTCGTTCATTACATGAAATACATCAACATTTATGTACTAAATTAGCGGTAAGTTATTATATATATATATATATATATATATATATATATATATATATATATATATATATATATCCTGAACCCAGATGAGTTATTGGTGTGGAAGAGTAGACAGTCTTTTTAAAACTGACGGCTTATTTCTAATGTGATAAATGTTGATAACTGATTTGTTGTTATTAATTCACTTTTGTATTGGTTATTTTAATTTCCTCATTAATGTTTAGGAGTATAATTGGTCAGTCTGTGTTATGACGTGTAAGTTGAAACGCTTTATTCCGATCCTAGCTATTCGGATAACCCCAGGCTAGCACTACTCAGTGACTTGAAAGACCAGAGAGAAGACATGAGTATCAGAGAAGCACTTTACTACAAGGTTCATTCATGTACAGAAAAAACAGGGGTATTATAGTAATTAAAAAGACCTTGAGATTCCATAGTAGCAATATGTTTAACAGCCAATCAGGACCTCATTATTTTAGTAGCATAGCTTCTAACTGATCGCTGATTGGTTGGGCTCTTTATGAGCCTCTCTGGAGGCTCTGATAGAGTTTATTGTAAGCCGACCTAACACCTCCCCTTTTTTGAAGATTCGAAGATTAGATTTTGATTTTTTTTTAAAAATTATCTGTAAGTTGAAATTCTCCAACACATTTCCTTCCCCACGAAATAATGTTGGATCTTCATATCTCCAATTTACAATTAATATGACTTTATTTAGAACACATTTCTCGTATTGAATGCAGAATCCATTAGAAATGAATAGATGATGATGAACGATATTTGATTTTAGGTCATCGGAATTTGGCTTTTCTGAAACATCTCCATCAAATTCATTAAGATTTTCACTGGAGGATATTTGATAGCTAGGGGAATCATCATCTAATGAAATTGCCTTAGGTTTTTGATCATCATTTGATTCAACCGACTTAGTTTCCTCATCTTCATAAGAATTTTCATCAAAATCATGTGCACCATTCCAGCTTTCTTGGCCGATATCATGTAAGCCGTAGTTTAATTCTGACTGAAGTTTGTCTTCAGAAATCGGCGGATTGAGTGGTGCTTCATTAGACTCTGGGCTCAGGGCTTTGACTACGGAACCTTGTTTTTCTTTGACATCTGATACTGTCACAGTTTCATGTGCATTTAGCAAGATATTGTCTTGCTCTGAACCGGCCAACTTACCCATTTTGCCTTTTCCATCAGATATAAAGGGAATTAAACCCTCAACTTGGCGTTCTTCTGGGACGGCCATTTTAGCACCATTATTGAAAAACTTGTCCAAGACTGTTTCAATTAGTTGCTGCTGGAAGGCTAGCATCTGTTGTTGCTGGTGCTCTAAGATTATCAGCGCCTGTTCTAAAGGAATCGTCATTTTTTTCTGCTGATAATAATAATAACTCCGAAAATTCACCGGCAATTATTACAGCTTGTTTGATTCCCAAATCACGTCTCGGTTGCTGCATTTCTTTTTTGCCAGAATCCTCGACGACAATTGTTGTATTTTTTTTGTACCGAAAACCCCGACAACAATTGTTTTTTTTATTGCCGAAATCCCATCCCCGTCGCCACTGTTATGACGTGTAAGTTGAAACGCTTTATTCCGATCCTAGCTATTCGGATAACCCCAGGCTAGCACTACTCAGTGACTTGAAAGACCAGAGAGAAGACATGAGTATCAGAGAAGCACTTTACTACAAGGTTCATTCATGTACAGAAAAAACAGGGGTATTATAGTAATTAAAAAGACCTTGAGATTCCATAGTAGCAATATGTTTAACAGCCAATCAGGACCTCATTATTTTAGTAGCATAGCTTCTAACTGATCGCTGATTGGTTGGGCTCTTTATGAGTCTCTCTGGAGGCTCTGATAGAGTTCATTGTAAGCCGACCTAACAGTCTGTTATTGACATATGTGCATCCCGTTTGGATTCGCTCGATATCGCCTTATATCATCTCTGCTAATAATGCAAAAGCTATTGTCTATCTGAATTCAGTAGCTAAGTGGATAATGTGGTGGCGTTTGAAGTAAACAATATTGGGTTCAAGTCTCGAAGTAAGCATCAATACATCTATGATGCCGATATGTCAATCTGACGAGTCCCACATAGGACGAAACGCGCGTTCTGGATTCTGCTATTAGTGACAACTCATCTCTACATATAATTATTTATTATTAGTTGTGATTTAGACTCCATGATATATCTTGAGCATTTGAATGCGGTCAAGTGAACCATGAGAATTTCTGAAAATCATAATTAACAGTGATATAATGTATTCATGTTTATATAAGTCACAGGAGTCGGACTTGAAAGAAAAGTACACATCGAACTAGTTAGGGATTGCTACTATTCTCAAGCCTGGGTAAAGGAGGAGGATTAGGTATAGGGTTAGTAGCTCCATCCCGTAGGAAACTAACTCACCATAAAAACAGAAGCCTAATATTTCGGACATTAATCACCGATTTCTTTTAACATCAAATTTGTTGATAATGTCAAATAAAGGCATAATTAAATTAGTTATTGATTATTACTATAAAACCTAATCTGATCTATCATAATGAGATTAATAAGACATCCATGATATCAATCTGCACAACTCTATGCTGATTATGAAGACAATTTTGCATATGAATAAAAATAGAATCTATCAATATGTACACTATGCATTCGATATTCTATCATATTTAATTAATGTTTTGAATGTTTCTTTATAACATACGAATGAAGCAATACATGATTCATTCTATCATAAACAATAACATAATCTTAGTTTCCAGGAAAGGTGATCTTAGTGTTAGTAGTAGTTATAATAGTAGTATTTGTAGTAAATTTTCTTTGGTTGGTACCAGTTAACTATTCATTCAATTGTTTTCATGTATATAATACACTGCTAGCCACTATCCATCTCTGCTTACCATGCTTGTGAATTAAGGCTATATCGAGGCAATACGCACAGTATGCCAATTAGAGGCTGACCAGTTGCAGTCCTAAAAATCATCAATGGGAAGATTCAAACAAGTATTACTAAGTGAATACAACAATATAGTCAGGACAAAAATGAAAATGGTTTATATTCTGCCAATCATAACAATAACTGTTTTCTTCCAAAATTCTAATTATTGGATAAAACAAAAAAATTGTAACGATGTATTGATTAAAAGAAGTCGATTAAGATTTTTCCAAGGGAAATACCTGAAATTTGTGCTGATGATATTGTTCAGAAGAACGATGAAAGCTCCACGACTTAACTATCCAGCTCAGAGAGCAAAACTTCATCTAAATACTCGATAGTTTTTCTTGTGATATTTATTTATTTATTTAAACACATAAATATTGGTACAAAAGAGCACCAGATATATATGCGCCACACAAATCTTATTTCATTTGTGTGAGGGCTGTGATACTGCTCAGGTGCCCAAACTGAAGCAGGTGATTTTCCTAAGGCGACACACCAGGAGCCTTTGACCTAAAGGTCTGATCCACAAGGCAGTGGAGCATCGTGAGGAGATACAGACCATTGGTTGCCGTTGACCAACGATTGATTCATACGCCATTTGTTCCCTCAGTATACTGAACCTATGTACATCATTGGTTTGGAATGAGGGTTTTCCAACTTCCCTAGGTAGATTTTCCATATCCACCGACCCGGTTAAAGCGCCGGACATTCGCTTTTCGTCCACTCAATTTTGTAAACAACACCCCTTAACGAGAAGGCAGTGAGTAGGACTTGCCTGTCAGAGGCTTTATACGCGTGTCCATGTGAGAGCATTTGGAGAGGGAGAGCGGACACTCCCCACTCTCAGACGTACCAAGGCATTTGGGGGCTACTGTGATAGTCAATTTATGAATCATATGATGTTATTGTTGAACATTGTACAATGATTTCACACTGAGCAATATTAGTCATTTATTAAATAATACTAGTTAATTGATTACTTTATTTATTAATATTAACAAAATAAGTTGTTACCATGAACCAATATCATCCGTTAAAAAGCTTTTAAAACTACTAAAAAACTTCATAAATTTTCATTCTATTGATAAACTTGTGCTCATTGGAGAATAACTTCAAAATGGATTTCTTGGAGTTCTAGTGAGAAGTCGTGACCAGTGAAGTGCGATCCGTGTTGTATGGCGTAAGTTATCCATCGAAGACAATGAATCAAAGGTTGTGCAAGATCATGAGTCGATTTAAGTTAGACATTAACACCACTGGATGTCAACTCAGTGGTTTACAGGCTAAGCATTCGCTCATAAAACCGAAGGTCTTGAGTTGAAGTTGCGCTTGTGGGATCGTGGATACTCATTGTTTAGGATTCTCACAAAACAGCCATTCAGTCCTTCCAGGCTTCATATCTCCAACGTCATCCAATTTCCCATACGGAGCAACATTCATGGAATATGTTATACTAGAAACAAATAGTTTTTATTAGTCAGTCATCAGAAATATCTACTAATGAAAAAATTAAATCAATCACTCAGCTTGATCTGATTTTCTCTGAAAGCTAAAAACCAGGAAAACTAGAAAATACTTACATCTTTATATTTAATATTAAACTAAATATTCCGAAATATCTTACTTGACTAATCATTATAGATAGTCATGATAGGAATTGGGAGATTAGATTATATTCTGCCGATCAAGTTTCAATGTGACAACTAGTCTTAATGACTCGACATTGTATGTACCATGTCAAAATTTTAACAGGCTGAAGGTAGTCAGTACCTTGAGAACGAGTGCCAAATAGCGTAAAATCTGGGTTAAAGTTTCCTATCGCAAATCATCCAACAGGTCGATAGGCTAACAAAACGGGTAAGTTGACAATGTTAGAATTTTCATAGTTGAAAGCGTTAGTCAATTGAAGCTAGACCACCATCGAAAACCTGGAAACACAGGACGGCTGTTTCGTCCTATTATGGGACTCCTCAGCAGTGCGCATCCACGATCCCGCACTCGCGAGATCCGAACCCAGGACCTATCAGACTCGCGTCAGAGCACTTAACCACTAGACCACTGAGCCGGTATCCAACGGTGTTAATGTCTAACTTCAACCAATCCACTAAAATGAGCAACCATTCACCAATGTCATCAGTGAGTTGATATCTCCCAACAAACCTGGTTAAACTCCACTAGTTACTGCTTCTCACTAGAACTCCTGAATGTACTTCTCGAAGTCAGTCACTAGTGAGCATATGATTATATTGATCGTCCGAAGGGGTTTTGTGGAGATTTAGTATTTTCATAGTTGAAAGCGTGAGTCAATTGAAGCTAGACCACCATGGAAAACCTGGAAGTACTTTTATTTCATTCCATTAATTTGCAATGTCTATATGAGTATTGTGTTTTTTTTCATAGTCGAAACAAGAACAAATATCTGAACTTTTATCAAAAGCTGATGATTTGGTTACACAACAAACATCAGACAATCAAAGTCAAGTATATGCAGCAATGGCTGAATCATTAAATCGTGCTTGGCGTGATTTACTTGGTATATTAACTCAACGTGGAAGATTATTAGATTTAGCCATGGAATGTTTTAACTCAGCTGAAAATGTAATTCAACAAGCTGAAAGAGTTGAACACTTATGTATCACTGGTAGTTGGGGTCATGACGTTAGTTCAGTTCGTCAATTAATTGAAGTAAGTTGATAAATTATCAATGTTCTTGCTTTTTTCGATTTGTAGTAGTATTGTTGTGAACAAGAACACCGGTGTGGTCAACCAACTGTATTTTAATACAATATTACATAATATCTTGATACAATCTGAGAATCATACAGTAAACACGTCATTTTCAGAATATTCATCAATTGTCTCAGACTTTGTTGTTACTTTGTATTCAAACCAATCATGATCTGTTCACTTTCTCTTTGATTTCCGTCAGCTTCTGCCTCCAGGCATTCCACTTTTGACTGGTGATACATACTGCTTATATATGTCGATATCAGTAGGACACACTACAGTATTAGTTGTAGTAACAGCAATACAACAAGAAAATTAAAATTATTTCTCTTAACAATGAATGTCCCTTTTCATGAGATGAAGGTTTATACAAATTACTTGGGATAAATTAACATCAGTCGATATGAGAAAATATGAGTTAACAGAAGTAGATATGCAGTAAGATCACTCTCTTGAACTGCAAGTTATACTACTAACTGGAATATTATAGTAAGTAAAAGAAAATGGAACTAAATCAAAATTAAGTGGACACTTTTTTCCATAACTTTTGATTGTAAAGAAAGAGCATAAAGTAATATATGTTAGGCCGGTGTTTCGTCATCCACTTTATTGGTATTGACATTTTTCGATATTAGAGGGGGGTTTGGGGGAGATTTTAGTAATTTTATTTAGTTGAGATCATGAATCAATTGAAGCTAGACTACCATGAAAAACCTGGAAGCACTGGATGGCCGTTTCGTCCTATTGTGGGTCGGTTGAAATTAGACATTAAAAGAGTAGAATGCCAGTTCAGTGGTCTAATGGTTAAACGCTTGCGTGCAAGACTGGTAGGTTCTGGATTCAAATCTCGTCAGGCGAGGTCGTGGATGCGCACTGCTGAGGAGTCCTACAATAGGAATAAACGGCCGTTCAGTGTCTCCGGGTTTTCCATGGTGGTCTAGCTTCAATTGACTCATGCTTTCAAAACTATCAAAATATTTATAATTATCTTCCGAAATGAGTCAATAATTAATTTATGTTTCGAAATAGGGGTCTAACTTATTGACAAAGCTAGTTTAATAGAATTGAAATCATCAAATTGATGTACTGTATCATTAAAGATATGTATATTTCTAATCTATAAAGATTGCTATGGCCAGTTAGTACGATGAGATCAAGTGGTATTAAAATGACTTATTACTTTGAACAATAACAGTTATGTGGTCAACATTGCTCCCTTCTATGTTCATTAAACATATAGTATATATACATACTGATATCAGATGAAAAAAACAACCAACTATTGTTAACCAGGAAGAAATGGTGGTCACTCTTTACTAGTTTGAAAATCCACAATAGCTCTTATCCACATATCCAAATAGAATCAAGTGGAGCATTATTCATTCACTGTGTAAGAATTAAAATGGTTATGATTACGTAATTGTTATATAATTGAAATTACAACATTAACACTTTTATTTACTCTCTGGTTTTCAATGCCTTACAACCTGGTATCAATGACGAAACTATGATTTATGGGCGAACCAATGAGATTTAAAATAACAGATCTTGGATTTTGGCACGAAATTCATTCACTCATTTGGTTAAATCCCATTTTGGCTTTATAACTGATGTCAGTTCATAATGAAAACAATAAATCTGATTCTTAAGCCTAACATTCAACTGTAAATGCTAATCTTAGTTTCTCGAACTAATATATAACCGTGGTATGTAGGCAGAAAAGAAGAAGGCCGAATAACACACTGCGCCGAGAATTGGAAGTAGACATGAAAAGGGTAAATAGCAATTAGAAAGAACTACAATTGATTGCTCAAAACAGGGTTGGATAGCGAATGGTGGTGGGCGATTAATGCTCCTTCACGAGGGTTAACAGTTTACAAAACATTTATCTGATCTATTATTGGGCTACTGATATTTTTTTAGACTTAAAAAAAACGTTTATTCAAATAATTTGCATAATAAACCTTATTTTACTACTTACCCCAAGAATATAAACAAATTATGGTTATTCTTCTATTTTAACAACAAAAAAGAATCCGTACATAACTTTACCTTAGAAAAGAAAACAGGGTAGCTACGATTGTGTACCCTGTTACTATGTATATATGTGTGCATGTGTTAACAGTACTGTTCAATTACCTTTTTTGACTATAAATAAAAACATTATTTTACAACCAGAACCATGATGATTCACAATCTCTTTTTGAAACATTAATGTTGACACTTTTTTTTTTCTTCATGAGTGATTCATTTGTTTTCGTTGGAAAAGGGATATTTTAAAGAGATGATTTTCCAATATGATTTAATTTTTAAACCTGAATACCGAAATTTCTCTTTATTTCCTAACCCTGGTAAATCTGAAGAATGAACTGGTAATGATTTATATCATAGAGATCTAAAGAAAGATGATGAAATATATCTATGATAACTATCATGCATAAAGATCCACTTATTTACTTACTTGCTTACTTACGCCTGTTACCCTAAATGGAGAATAGGCCATCGCCCAGTGATCAATCAATTGTGATTACATCTCAGTCCTACAGAAGGTCAGTCGCTGCCCGAGTAGCTCAATGGTAGTTGAGTGACACGAGACCGCATCCGTCAGGGAGCACCAGTTCCTTTAAGATTACAGGTACACCTTGCTGACGAGTGCCAAGTAGCATGAAACCCGAGTCCAGGGTTTCCTGTTGACCATCTACAACCACCATCTTATTCTCTAACCCACTCTGTCCTCGATCTTCCTTTATAGTTCTATCCGATTTTCGTTCACTCTTCTCATGTCTGTCTCCATTTCTAGAAGTAATGTGTTCTCTGGTCTTCCTCTACTCCTTTGCCCATACAGGATTCCATGTGAGGGCTTAGCACATGACGCAGTTGGGTGATTTTTTTAATGTGTGTCCTATTCACTTCCAGTGATTCTTCCTGATTTCTTCCTCCACTGGATAGAATCTGGTTTCTTCTCTCCTACAGTAGGTTGTTTCTGATAGTGTCTGGCCAACGGATACGAAGTATTTTGCGTAGACAACTGTTAACAAACACCTGTATTTTCTGGATGATGGCTTTCGTAGTTCTCCAGGTTTCCACCTCATACATTAGAATTGTCTTGACATTTGTATTAAAAATTCCAACTTTCATTTTGGTTGACAGTTGTTTTGAGTCCTAGATGTTCTAATTCCAAGGACTTTCAGATTGTATTTTTACTTTTGTGCAGCAATTGGGATGACTCTCTCGGTCTCCCATTTTGTACGAACATTTCATGTACCTAAATTAATGGTTGCTCTGGTTGTCAGAAGGGGCATCTGTTTCGTGACTTTCGAAGAAACTTGGCTTTCATCATGAGCCGACATAACTCTTCTAAACTAAGGCCTTCTAACTCCTAGGGCAGAGTTTAAATGATATGAATTATTTTTTTCTGGTTAGCGTTCTTTTAGCTAATTGGTTTTCTACGGGATAGGGTCTCTAACCCCATACTCAACCCTACTCCTTTTTCTGGGCTTGGGACCTGCAAGAGCCATAGTGGGGCTCCAGATGGAGTTATAAAGATCCACTGAACAGCGAAAAATATGATCTTTAATCACAGCTAAGTCTTCTCCAGAGGGAAACAAACCTAAAAACACCAATATTCAAATATCTTAAAAAATATTAAAGTCACAAGCGAGTTAATGCTTTGACTTGAAGACCAACAGATTTGAATAATTGTTTCATTTTAATGCGATAAACGATGATTCCTTACTCTCATGACTAACAGGATCTAAAACAGAACCTTCAGTGTTTCTATTTAAGCTAATTCCATACCATAATGAAAATAATCTGTAAATGGAACGAAGAAGTACAGATAGGGAAATCTATGATATATTTTATGAACATTTAACTAAATGAATTAGTTTAAGTTCAAAAGAATTTAAAATCTATACTAATATCGATGATACCGTCCAACACTCTATTGTATATATGTGATGTATGTTACTGATATCGACTGATATAATTAGTATGTATCATCAACAGAAAGTGAAATGTCTGGCAGCAGAAGGTTAAGAAGTTCTAAGGAAAGAGAGTGAGAACGGGGAATGATTGATTTGGAAACGAAAGAACAATGAAGTCTGAGAAGATTCATTGACATTTTCCAAAAAGAACAGTCAAGTTTGAGATAATTGACTGACAGTTTACAAATCGAGTATTCACTGTGGGGTTCTCAGGTTCTATTAGGATGTTCTGTAATACTACATTCAATGGCATTCGATTGTATCTACTTGAGTTCTAGTTCATTACACACACACACTTCTATGTTGTACATGACAAAACAATAAAATTTTTTTGTTATTTAAATTTGTTACCGATAATAGGAACATGAAAATCTAAAACGTACTGGTTTACTAGAACCATCTCATAATCTCCTAAATTCAGCTAATAATTTATTAGAATTACTTGGTCGTATGTCAAGTCAAACTGGTAGTTCAACATCCACATCAAATACTGGTCCCAGACATGCAAGTATTGAAGCACGTGACCATGTAGCTGCAATTACATCAAAAGCTGGAATGACTAGAAAACATGCAGAAGATGTTTGGAATCGCCGTGACCATCTACTTCAATTAAGATTAACTGTTGTTTCTAGGGAAGCAGAACTGGAACGTATCGTCGATTGGTTTGTCAAGGTAATTAGTTTTAATTAATCCTCTAAGATTTAATATACTTCTAAAAGTATGCACTTTCAACATGGATTCACTACTTATATCGATAAAGATGACTGTAAGAATGTATTGTATAATGGACATTGTTGTTTTAAATATTCACTTTCAGTAATAATGTTTATTACATGATTATTTATTTTCAAAGTTGAAACCATGAGTCAATTGAAGCTAGACCATCATGGAAAACCTGGAAGCACTGGATGGCCATTTCGTCCTAGTATGAGGCACCTCAGCAGTGCGCATCCACGATCCCGCACTCGCTAGATTCGAACCCAGGACCTACCGGTCTCGCGCCTGAGCACTTAACCGATAGACCACTGAGTCGGCACCCAACGGTGTTAATGTCCAACTTCGACTGGTCCACGAAGTTTGAGCAACCGTTCACCCATTGTCTTCAGTGAGTTGTTATCTCACAACAGACGTGGTTGAACTCCACTGGTCACTGCTTCCCACTAGAACTCCAGGACATTTATCTTGAAGTCAGTCACTAGTGAGCATATGAGGACGAAACGGCCGTCCAGTGCTTCCAGGTTTTTCATAATGGTCTAGCTTCAATTGACTCATAGTTTCAACTTTGAAAATACTGAAATCTCCACAAAACCCCTTTCTGATTTTTTATCTAATGAGTATATTCTTATTTAAGGAAACGGTAGCTATAAATGAAAGCATACATCAATTCACACATATAAGTTAATTTGGCTTTCATAATAATCTGTAAAATATGTTAGTCAGCAATAACATAGAGTATAGTTACCTATAACAATGTACAAATAGGAGTTTATAACAAATAAAGAGATAAGCAAAGATGGACAGTGGCTAGCAGTGGAATCCAAGACGCATATTTCGTCCTATTTGGGACTCGTCATCTGGATTTACTTGCATCTCAGAGTTGATATTCACTCTGATACTCGAACCCAGTACCTTTCACTTCAAAAGCCGTCACATTATCCACTCAGCTACTGAGTCCTGATAGCCACTTGCTTGTGAAATTGCAATCCCAAAAATCAATGGGAAGATTCAAACAAACTATACCAAGTGAATTCAAATGATGAAATAGATTGCTTTTTAGATAGTTTACAATAGTTTACAATCAATTTTTTTTTTATTTTTTCTATTCTAGATTGGTGAACCTCGTTTTTCAGATATACAAGTTGGAACAAGTTTATCTGAATGTCAAACTAATTTAGATAGATTAATGATACTAACAGATGAAGTACGTGATTTACAAAATGCACATTCACATTTAACTCAAAATCTTCATCAAGCAACAACTACTGATTCTTGGCGTAGGAAACGTGAAAAAAGTGTATCTGAAATATTACGTGTACAAGAACAAGAATTAGGCATTCATTCTACATCATTAAGTATGGATATAGATAATGAAAATGAATTGAAAACTATTCATGATTCTGATACATGGCGTGTTACACATGGTGCTTATTCTGAATTAATTACACGATTAAGAACTACAGAATCTTATATTTGGGAATTTTTAGATCGAATTGAAAATCGTAGACGTCAATTACATACTAGTGTGATTTATTATAGTGAAATCAATGTGGTAAGTCTCAAATGATTAGTTCTATTCTTATTATTATTCAGTCAGTTAATTTTATGGACGTTTGCTCATTTTTAAAGGTCTTCATACTTTTGGCTACAAGCAAGAATTGCTGATCACATTTCAGACCTATCCATAAAGCTACAGTACAAATGTATGGAGTTACATTATCCAACTCCATTGAAATCGTAATACATCTTGATAATCATATCATCTTGTTGTTTATGATTCATTGTCATTCATAGATTTTCTTCATTAGATAGATGACGGGTTCAAATAAGGAATTTCGAATACTTACTTCGATACATCCTACTAATGAGTATAGATTTATTAGAAAAGACATAGAATAAAGTAGAATTTAATATGTCTTTAGATATTATATGATGAAAGGATTCGGTCTTTAGGCATTACTTCTGAGTGATACAGGATACTCTGAAAATACTTTCACTCTAACTAAGGTTTGTCCTCTGAACCTAAAGTAATGAATGAAAGCTCCTTTCAGGTGACAAATTTGAATTCAAAAGATAAATAATTCATGTCTTAAATTCATTTAGAATTGTTTGTTAGAATCTTCCCATCGATGTGTTAAGACTGCAACTGGTCAGTCTCTAATTAGCATATGTGCATACTGCGCGTATTGCCTCGATATATATGACGAAACGCGTGTCAAACTGGATTTCACTGCTAGCCACTATCCATCTCTGCTTACCATGCTTGCGAATTAAGACTATATCGAGGCAATACGCACAGTATGCACATATGCCAATAAGAAACTGACTAGTTGCAGTCTAAACACATCGATGGAAAGATTCAAACAAACACTACTAAATGAATTTAAACTTCACCCCATTGCACAAGCAACTGGCTATCAGGACTCAGTGGCCGAGTGGATAACGCAATGGCGTTTGAAGCTAAAGTTACTGGGTTCGAGTCCCAGAGTGAACATCAACTCTGAGATGCCGGTACATCCAACTGACAAGTCCCAAATAGGACGAAACGCGCGTCAAACTGGATTCCACTGTTAGCCACTCTCCATCTCTGCTTAATTCATGTCTTACCTTTTAACTTCTCACTCCACAACTTTTTTCCCTCCAGTTACTTAGCCAAATCTATCAACTTGAATCCGATATGAAAAGGACACGTGATCTTCAGCAAACTGGATTAGAAGAAATATATTATAATAAATTAACTGATATAGAAGTACGTGTACCTGGATTAAAACAAACAATGAATGAGTTAAGAACAAGTTATAATGAAAAACTTAGAACATCTAATTTAAGATCACAACTTGGTGTTACAACACAATCTTATCTTGATGAATTGGATCTCACTTCAACAGCAGCAGCTTCAGTTACTGGGAAAATGCGTGAAGTAGACGAAGGAATTACTAGATGCCGAGATCTGTTGAATCAACATAAAGAATTAACTATCAAAATACAAAAACGTGAAGAAACAGAATTGCGGTTAAATGAAGTAGGTTATGAAACTTATTTCTCTTTAGCTGGTTACTTTTTTACTGTTGCGACTACAATTGAACTAATTGCAGTGAGATGATGATTTGCTAACCCCATATTTATATAATAATTCTTTAACTACTTATAAGTAGTACAAAAGCAAATACAATGCATTAGTTCAATATCACAAAACCAACTTGTCATTTGAATTTTTTTCTGTCCATTTTTGTTTTAGCTGAGTATGTGGTTAAGTCAAAGGATTCATCGTTCACTCGTGGAGTATGGAAGGTATGGCACAACAGTTGAACAAGTAGCTGATTTTGAAGACGTACATCGTCGTCTTCAACGTGAGCTGCAATCTAGAGAACCTGATTTAGAGGAATTAAGAATTGCAATTGGTCGACTATCTCCACCTGCTGGTAGATCAAGCGCACAGGTAATCTCCAAGTCATTATCAGTCTAGCAATTTTCATTGACAGTGGCTTTATTTGTTTAGAAGTGATTACGAATTGATAGTATATTGCAGTTGCTTAAATAAAGTCTATTAAATAATACCATATTCATTTTAGTGATTGAAACGTAATGAGTGTGAAATAGTCCTATCAGCAAAGTTTAACAGAAAATCCAATTATCTGACATTTTTTCAGCTATCATAAATTCTCATGAGAATTTTGATTCGCTCTCTGTACATTACACCAGAGGCATATACTGTCACAAAAAATATTTGTAATGTTCATAGGATTTTAAGATGATATCATGACGATGATGATGATGATGATGTGTATCCTATCCACTTCCAGTGCTTCTTCCTGATTTCTTCCTCCACTGGATAGAATCTGGTTTGCTCTCTCCCACAGTAGGTTGTTGCTGATAGTGTCTGGCCAACGGATACGAAGTATTTTGCGTAGACAACTGTTGACAAACACCTGTATTTTCTGGATGATGGCTTTCGTAGTTCTCCAAGTTTCCGCCCCTATACAGTAGAACTTTTATGACATTTGTATTGAAAATTCTGACTTTGATGTTAGTTGACAATTGTTTTGAGTTCCAGATGTTCTTCAATTATAGATATGCCGCTCTTGCTTTGCCGATCCTCGCTCTCACATCTTCATCAGATCCACCTTGTTCATCAATGATACTGCCCAGATATGTGAAGCTTTTTACATTCTACAAAGGTTCTCCGTCTAGCATATCTTTATAATTGACCTTATTCATATAATTATTGAACATCGATAACTTTTACATGGCTTTCGCACTATGACCTGATTGGTATCACCAACCAGTTTGTCATTTTAGATTGAAAACTGTATCGCAATAAAATCCTATTCTTTCAAACAAAATACTAGCTAAAAACACTGTTGAAAGAAGGGATCTTTTTCAAAGAATTTATTATCAGGCTGTACAATCGCACTAGTTCCGTGGGGAAATGTGAACAAGAAATAACCAAGATGATGTAATAGAAAGATCATAATACTAGATTACATAATACGAATAATAACAATAGACTTAATAAGTTAGTAACGAATTATAACATGAATGTAGTAAGATAATTAAAATGTTTTTCACAAGGGAGTTTGTGGAGATTTTAGTAATTTTATGTAGTTAAGATCATAAGTCCTGGGTTCCAATCCCTCTAGGCGGGATCGTAGATGTCCACTGCTGAGGATTCCCACAATGGGACGAAACGGCCGTCCAGTGCTTCCTGGTTTACCATGGTGTTCTAGCTTCAATTGACTCATAATCTTAAGTATATAAAATGTTTTTGTTACAATGATTAAAGGTCATCAAAGACCATAGAGGTGTAAAAAATAAAGTGACATAATAAGCAATTATGAATAAAATAATGAGAATATGAGACATGAGTAAAGGGAGAAATGCAGTAATAATAATAATAGTCAGAGGGGAGTTTTGTGGAGATTTTTAGTTTTTTTGTGTTGAAATTATCAGTCAATTGGAGCTAAACCACCATGTTCTAGAGGTTAAGCACTCACGCGCGAGACTGATAGGTCCCGGGTTCGAATCTCGCGAGGCGCGGTCGTGGATGCGCACTGGTGATGAGTCCCACAATAGAACGAAACGGCCATCTACGGCTTCCGTGTCTTCCATGGTGGTCTAGCTTCAAATGACTCATGATTTCAACTATATAATAATAATAAATTAAGGCGAAGATAAGGATAACGATAGGATATACTCCTTTGTATGCATAGTTCTGGCTTGAGTTAATGGATGGTAAGATCTTTGGCTATTTTTTGGAGTTGAATACAAAGAAATCTCAGTAGATTTGGATGAATCCTATATGCGACATTAAAATCAAACTGTAGATCATTGGAATGATGACAATCCATTAGATGTTCAAATATGATACTTCTAACTGCTTTCTTCTCACTCTTGTACAACTACACTAAGACATATTCACGTGTCCGTGTTGAATTTTCATATATATGTATGATTGTACAACTTGATAGGAAATTCGTTGAAAAGAAATCTCTTCTCTGAACCTTGTTTGTTTTTAATGTTTAAATGAAAAATACCAGTTGATAAATGTTTGATTTTCCTCTATATCAACCGGTCTTTTCTTTTCTGATTTCCTTTCTACAGGATCGTTTAAATGAACTATCATCTTGTTGGACACGTTATAGGCAAATTATTCAATTACGATTAGAATTAGCTAATCAATTCTCTTCTTTATTAAAAGGTATCCGTGAAAATGATGTTCATTTTAATTCGATCATTCAAAAAATGAATGAAGCTGATAGGATAACAACTAGTTCAGATTTTCATCCAAGTTGGATCCAAGTTAGTACTGGTGATAAACAACAAATAGCTGAACGTATTCGACGTGAATTAAATATAACTACAAGTAGTTTAGAAGAAGAACAAATAGTCATTCGTCAATTTATTAATCATGTAAGTATGACAAAGTAAGACGTTTTACGAATAAATATACAAAATAATGTTGACTAAATCATTTAACCAGAAATTTACTACATCATTTAAGAACAGAAATAGTATATTTCAAATTTGATTACAAATTCAGTTACTTACCTACGCCTGTTGCCCATCGTGGAAGAGCATAGGCCACACGCCAGCATTGTCCATCCAACCCTATCTTGCGCAATCCTTTCCAGTTCATTCAAGTTGTTATTCATCCTTTCCATATCTGCTTCTATTTCGCGGCATAATTTGTTATTTTGTCTTCCGCTTTTCCTCTTTCCTCCCGGATTCCAAGTTAGGGATCGCCTCGTGATGCAGTTTGGTGATTTCCTCAATGTATGTCCGATCAACTTCCTATGTCTCTTCCTAATTTTCTTTTCAGATTGAAGCTGGTTTATCTTCTCCCACAGTAAGCTGTTGCTGATGGTATCCGCCCAATCGATTTTGAGAATCTTGTTTAGACAACTGTTTATAAATACTTATACATTCTTGACGATGGATGTAGTAGTTCTCCACGTTTTAGCTTCATACAGTAGGACTATCTTGACGTTCGAATTGAAGATTCTCACGTTAATCAGAAAAAAAAATATTCACTAAACAATAGCTACAAATTATTACTGAAAAAAATCATTTAGATTAAACTAGCGTTTTTCCTTACTTTTGTAGTGTCTTTCCCAAGAAATAAATAAGATGATATGGAATCCACATGAAATATTCTTAGGCGTCTTTTAGTAAAAAATGCATTCAGACAGAAGGGTAAACGCAGCAACGCATATAATAATACATTTTAGCACCAAGATGTGAGTACATTATTGGGTCCTGAGCTTGCGAGATTGGGGACGTCCACTACTGAGGAACCTCATACTGGGAAGAAACAGCCGTCTAATGCTTCCAGGTTTCCAGCGGTGTTTTGGCTTAGATGAACTCATGAAGTCAACTGTTAAAATTATTAACATGTTATAAGTACATAATATATACCTAGAAAGAATCTTCAAATAATGATGCCATATGACAGTGAACAGTCTAGTAATATTTTTATGAAACATTCATAACGAATACTTATTCCTTTGATCTTCTTCTTATATAGATTACTCAAAGAGCTGATCAAGATCTACAAATAAATGAAACCATTCATTTTTGTCAAGTTCAAATAGAATTAAACAATAAACGTTTAAATCAATTACGTGATTCATGGAATAATTGTCAACAATTATGGGATCAATATAAACTTGCTCAAGAACAATGGAATATATTTACACAAACAGCTCATCGTGTAAGTTATGTTATATTATTGAAGGAATATCATTATCAGAAGGGGTTTTGTGGAGATTTCAGTATTTTCATAGCTGAAATCATGAGTCAATTGAAGCTAGACCACCATGAAAAACCTGGAAGCACTGGACGGCCGTTTTGTCCTATTATGAGACTCCTCAGCAGTGCGCATCCACGTTCCCTCACTCGCGAGATTCGAACCCAGGACCTACCAGTCTTAACCGATAGACCACTGAGCTGGCGCAAGATCAGTAGGCCCTGGGTTCGAATTTCGCGAGTGAGGGAACGTGGATGAACACTGCTGAGGAGTCCCATAATAGGACAAAACGGCCGTCCAGTGCTTCCAGGTTTTTCATGGTGGTCTAGCTTCAATTGACTCATGATTTCAACCATGAATATCATTATATGATATCAGCTGAAGAACTGTTGTTTAATACTTTATAGTAGTGTCTATGAAGAACCGGACTCAGAAGATCAGAGTCTCATAACGTAAAGTTTACTTTAAGGCTAGTGATTCAGAATTAAATAGTTGACTAAAACCTCAGAAGTTCATTTCAAAGTTAGTCATAAATCAGCATACAAAATAACCTTCCAGAGATTTCTGACGGTTACTAGTATTGTAAAGAATATAAGCGTTTAATAGAAAATATCTTCAACTCAAATCTATTCCTACTAACCAAGGAATTAAATAACAACCAATCTTTGTTTTCTGTTTCATTATTTATCATAACTGTCTAAGTATAATCAACTATATAGACATTGTTTCTATTATATTTTTGTGATTATACAGTTGGATGAATTAATAACATCATCACTTTCACGTATGTCCAGAACACCATTACCAAGTCAACCACATGAACTTTCAGAAGTTTTAAGGGTTCATCATAATGAACGCAATGAAATTGATCATTTAACATTAAATTTAAAAACAGTATCTCAACAATTAGGTTCTATGATTGGTGCACAACCAGATGATCATGATCATAATGGTCAAAGTTGGAGATTTATTGAAGTACCAAATAAATTCACTACTGGTCTACCATTATCAACTATAGGAAAACGTTTACGTTCAGAAATGTGTTTACAATTAGCTGGTTTAGAAACAAGATGGAAAGCATGGGATAAAGCATGGACATCAAGAAGTATACAATTGGAACGACGTTCTACACATTTTGGACAGTTAACAACTATTGAGGTAAAATTATTTTGTCTTAAGTTGTTTATTTAGTGTTTTTATTGGCAAACTTTCAAATAGTATTCTAATCATTCACGTCACTTAATAACGTATGTACATATATATCTTGGACAGAAGGAACATGAAGAGATTCAGAGAATTTTTAGAAGCTTGGTACTCAGGTCAATTGGCAGTCAACAAACACATTGAAATCGATCCAGTCTATCAACCAGTCAGAAAAATCATGGACAAATATAAGATGAAGACTCAAACCGATGGTAGATACAATCAAAATAATGAAGTAGACAATGACAAGTTCAAGGTAAACAATAACCAATCAAGGCCAGGGTTAACAGGACAATCTGTGGGTCATATGTGAAGAAATTTGAATACTTCACTCCCATCCTGAAGTTTGTACTAACGATGTTGTTCAGAAGAACGGTGAAAGCTTCCCGAATAAACCATACAGCTCCTAGAACAAAATGCCACATAATTCATCCACCTGAACTACAAATCTTCAGTATATTATAATAATTTAAGTAATTTTGTAAGCTAATACTTTCGCAAACGTAACCATGTTTCGAATCAATGATAAAATTAACTTATGATAATAGAAGTAGAGTTCTGTTGTTATCATTCAAGTGTGAAATAGTAAAAACTCGCCCATAAACGATTCGTCAACATGGTTACCATCATAAGCCAGGGTTGTTTTACTTTTAAGACCGGTTGAAATATACTCATACATGAGTATTGAAAGCCATTGTAGTTTATGGTCTATCCATTATTTGTCACTGAAAACTGTTATCTTTACAAATATATATAAAAAATAAGATGTTTTAAAGACAAAAAAAGTATTTTCCTCTTTAAACTATGCGTTATCACCAGTATGTCAGTGACAACCTATTACCTGATACAAAGTGTTTACCGTTTGATGTATCAGAATTTATGGAAACGATCTCTACAACCTCTTACTGATAATTATCATGTGCTCAATAGTGAAAAGCCTCAAGAGGTGATTCTCAGAGTTTTAGTCGGAAGTTGTGACCAGTGGAGTTCAATCCGTGTCTGGTGTGAGGCGGTAACCCAACGAAGACAATCAAAGATGATCGTTTAATATCGTGGATTGCTTGGAGTTAAACAATAATAACGTTGGATGTCGTCTCAGCGATCTACAGGTTAAGGGTTCGTTCACGAAACTGAAGGTTCCGGGTTCGATTTGTCTTATTCTTCGATTATTATTGTGTAATTAAAGCTTTGAGGAATTCATCACATTCCTTGTGAACATCAAGGCCATTGATAGGGTAGACACTTAAATCTTCACTATCCAATAATTCCACATTACAATAAAACAACTAGTTAACATTTCCTGGTCAATAATTATTCTCCAACAGACGTCACTTAACCATGAGAATGCCAGCTTAGTTGTCTATAGGTTAAGACTTCGTGCAAGAAACCGAAGTTTCTGGATTTCAGTTGAGTGTGTGGGATCATGGATGTGCACCACTTTAAAGTCTCGTATGAAGACGAAACAGTCGTCTCCCATACATTGTTTCCAGGTTTTCAATGGTAGTCTAGCTTTGATCGACTCTTGAGTGCAATTGTGAAAATATTTTTAAAACATTTTTCATTTATATATTTTGTGCATTTCATTCAGTAGTATAGTAGTACCAAAACCCTCTTCCATAAAATAATCTATTTTATCAATGATTGTATAACAAAAAAAAATTAAATTCCATATGTTATATATATTATACATTTTCAAGGAGATAGAAGCAGAAATTGTTTCAGCTGAAAGAAAATTACAACAGATTATGGGAATGGTCTCATTAACTACACCATTATCACAAGTTCAAATGGCTGATAAAGATCTTAGTCAAATTGAAGCAACAATACCAGTAAGTATATATGAATAGATAATAAATAATATTTTGTTAAATTCACCCCGTTGCACAAGCAAGTAGCTACCAGGACTCAGTAGCTGAGTGGATAACGCAATGGCTTTGGAAGAGAAAGCTACTGGATTCGAGTCCCAGAGTGAACACCAACTCTGGTGTTTCTAACTCTGAGATGCATGTACATCCACCTGACGAGTCCCAAATAGAACGAAACGCGCGTCCTGGATTCCACTGCTAGCCAATTTCCGTCTTTTATTATTTTTCTTTGCTTACTTCAGACAGAAATGAATTCACTTATCTTAAAGAGAAATCTTAGTTATTATCTGAATACTTACTTACTTACGCCTGTTACCCCCAATGGAGAATAGGCCACCGAACAGCATTCTTCAAACCACTCTGTCCTTTACCTTTCTTTATAGCTCTATCCAATTTTTGTTCACTCTTCTCATGTCTGTCTCCATTTCTAGAAGTAATGTGTTCTCTGGTCTTCCTCTCCTCCTTTGCCCATGCAGGATTCCATGTGAGGGCTTAGCACATGACGCAGTTGGGTGATTTTTTTAATGTGTGTCCTATTCACTTCCAGTGATTCTTCCTGATTTCTTCCTCCACTGGATAAAATCTGGTTTGTTCTGTCCCACAGTAGGTTGTTGCTGATAGTGTCTGGCCAACGGATCTGAAGTATTTTGCGTAGACAACTGTTAATAAACACATGTATCTTCTGGATGATGACTTTCTCAGTTCTCCAGGTTTCCGACCCATACAGTAGAACAAGTTATTATCTTACAAATTTCACTCATTACAGTTGTTTCACTGACATATACCAATAAGATTACATCTGTAATAATAAGAATATTAATTATTCTTTAGAAATTCATATTTGTATGACATATCTAACTGATCAAATGAGTTTCACAATGAAAATGTTAAATATTTTATTACATTTATCATGCTAATAAGTTAAATGCTTTATTATCAGAAAGGGGTTTTGTGGAGATTTTTAGTGATTTTATAGTTGAAATCATGAGTCAATTGAAGGTAGAACACCATGAAAAACCTGGAATCATTGGACGGCCGTTTCATCCTAGTATGGAACTCCTCAGCAGTGAGCACCCACAATCCCGCCTCGCGAGATGCCGGCTTAGTAGTCTAGAAGTTAAGCGCTCACGCGTGAGACTGATAGGTCCTGGGTTCAAATCTCGGGAGGCGGGATGGTGGATGCACACTGCTGAGGAGTTCCATACTAAAACGAAACGGCCGTCCAGTGCTTCCAGGTTTGTCATGGTGGTCTACCTTCAATTTACTCATGAATTCAACTATAAATGCTTTATTATTACTCACATAATATTTTTAAACTATATTACGCATAGATCTTGTATTTCCCTTGAAGTCATCATCACTTACTATTTTTTATCGAAATGATTCAACGATTACCAATTTTGATATGCATTTAATTAATACTAGAATAAGTCATACATATGTAGATCCAATGTAACAGTTTCTAACATATATTAGTATATGGTTTTCACACTGTGAGTGACTTGAAGTCATTGTATACTGTAGTTATTAAAGGCTAGCTATAAATCAGTTATATCAAGTCATGTTCGATATGAGGTTTGTTAACCATAACACAAAGATAGGGTAGTATTCATCATTGGTGTAGCTGAAGATGTTAGAACACTATCCATCTCTGCTTAAAATGCTTGTGAATTAAGGCTATATCGTGGCAATACGCACAGTATGCACATATGCCAATTAGAGACTGACCAGTTGCAGTCCTAACACATCGATGGGAAGATTCAAACAAACAATACTAAATGAATTTAAACTTCACCCCATCGCACAAGCAAGTGGCTGTCAGAACTCGGTAGCTGAGTGGATAACGCGATGGCGTTTGAAGTGAAAGGTACTGGGTTTGAGTCCCAGAGTGTACGTCAACTCTGAGATGCCGGTACATCCGTCTGACAAGTCCCAAATAAGACGAAATGCGCTTACTGGATTCCACTGCTAGCCACTATCCATCTCTGCTTAAAATGATATAATTATCTGCATATTTTTTTAATCTATTTTCTATTTACTCTACTTACTCAGGTTTTGCATAGTCGAATACGTTCTAGTGCACCTGATATGAAATTACAATTAATTCATGGTGAACCATCACCAACAGAATATACTGGAACAAATATTGATTTGCTGAATGTTTCAAAACGTCATGAACAACTTGAAATACGTTTAACAACATTTACAGAAGAAACTGTACGATGTCGTACAGAAATTAATTTAACTTTACGTTTGTTAAATGCCGTAGATACAGCACAGAAAGCTTTATCACAAATAACATTTAATTTAAATCGTGTTAAAAATCAATTACCAGAGATTACTTCAGAGAATCGTTATCAAATTGAAGAGATACGTTTTGATATTTCAGAACAAATTAATCGAGGACGTGTATTAGCTGATGCACATATACCAATCTTGGAACAATTATCTATTGAATATCCACGTCGTAAGTTTAGTCAGTTTCTTCTTTTTTTGTTAATGAAAGTAAATCAGTTTGATTATCCATGAATATGTGTTTATTTAAAGGATAATTCTCCGTTCTAAGTTACATTCTTTAATAATTATTATTTATTTAAACACATGAATATTGGTACAAGAAAGCACCAGAGATATATGCGCCGCACAAATCTCATTCGATTTGTGTGAGTGCTGTGATACTACACAGGTGCCCAAACTGAAGCAGGTGGCATTCGTAAGGGGGCCACACCCGCAGCCTTTGACCTAAAGGTCTGATCCACAAGGCAGTGGAGCATCGTGAGGAGATGAAGTTCCATGGTAGTCGGTGATCATACGCCATTTGTTCCCTCAGTATACTGAACCTATGTACATCATTGGTTTGGAATGAGGGTTTTCCAGCTCCCCTAGGTAGATTCTCCATATCCACGACCTGGTTAAAGCGCCGGACATTCTCTTTTTGTCATCTCAATTCCGTAAACAACACCCCTTAACGAGAAGGCAGTGAGTAGGACTTCACTGGCAGAGGCTATATACGCGTGTCCATGTGAGAGCATTTGGAGAGGGAGAGTGAACTCTCCCCGCTCTCAGCCGTACCAAGGCATTTGGAGGCACATTCTTTAAAGAATAACTGAATATCAGGATGAATATGGTAACTGTTTAATTCTAATCAAGGAATAATCAGGCAAAAAAACATACAGAAATGACACACTATGTAAAAACAAATAGAGTAAATGAGGTTGAAGATCAATAAAGTTACATTGGAGTGGTACTGTGGTGAAAGAGAATACAAGTAGAGACAAGTGAATGTATTTGAATACAAAATTACAGAACAACTTAGTAAAATCCGAGAACTATACTGTAAATACTTCATTTGAAAGGTATCAATCAATTGTCTAAGACTTTACTGTTCCTTCTTTTCCACAACAATCATTGTCTGATCTATTTCTCTTCCCTTCGATCTTCTTAACCTTCTGCCATCAGATATTTCACTTTTGATTGATGATACATACTAGTTATTGTTGTTCATTACCTACCGCATTACTTTACTACCTCACTTGATAATCCTATTCTGATTCTCTCCTCTCTTTTTTTTTAAAACTTTTTCTATAAGCTATGGAAGCAAAACAATTTATACAACCTATTGTAAATGAATTTCAATCATCTATTAATAATTTAACTCAATTATCCGATGAAATTCGTGTAAGAACAGAACAATGTATTAATTTACAACGATTACAACCTACCCATATATATGATGATCAAATTAAAGCAACAACAGTTACAATGCCAACAAAAGCAAAACCACCAATAATTATTAAACCATTAGAAAATATAACTATAGAAGAAGGTAAAAAGATTATTATGGAGACAATATTTGATTCTGGTCTTCCACCAGGTAAGTATGCATTTCGAAATGATCTAATTATTTTTGGAAGCACTGGTTGGTCGTTTCGTCCTATTGCGGGACTCCTCAGCAGTGCGCATCCATGATACCGCCTCGCGAGATTCGAACTCAGGACCTACCAGTTGCCCCTCTTCTGGTAATGATCAACATGTGTTTACTAATGAATGACTTCAATATGGATTTCCCGGAGTTCTAGTAAGAAACTGTGATTAGTGAATTTCAACTGGGTCTGTTGTGAGATAGTATCTCACTAAAGGCAATGGAAGATGGTCGCGCAATTTTGTGGATTGATTGAAGCTAGACAATAACACCGTTGGATGACGCTCAGTGGTCTATAGGCCAGGCATTCGCGCTCGAGACCGACAGGTCCTGAGTTCTAATCCCGCAAGTGGTGTCGTAAGTGTGCAATGCTGAGGACTTAACGGCAGTCCATTGTTTCCAAGTCTTCATGGTAGTGCAGCTTTAATTGACTCAGCAGTTCATCCACAAAACCCCCTTCTGATAACCATTTTTGTTAACATTTTATCTAAAGCAAAAATAACAATCTTATATTTCTGACGTTTTGTAACTTAATGTTAACCACTACTTTGAAGAAGTGGCTCACCTTAAGTGACAAAACGTCAGAAATACAATGTTTTTACTCATTGGAATATAACAGAAAATATATATTTATCATTATCTTTCTACTCAATGCTCAATTTATTTGAAACTATCAAGTAAAACCTTAGCATTGATACCTATAATATATAACAATCGTTACAGAAACATATGAATTTATTTATGTCATGTTTTCATCTCAACTATTTATAATCTGATAACAGTAGAAATAATGAATCAAAGCATAATATATTTTGAGTTCGAACCTTGCAAGGCGAAATCGTGGATGCGCACTGCTGAGGAGTCCACAATAAGACGAAACAGCCGACCAGTGCTTCCAGGTTTTCCTTGGTGGTCTAGCTTCAATTGACTCATAATTTCAACATACTTTGTATTTGAAATATTTTGAATAAAGTTGGTTATAATATCATGATTTATATGAATACAGTATCAAAACTGTGAATAAATTAAAATAAATTTTCAGACTTTAGTTTGACATCATGAATGGATCAATGTTAGACAACCATTTAAAACCTGGAAACACTGTACGGCCGACAGCTGTTTCATCCTATTATGAAACCCTCCAGCAGTGCACATCCATAATCCCACACACCCAACTCAAACTTAGAACCTTCAGTTTTGCGCGCAATGTCAACTTGTAGACAACTGAGCCGACATTCTCATCGTTAAATGACGTCTGCTGGAGAATAATTATTGACCAGGAAATGTTAGCTAGCTATTTCATTATGATGTAGAATTATTGGATAGTGAGGATTGAAGTGTCTGCCCCATCAACGGCCTTGATGTTCGCAAGGAATGTGATGAAATCCTCAAAGCTTTAATTATACATTAATAATCTTAGAAGAAGAAAGATTAAGGAAGAGAATTAATTCAGTCTGTTGAATTCTAAGCCGGTATTCCGAGTGTTTGTTTCCCACATTCAATGGAAATAATTTTGTACCTACCTGTAAAAAGGAATAAACAACTGAGTAGATAATATGCGTTACATATCCCATTCTTTATTTCTTCTTTTATCAAATGGTATACTATTAAGGTTATGAATGGCTGTAAAGCTTCAATTCAGATTTCAATATGAGCCATATATAAGCATGAAAGATCATTAGCTTGGTAATAAATCCTTAGATGATTTACTTTTTTAAATGGATAAGAGTGTCATAGCTATTCTGTTATAACTAGTGAGTGAGTGGATGTCTAGTTTATGTATGACTTGATAAGACCGCCTATCAGAGAACAGCGAATTGTCGATTGGGAAAGTGACACACGAAAACCATACGAGTAGTCTAGAGTGCGTGTCAGCCCTGCTATCTGCCTAGCCCAGATAGTTAAGACCAGAATACCAATAATATTCTCCGCAATATGAATCATTATTCTCAAACATACTTGGTTTATATACCAATCAAACAGACCACATCGTATCATAAAATAGAAAATAACATTTGTACAAGATTTAGCTAAATGTGGCTGTGAATGAGGGAGGCAGTAATCAATAGACTGGGGATAACTCGGGAATGGTGAATGGTACAATAATAGTTCATAGATCAAAATAAAGCTTATAATAAGAGGAACATGAATATGAATAGTTAAGTTACTTAGCAATTATACAATAGGAAATATACATGTCACATTGGTCCATAAATAGTCCTCAATAGTTACCATTCACAATTCTATTCGGGATACAACATAATCATTTGATGAATGATTAAAACTTAAATCTTTAGTAGGATAAAGAAAAAAACTTCATTCATAATTGAATCATTGTTTAAATTCTTCAATTTTTTTTATAGATGCCAACCCTTATGATACTAATCAATTACAAGTAACTTGGTACAAAGATGGAATACCTGTAGTTACACCAGACTATGAAGTCAATTTAACCGAGAATACAGCAAGTTTAAAAATATCTGAAACTTTAAATGAAGATAATGCTATATTCACATGTTATATCAGTACACCATATGGTAAAGCTGAGACAAAGTGTACATTAACAATAATAGATACAAAAAGTCCAATACCGATCAATGAAAGTTTAGTTCAACCTACTAGGAATGTAAAAGAACAAAAGCCTATTCGTGAACTTGGTGATCCACCTGAATTTATCAAGTAAGATCATTTATTTTTCATTTTATTTAACTGGAAGTATAACAGTTAAGGTGTCATTTTCCAGCTTATAATACATAATAACATTGTTTCTCACATACTATGGTATATGTTCCAAATAATACATGTAATGAACAGGTCGACAGGTAAGGATCTAATGCTAAAATATAAGAACCATACATTGAATAAATCATTTACAAAACTTCATCATTTGTTCTTCACATTCTGTATGATTTCTCCAAGTCAAATTTCCTTTCTATTTCTGTTTCTATTTTCTATTCAACTTGATCTTCGTAGCCTTCTGTTGCCAAAGTTTCCACTTCCGGTTGGTGTTACATACTGCTTATGTCTGTCGACACAAGTAACACGCGCACACACACACACACTATATATATATATATATATATATATATTACCATATGCAATAATACTCTTTACCAAACTAGATACACTCCATGCTTTCTATATAAGAGATACCAGATACGTATTGTTTATGTTGTTGCAGTATTCAATACAGAGAAATCAGAAATATATCAATATGCATCATATTAAATGTAGTCATTATTGGCTTACTCAATTGAAACTGACTTTCATGAACGAATGTTTAAGTATTACCCTAGGCACATTTTAATTTTTTTCTTTACTCAAATACGTGAAATAATCCTTTGTATTTACTATGTGTTTAAGTGTCATGTTCAACAATGTAGAAAACAGGTTAGTTCACATTTCTAACTCATTTTGATCTGCAATTACATTTCGTCTTAGAAGATCTAGATTAGAACCTGATTAAAATCCTCTGATTACTTAATTTACTTACGCCTGTTATCCTTCATGGAGGAGCATAGGTCTCTTACACACATTCATCCTTTCCATCCGTTTGTAGTTGCTATTCATTCTTTTGATGTTTGCTTTCAATTCTCAAAGCAGTATGTTCTTTGGTCTTCCTCTTTTCTGTTCCCCTTCAGGATTTCAAGTTAGAACATGCTTCGTGATGCAGTATGATGATTTTCTCAATGTATGCCTTAGCCATTCCAATCATTTTTTCCTAAATTTCTGTTCATCTGGAAGTTTGTTTGTTTTCTCCCACAGTAGGCTGTTACCGATGGTATCCAATCAAAGAACATTAAGAAAATCCTCTGATCCTCGTTTTCAAATAAAATATCTTAACAATTTAGCTAACTACAAAATTTGATATCTAAACATTCAATAACTTCAATTCTGAAATACGAAGTAGAAGAAAAAGAATATTGATAACTCTAGCTTTCTGCTATTTTAATTTTATTTATTTGAACATAAAAATATTGGTACAAAGGGGCACCGAATACATGTTCAACACACAAGTCACTTGATTCATGTGTGGACTGTGATACTACCCAGGTGCGCAGGCAAAAGCGGGTGGTTTTTTTATGGAACTACACTCGGAGCATTCGACCTAAAGGTCTGATCCACAAGGCAGTGGAGGAACGTCAGGAGATTCAGTCCCATGGTAGCCGGTGACTGACGATTGGTTCATACATCATTTGCTCCCTCAGGATACTGGAGTCGATGTTCACCATTGGTTTGGAATCAGAGTTTTCTAACTCCCCTAAGTGGATCCTCCGAAACCACAGACCCGGTTGAAGTGCAGTTCATTCACTTTTTGTCCTACTAATTTCTTAAACAACAGTAATGCCGCGATAAGGGAGTGAGTAGAACTTCCCTGGTAGTGGCTGCGTACGCGTGGCCATGTGAGAGCATTTTGGAAGGGAGAGTTGATTTCTATCGACCCTCGATCGTACCAGGGCATTTGGGGGATACCCACTTGATATTATCTAAAATATGATTCATGTTTTTTTTCTTATGAAATAATGGTTGACTTATCTTCATCTGTAGAGGATTAATTCCTCTATAATTGACTCCAATAATTAAACAATATCCCGTTAACTGAGTATTTAAGGCAGGCTAAATCTCCTAATAGAACTATGGGTTTACTCGAGATTATTCAAAAGCATGAAACACCAGTTGTAGAGATAGTTTATTGTTAAAGTTCGGTAAAATCCGCAAGCGTACAGATCGCAAGCACACAGAGAAAACACGTGAGTGCATGTGTGTATCAATAAGTGTTAAAAATCCATATATATTTATGAGTGTTAAGGGAGAGAGAGCACACAAATGATGGTACAATGGTTGAATGAGCTTGTTACACACTAACTAATTGTCACTTATTAGTGTATATATGTCTAATAGATATTAACAAACGATACACTGTACTAATATTTGCTTCCCTTACAGACATCTTAAATCAACGTGTATAGATGAAACTAATGAATTGGTTTTAGACTGTCAAGCAGTTGGTTTACCTGTCCCATTTTTATCATGGTATAGAAATGGTCAATTAATTGATCAAAATCCTGATTTTAAAATTACTCAATTAGCTGGATCAGGAATATTGAGGGTAAGAATATACATATATTAATTTAATATTCCGAATGTTGAAATTTCATTTTGTTTTTGTTTTTCTAAATATTGATCAGAAGGGGTTTTGTGGAGATTTCAGTATTTTGATAGTTGAAATCATCAGCCAATTGAAGCTAGATCACCATGGAAAACCTGGAACCACTTGGCGGCCGTTTCGTCCTATTATGGGACTCCTCAACAGTGAGCATCCGCGATCCTTCACTCACGAGATTCGAACCGAGGACCTACCAGAACACTTAACCGATAGACAACTGAGCCAGAATCCAACGGTGTTAATGTCGAACTTCGACTGGTCCACGAAGTTTGAGCAACCGTTCACCAATTGTCTTCAGTGAGTTTATATCTCTACAACAGACTTGGTTGAGGGATCGTGGATTCGCACTGATGAGGAGTTCCATAATAGGATGAAACGGCCGTCCAGTGCTTCTAGGTTTTCTAAATATTGTAGTTGACTGGTTGATGTTAACTTGTATTTCCAAATCAAAGTAGATTAAGTTAAATGGATAATAGAAAATATAGTCGACTATCCCTTTAGTCAATTATCGATGAACTTGGAGGTTCAACGGTGGTTATCACTTCTCTATTGCTTAAACAACAGACAGAATTTTTCCTAAGATAATAGAGAATATTCGCAACTTAATATAGGGATTTTTTAGTTGTTGTGATCTCTCAACTGAATGAATAGACTTCTTTCGAAGTTTTTTCCTGATGATATTGTTCGGAAGAAAAATAAAAGTTTCACAACAGAGCGATCCAGCTCAGAGATCAAAACAACTTCAAACTTGGTTAGTATCGACCTTGGAGACCTAAAACTGTGACTAAAGAGCCCAATGAACAACTGCCTGAGGTCGTTCGAAAGTAACCATTTTTTGATTAGTTTTTAATGTTTCAGGTCCATACTCCTCAGACCGTACGGCCGAAATTCTTCAGGACAAAATCGGGTAGACTTTCCTAGATCCACCCATCCTTGGCATCCTTTTCCCGTTGAAGGAATGGACTGTAGCAACAGGTGCTGGTTGTCGGAGGGAAGCGTCTTTCCGCCTCTACATCCTTTGAAAGTCACATGAAAACTTATTGTCATGGGTCCCAAAATATAATGTGTTGATCCCTTATATTTCATCATGAACGAAATACTACAAAAATTTAGATGCATTTTCTAAAATACAAGCTTGATACGATTGATCCAACGCTAACTAGTAGTGTAATACATTTTCAACTTGAATAGTCATTTGTTCTAATTTATATACCCTGATTTTTTGATAACAGATTCCACAATGTCGAATGATGAATCATTCTGGATTATATTTATGTCGTGCTACTAATCCATATGGTGAATGTTCAACCACTTGTCAAGTGGATATAAAACCAGCTCAACCACCAGTTATTATTCAACCATTACAAAATGTTAATCTTAAAGTTGGTGACAGATGTAAATTAACTGTTCAGTATAAGGTGAGTAATATGAGATAAACATTTAGTTTGGAATTCACTTAGTATTACTTGTTTGAATCTTCCCATTGATGTTTAGGACTGCAACTGGTCAGTCTCTTATTGGCACATGTGCATACTGTGCGTATTGCCTCGATATAGCCTTGATTCACAAGCATTGTAAGCAAAGAATCCAGGATGCGCATTTCGTTCTATTTGGGACTGGTCAGTTGGATGTAGCTGCATCTCGGAATTGATGTTCACTGTGAGACTGCAACCCAGTACCGTTCGCTTCAAACGCCATCACGTTATCCACTCGACCAATGAGTCCTCATAGTCACTTGCTTGTGCGATGGGGTGAAGTTTAAATTCACGCAGTATTACTTACTTTGGAAGAATAAATTGTCACTTATCATTGAATATGCGTAGAACATTACTGGATGTTTACCTTAATCAGGCGATATTATAAAGATTGTATGCCGTTTGAAAGCAATTTTTACCCCAGACTGACATCACATACTGAACCATTAGCAATTAGAAGATATTGGACATCTGTTTCTTCCTAATATGAGGCTTTCATGACTTAGATAAGGATCGAAACTATGTCTTTCAGGTTTCCTGCTTAGTTGGCTGTTATAGGTGTACATTTTAACATCAATCAATTCACAATACGCTCCAATTACCCCTTTGTCCTTGGTGAGTTATTCTTTCATTCTCCATTAAACTCGGGTAATTAATACTTCTCATCAACAACACAGAAAAACACTTCAAAATACTTTAGTTCGCTTAAAAGAAAAACCCCCCTATAAGTCAACACACAACTGTGTCTACAAATTGGGATGTGTCGATTTTGATACCTTCTATATTGGAGAGTCATCTCGCGAAATTTTGACTCGAGGTAAAAAAAAAACATATTAGGCACACAAAGAAACCACCTAAGAATCTAATAGAACTAGAGAGATTTCAAATTAAATCGGTAATAACAGTTCACGCCATTTTCAACAACCACCGAATTGACTTCAAAAACATCAAACTATCCAACAACAAAGAAAGGAGAGTAGCAAATATTTCCATGTAATGCTTAATCTTATTGCTCTCAATAGGAAAGAAGACCTCACTATCCATCCGACCTGGACTATCTATCCAAGTTATCATATCTGACATAATTCACATTTCACAATATTATCTTACATACAAATTAAATTATCCTTTTGCATCACAGAGGTCACATCTTTTCATCGCTGGCCTTGCACACACAAAAAAATTACATACATGTTGCTTATAAATCACTTTGACCGAGATGACAGGACATTGACTTCTTCAGACCGACTTTTTGATTGATCACACATAATATTCTTGCGCTGTTCCTTTGTACTATTTAAACTTGAACTAATTTTGATTTGGTTATTTATTCTCGGAAGAAGTGGCTTACACTGAGTCACGAAACGTCAGAAAATCTAATTTATCTACTCATTGGGATATTACAAATATATTAATTTATTTATAACAACTTACTCCAATGTTCAATTTATTCGAAATTATCAAGTCAAACTTTGGTAATGATACCTACATTCTCATTAGAATGTTTTGTCCGTTTCCCATTTCCGAAACCGAATAACCTAAAATCTTATATTTTATCACAATTATAGAAATAATGACTTGTAATTATATCTATTAATACTAAGGTCTAAGCGTTTGATGTGTTCCGACCTGAATTTCAATTTTAACCTAGAAGGCTTCATACACAATCTTTTGTCATCTTCAATGTGAACTGAGAGTTGGTTGAGATGATTCAACCCAGATACATATTGACTATTTCGAATCCTTTGTGAAAAAAAAAACGACTGCAACGTGTTCAGAGTATCTGAATTTGGCAATCAACATGCAACGAATCAAATAAGTTATTTCTAATCGTCCATATGAAATAAATTGAAAAGAAGAAAACTCACTAGTCATAAATGTATTAAGCAGATTGTGATTTCAAGAATGGAATCTGTTAGTCAACATAATTTCAAGTCAAATCGATGTGAAATTTTAATCCTGTCATAGAGGTGGACAGTCCTCTTTACTTCTAATGTGCCTAAGCTTAATGACTATTTTCTATAAAATAGATCAAAATGTTCTTATATTCAGTGAAGAATTAATTGATCATTTTAACAACTTTGTAACCTAGGATTCGTGGCCTAATCAATATGCATTCTGTGTTAATTGTCATTCTTTTAATCCAAATGATATGTAGCAAAAATTTCCAATAAGTCTGTCTATTGAAATCATGAACCTATCAATGTTAAACAACCATTGAAAACCTGGAAGCATTGGACAGCTGTTTCGTCCTAGTATGGGATGACTCAACAAAACGCATCCACGATCCAGCATATCTAATTCAAACCAAGGACCTTTAGTCTAGTGCGCGAACGCTTAACCTCTAGACTACTGAGCCGGCATTAAACGGTGTTATTATCTAACTTTAACCAATCCACAATATTGCTTGACCGTCTTTGATTGACACGGTTAAACTCTTCTGGTCACGAGTTCTCACTAGAACTTCGAGAATTATCCGTTGAAGCTAGTCACTAGTGGGCACATGATAATTATCAGTATAGGGTTATGAGGAATTTTCAGTTTTATTGTCTAACAATGATCGGTTCATGGAAAACCTGGGTTCAAATCTCGTGAGGCGGGATCGTGGATGCGCACTGCTGAGGAGTACCACGATAGGACGAAAGGCCCGTCCAGTGCTTCCAGATTTTCCATGGTGGTTTAGCATCAATTGACTCATGATCTCAAATATATAAAATAGTTTATGTTTAAATGGCTGGTGTGTAATGTTAATTGAGTTACAGTAAAAGAAGAACAACATTTAATTGAAGTCATTTTTCATATTGTTTATCTACATTAAAGAGTGAACTTCCAGTTGAAGTAGAATGGTATCATAATGATATGCCAATTCAAGGAGAGGTGGGTCGTCGACGCATTACAATGGAATTAAATAATATGGTCAGCTTACATCTTCTTATGGTAAGTTTTAATCATGATTAAACAAATTTTTAATTACCCACCTTCCAGCCATAGGAACATGGTGAAGCCTAGTAGGCCTTTCTTGAGAAGAGTGCTACATCGAAGCACGGCACAACTGCCAAGACAGGATAGCTGTTTTTGCACTGCTTACGCAGAACTATTACCTAACACTCACATTCGGGTTTTTTTGAAATAATCTTCAAATATTATTGGAAAAATGTGTCAATTAAACTAAAAAGATCTCATTCTAGTAAGAGATATACATCTTTGGGATGATTTATATACTCTTAGTAATTCAACATTACAGCAAGTAACCTTGGTTAACTTTATTTGGTTACTATATGCATACTTGACGATATATCTCAAACATTCAGGAATCTAATGTTTCCTGAAAGATTGCTAGTATTATGATTCATTGCTAATGTCTGAAAGATCTCACAAATTAAACTGATTGACATTTACATGGCTACATTGAATACGTTTTCTAGTGTCTACATTATGGTATACACTGAAGTAATCTCAAGCTTTTATTATAATCAACATTATATACCATAATCTTCCTGATTCAAAAGGATCTCATCTTTCACATAAAAATGAAGTTAAAGTACTTTATTCAAGAAAACTATAAGTAAAACTTTCACCATATTTTCATTGAAAGATCATCGATACATCTCATTATTTAAATAATACTTGTCTATTTAGATGAAGGGGCTGATGAATGGCAGCCAACAAAGTGTTCACTTTATATATGATTACAGAATGCTGCCTATTTAGGGATTCTATATACATTTTTGCGATAGGGACATAAGTTATGGTGTGTTCTATCTAAAAGGCATACATTTTTATTTTATTTATTTAAACACATAAATATTGTTACAAATGGGCATCAGATATATATGCGCCACACAAATCTCATTCGATTTGTGTGAGGGCTGTGATACTGTCCAGGTGCTCAAACTGAAACAGGTGGTTTTCTTACGAGGCCACACCCGGAGCCTTTGACCTGAAGGTCTAATCCACAAGGCAGTGGAGCATCGTGAGGAGATGCAGTCCCATGGTAGGCGGTGACCGACAATTGATTCATACGCCATTTGTTCTCTCATGATACTGAAGCCCATGTACATCATTTGTTTGGAATGGAGGTTTTCCAACTACCCTAAATGGATTTTCCGTGTCCACCGAGCCGTTTAAAGTGCCGGACATTCGTTTTTCGTCCTCTCAATTTTGTGAACAACACCCCCGCCACGAGAAGGCAGTGTGTGGGACTTCCCTGGCAAAGGCTATATACGCGTGGCCATATGAGAGTATTTCGAGAGGGAGGGCAGACTCTCCTCACTCTCGGTTGTACCAGGGCATTTGGGGACTGATTTACATTTAAGTATGTTTAGCAGGGGAATCCAGGATGCGCGTTTCGTTCTATTTGAGACTCATCAGCTGGATGTACCTGCATCTCAGAGTTGATGTTCACTCTGAGACTCGAAACCAGCACCATTCGCTTCAAACGACATCGTGTTATCCAATAATCTACTGAGTCCTTCATACGTTTTATTTTAATACATTCTAATTTTCACTTAAAAAATGCATAAGAATGATAGAAAAAACAAGAATCAAATTCAGAGCTAGTTTCGTTTGTTAGTTATTGAAAGTAGCATGTGTCTCAGCGCTTATCGTCAACATTAGTCTAACTACATTGTTCAAATCGAACTAAAAGAACAAATTTGTAACTATTTTCAAATCTTCTTGTGCCACAAATCATCCCATTTACTTGTTGATACTTTGTACACGATCATATAAACATGATGTAAATCAATGGTTGACATTCCGTATTACCTTACCACTTTTATTTAGATAACTACTTAAATTACGAATTACAATTGTCGCGATCTGCTTTCCTATATTATTTCATTTCTTTAGGCTTCTGATTTAGAAGACGGAAAATATAGTTGTACAGTTCGTAATGCGGCAGGTTCAGCTACGACATACTGTAATGTTACTGTCCAACCAACAGATGCAAGAGAATCTTTATTACCATCACAAGTGACACTACGACCAACAGCTCCACGCCGTAGAAGGGACTTACAGTCTGATGTAGATGAAGTATTTGAACCAGTTAAAATACCAAGAATAGTTCAGTCACCTACTAGAGTCACAGAAGAACAAGTGATTCCAGTCAGTGCAGTTAAAGGAGCCTACCCGTATACGAGTCCAAAATATTCTCAAAGAGCTGTTTCAGTACCACCTACAACAACAGCTTCTGTACCTTTAAGGTGAGTGAATTCTGTTGCTATGACATAAACGTTCATGACTGATATCAAAGATTGAATGAATAAAATCTTAATGGCTGATCATCTACCTCTGTTGATGCTTTTTTAAAAAGTCTGAGACTTATTATACGCTCTTAGCCCATGGCTAAATAATTTGATAACGTTTTCTCTAAAACCAAAACACTGATAATAGGGTCAATGTACTATAAGTTATAATAAACTTTGTGGCATCCTTATAACTGAATGATACTACCAGGTTATTAAGACTTTATTGGGCAATGTTGATAACAAATTTGTAGCTTATTGATTAAGAGTCAAACACTGATCAAATGAGACGTTTTGAAGTACTTGTATATTATACACTACTGATCGTACGCCTTCTTTCGTGACTAATCGGACAACAACTGTTGTAGTGAACAAAAGCACTAGTTGAGGACAATCAAATGCATTTGTGCACCACTTACAGACTGTCTCACTAAAGTCTGATAACCATACAGCAAATAGTTATTTTGCAAATTAACAAAAGATTGTCTCAACCTTCGCTGTTACTCTCTGAGAATATCAATTCATCTTCTCTAATTCCATTGTTCATGCACTTTCCTACCGATTGCGCTTTATTTCAGTTCTTTCCTTATCAGTCTTCTGCCAAAATACATTCTATATCTCACCATTGCCATATACTACTTATATGGATATAAGTAGACCAAACTACACTATGTCTGATTTTATTTTTTATTTCTTTTTAATTTTTAATAAAAATATCTAAAGAATACAAACGAATGTCAGAGGATCACGTCCAGTATCAGATTATGGTAGACCACCACAGTTTATTCTACCATTGCAAAATGCTGGAGTGAATGAAACGGAAAAAATTAAATTGGAATGTCAAATTACCGGGATTCCTGAACCAAAAGTAAAATATCCATTTTTTTCTTTCCATAGTTCATTGTGAATTTTTTAAACAAAATTTAATCGAAAATTCAGTTAGTACTGTTTGTTTGAATGTTCCCATTGATGTTTTTATGACTACAACGGGTCAGTCTCTAATCGGCATATGTGCATACTGTGCGTATTGCCTCGATATAACCTTAATTCACAAGCATTGCACAAGCAAGAGGCTAACAGGACTCAATAGCTGAGTGGATAACGCGATAGTGTTTGAAGAGAAAGGGGCGGGACTATAATTTATGCACGACCTTTGAATGACTCTTAATTGACCTTGAGAAATATTAGCCAATCAGGAAACAGCTTGTATAGAGTAAAAATATTTTACAAAAGATCAATGAATTAAAGTGGGTACATTTCTTTTATATGGTCCTAAATCTTGTCAACCTTAGAAAGAGGTTCAAAAATTCTATATTCGTAATGCATAAGGTAGAGGAACGCATCCATACGGCTCCATAATAGTCAGTCTCTGTAGCCATGATAAGGTCACAAAAACGCTCTCAGCCTGGACCCCATAGCTTCATTTTTGTTTGTGTGTGCTCTGGTTGTGTAAGTTTATCATTTTTATTATGGGCATATCCCTGCAATACTCGTACCACTGAACAGCCGAATATTCAGTAACTTCTGCGATTACTGCGGTCAATGTTACTGGTGCATTTATTATGCAGTTCGTGGCAACTATTATAATATGCTTTAGTTTCAATCTGGATCGAGAGATAAAGGTTCCTATTCTAGCAAACGTCTTCCTTCAAAATATGTTGGAGGACAATATCACGGTAGTCTGCACAAGATCTACAAGTCATTTAATTACCGCAATTACAAATAAAGGAATTTATTAGTAGTCCCATTTATTGTAGCTGCTTACGTGTCAAGTCTACTCTAAAATCCTCTGTGAACCGACCGTCCATCAACACCAGGTACTAAAATTGGGGCTGTGGCCTTGAAATCCCTCTAACGCTTCTGATTGGCTCGTCCACAAATTATAGTTCCGCCGCGAAAGGTACTGGATTAGAGTCCCAGGGTAAACATCAACCCAAATAGGACGAAACGCGCGTCCTGGATTCGATTGCTAGCCACTATCCATGTTCGCTTATAAAACTTAATTTTGATATAAATTAAATCATAAACTTATAAAATAATTTCATGGTATTAATGTTGATATGGAAAGTGTTTTCTTTGAAAAGTAAAAGCCAAATGAAAAATCTTTAACCAGGGAATTTAAGAAGTAAGTTAATATTCAGGTTTATAGTAACAATCTAAAAGTGACTCTCTAGTCACGAAACCTAAAGGTTCTGAGTTTGACTCCTTCCTGAATGGTTGGTATGCTGTGACGAGGTGATTCATATAATGACGAAACTAAATGCGTTATGCTTCCTGATTCCCACTGGTTGTCCAATTGATGTCAAACTATTGTCTATACTACCTTTAAAATAATCTAGCCACTAATTTAAGCAGCCTCATAGTATCATCTACGGTCTTGTTTATAAATTGACTCGATGTTTAATTTATATGTGATGAACTAACTTCTCAAGAAAATTACCTATGTATTTCGATCACTCCTTATCGATAATCGTTGCCGTTTCGTCATTGCTAAAATGTCTTACTTGAATAAAGAAGAAAGGAAACATCTTACACTTGAACTTGGTACAATATTTTAAACCTTTTAGTGATGAGAATAGGAATCAATCTGACAATTGGATTACCGGAAAATAATTTATGAACTTTCAGTTTGAGGTTGTAGAGATTTTCGAAATTTCGTTTAAATCATGAACCGATTCGTCATCCAGGGCTTTCAGGTTTTTGATGGTGGTTTAACTTACATGGGTTCTTTATTTTAATTAAATTTAAATAATGATCTTTGAGTTACTAGCTCGTTAAACTGGATTCCTTTCAAATGAACTTTGTAAGCTACTGTTAAATAGTCAGTAGTATGTTTGGAAATGGCTAGATTTCACAAATAGATATATGATGTGAACCAAACTGGAAGAATATTCAGTTATGAAAATTTTCTTTTCGATGAAATCATTTACTTCAGCTGTACATTCGTATTTATAGTTGTTTGGTATATATTGTCTATAGAAAGACAGAAAAGATTGCATCATAAAGTAATTCCAGATTTTAAATATCAGATGAGTTTGCGAAATAACCAAGGAGTTCGAGAAGAATTATGAGAGATAATTGTTCACTTGACAGATATCAAACAAAAAAGGTAAGACATGTAGGCCATAATCACAACTGAATATCAGTCATTGATTGGTTAATGGTTAGCTGAAAGTTTAAAACCCATCAGAAATCACATCATTAGATATAGCTCTCTTGATTCATTTGATTTTGTCGACTCTATTCGAAATATCAACATAAGTTGTAAAACAAAGATCCCGTGAGATCTTGACTCAACTTAAGTTACACAAAAAGACCTATTAGTCCTATAGAATTGATTGATAGAGTTATTAAATGTTTCTACAAGGAGGTAAATACAAATAGTTTCATTATAAGTGACATTTTGCACTTGGGATTGAAATCAGGTACATTTTTATCAGCTCAAAAGTCTTCGTTTCTTTGTTTCATATAGAGTATATGGTTATGAATAATGTATCACTGGAAGTCCTAGACATGACGCATATAGGGAACATAGTAATGTTAAAAACAACTTCAACTAAATATTCCATTTACGGAAAAGGTCATCATAACGCTGTAAAGAGTTTATTTACGGGATTTAACGGTCTCGGGAGAAATAAAATGGGCACTATAGCACTTCCGATATCAGTCTTTCAAGTTACACTGATTTGTGACGAGATTTGTGCACGTTACCAACCAAGATTATTACTATCATTATTCTTCATTAACAAATGTTGCCTTCTGTGACTCTCACAGAACCCAGTACCAACGACTGAAGCCTTATATTTATAGACGACTTTATTTGGAATTATATATTGAAAGTATTTCACATCATTATATCAACAATATAACAAATGAAAACATTCAGACAATGAAACTGTTACTGACATTTACATCTAAGGCAGACTGTTCATCTTGTTAGATTCATGGTAGATCAATTTAACTGATTCTGTCAACATCAGTAGCACACAACTAATTAATAATATACCTATTTCTGCAAATTAACACCATGGAATCGTTAGGACTTTTCTGTATAATGCTTATAGATCTCATTATCTTTACTGTTTTATACTTTTATAGGTCACTTGGCTTAAAAATGGTATCCCATTAGCTAAATCTAATTCGTATACAATTAAAGAGATTGGACAATATCATTGTCTAATCTTTTATGATGTATTTCTTGACGATCAAGGTGAATATACATGTGTTGCTGAAAATCCTTATGGACAGGCATTTAGTTCATGTAGAATGGATGTTGAACGTAAGTTGAAGTTCGGTTCGGTATTCAGACTATTTCATTTACCTGATAAAAGTTTAATTCTACTTTCAATATTAAGTCTCATACTACCTAAAGGGAATGAAAAATAAAAAAAAGCAATAATTTGTTTACCTATAAGTAGATTAGTTTTGAATGAATAGCTGAATTTGCACATAGATCTAGACACATATTATACGACCAAGTTTTGACATTGTTCCTGGTCACCCTACAAAGAATAACCCATGAGAAATACCACTATACTCACCGCCGGTGTTACGTAATTAGGAACAGATATCCATCTGTTTTAGAGGAAACTATATCTACCAGTACAGGGTTGTAGAGATTATTAGGTTTTGATTGGGGTTATGAATAGAGCAATGTTGGAGCAAGATTGAAAACCTAGGTGGGTAAATGCCTCACACCCATCATCGATCAGCTCCACTGGTCACGGCTTTCAACTAGACCTTCGAGAGCTGTCTCTCGAAGCTAGTCACTAGCGAGCATATGATGCCGGCTAGGTGATCTAGAGGTTAAAGGCTCGCGCGTGGGGCCAAAGGTTTTTGTTTCGATTCCCGCATGCGGGATCGTGGATGAGCCCTGATGAGGAGTCCCGTACTTGGACTAAACGGCCATTCAATGCTTCCAGGTTTTCAAAGTTGGTCTAGCATTGATCGATTCGTGATTTCAATCAAAACTACTTTACAATTTGACCTAATCCGTACTATTTACTTTTCGATTCATGATAAGTTTATCTGTTAAGTTAGGTGAGTTTTGGAGATTACTTCCATTTAAATCCTTTAGTTAATAAGAACTACCATCAGCTAGAGAATTGATTCTAATGAATACTGGATTGAAAAAAACTGCTTTCCAGAGCTCTAGCTGACTTCAATTCAAAACGAACAGTCTTTTAAATAATAGTGCATTATTTTGACTAATAAGTTGTACTTAAACCGTTTATAATAATAAAGAAAATTCCATGATACCATCGACTTTCACATAGTCCAACAGCTTGAATCTGGATTTTATATAGATAATGACGGAACAGTTTAATGAAAACACATACCTCCAAAAACATGCATATAGCTTTACACTTATTTCTATGCTTACATTTTAGCGATCTGTGCAGATGAACAACCAACTGATAGTGAACCGACGTTAGTAAAACCATTACCACCAAGTTTATCTGTTGTAGAAGGTGGATCAGTTGAATTAACATGTCAATTCACTGGAAGGCCATTACCTTCTATAGTATGGTTTAAAGATGGTAAACAACCACAATCTTCAACTAATTTTCAGGTTAGAATATTTAGTCTTTTTGAAGTATAACTTGTAAAGAAAATAAACTAACCTTTTCATTACTCCTCTATTAATCAGGTCGAAGTAGAAAACTCTAGAATCGACACAGAATGGACAGGAACAGTTTTAGGTATATAAGATGAAAGACTAGTGAAATCAAAAGTTGAACGTTTTTATAACCCATTTACGTTAGGGAAACAATAGGCTGTAAAGTATATCATTATGAAGTTATCTAAATGAATATTTGATTCAGCTTCAGGCCAATATTTGATAATCTCATGAATTGTCGATAACTCTTGGTTTGGCTATCTCATGTGTTTCTTCCGATCTACTACTAAGCTATCAAACATTGCCCATCGAGATAGTCAGTGCTTGAGTATACGCAACACAAATACCGATCACTTGAATCGATGGATATCCACAACCTCACTAACTAATTTGCAACATCAACATTACTCTCTTGATCGTCCAAAGAAATGTGACCAATGCTCTAAAGATACCCATGATCGAAAATCCATAACGCAAGCATGTTTTATACTTTTAAAGACAAACTTCCACTGCCAGACGTAAGAAAGTTGTGGATTACTATGTAGTATACACTCCTTTTGGTTGGCAGACGAACATCCCGTTTACTCTACAAGTGTTGTAAGTTGGTAAACGCCAACCAAGCTTATGAAATCTTTAACGAGAATTCGTTATACACTAACGCACCAAGGTTGATGTGACTTCTAAGATAAGTTAAGTGATCAAACCATTTGACTAATTTATTCCCTATTAGTAGTTCAAGCATTTACATAGACTAGTAACACATTGCAATTTGAAAGAGAGAAACCTATCCTTGACATGCTAGTTTTGTTGCTCAAAGCAATTAAAAGACTTCATTTTGTCGATATCGCCAACAAACAGAACTATATCAGCTAAGTATTCTAAGTCTTAAAGAGTATCTGCTAAACAAAGACTAACCCTTAAAAGGTTATCTCATTAACCATATTAAACGACTCATTGCTCAATATACTGTAACTAAATAATATATCCGACTAGAAGACATCAACGTTTCGTCTCGCAATCTAGTCCAAGCTATTTCAAGGAATTATAATCAAACATCAAAATTATGGAACATAAATAAGTAAATTGTTCTCTGGTTAACTGTATACAACAATAGGTCATCCAATCAACGTTAACAATGTATAAAGTAGGTATTCACTTTAGTATGCAAGAGACATATTGTGCTAAGATAACAGATTGTATGTATTCGTAAGTTGGGTGAAAAGAAAGCTTGGACTAGATCGACAGGCGAAGCATTAGATTTACTTCAAACTCATTCGCTGAGATTTTTTAAATACATTCTTCCTTCTTCTTAATGTCTCACATCAACTCGGTGTCCAAATACTGTGAAACTATTTGATCAAATTTAGATGAAAGTTCTTATATAATTAATCATATATATGTATATTAAGTTATAAACAAAGACTTGAGAATTTGTATTCAATGTACGGAACAAGATCAATAAGATGATGTTCTGAGGCCTGCTGTCAATAATTCTTAACAATTATTATCATTGCACAAGCAAGTGACTATCAGGACTCAGTAGCTAGTTGGATAACGCGATGGCGTTTGAAGCGAAAGGCACTGGGTTCGAGTCCCAGAGTGAACATCAACTCATGCGGGTACATCTAGCTGACGAGTCCCAAATAGGACGAAACGTGCCTTGTCCTGGCCACTACCCATCTTTGCTTACAATTATTATCATTGTTCTATTCGTTAATTAACAGATTGATTTACATCATTCTTAATTGGTTCACGTATTAACTTTTAGACATTTCAAGATTCTGGTTTTGCACGTCTTTATATACCAAAAGTTGAAAAAGATAAAACTGGTATGTATGAAGCTGTAGCAACAAATCCATTGGGTAGTTGTTCTACCACTGTATATATGGAAATACTTCCATCTATACGAACATCTATTGATTTATTGCCAACAATTTCACCAGTAATGAGTGGAAGTTCACCTGAATTTACACGAATATTTAAGTAAGTTTGAAACATAGATATTTTTTTCAAAATGGGGGTTTGTGGAGATTATAGTAATTTAATAGTTAAATTCATGAATCAGTTTAAGCTAGACCACCACTATAGAAAACCTGGAAGCGCTGGAGTGGTTAAAGTTCGACAATAACACTGTTGGATGCTAGCTCTGTGGTCTAGAGGTTCTGGATCTAAGTATGTTTTGCGGGATCGTGGATGTGCACTGCTGAGGGGTCCCATACTAGGAAGAAAGGGTCATGCAGTGCTTTCAGGTTTTCAATGGTGGTTCAGCTTAAATCGATTCATGAATTCAACTATTCAATTCTATAAATATTTAATGGAATAAAGTTGATCAATACTGGATTTACCTATTTATATTCATACATAATATCTTTTATTTATTACAAACACTTTCAGAGATGTTTATATTGAATCAGAACGTTTGGAAGAAGTAGTACTTGAATGTTCGGTAGTTGGTGTTCCAACACCAGTAGTATATTGGACACATAATGGAATAATTATCAGACCGGATGATCAACGTTATACTATTGGTCAAGGACCTGGTCCTAATGATCATTGTTTAATTATTCGACGACCAGGACCAGAATCATCAGGTAACTCGGCATTTTAATTATTATAACTTAACTATTCATATTCATGTTCCCTTTATTATGAGCTTTATTTTGACCCATACACTATTACTGTACGATCTACCATTCCTGAGCTACACTCAGTCCATTAATTACTTTCCCCCCTATTCACAGCCGCATTTGGCCAAATCTCGTACAAATGTGATCAGTTTGTTTGGTATATAAACTCAGTATGTTTGAGAATAATGATTCACATTGTAGAGGCTGTCATTGATGTTCTGGACTTAACTGGCTGGGCTAGGCAGATAGCAGGACTGATAAGTACTCAAGACTGCTCATATGGTTCCGCGTATTATTGATCAGATCGATAATACACTGCTCTCTAATTGGCGGTCTTATCACGTTATATATCAAACAGGGCACTCAATCGATACAACAATGGATATCAGTCATCTATAAACACATTTCTGAAATACTGGTATACTTCCTTTTTTTGCTGCTTGTTCACTGTAGGTCTATAGTTAAACTATCTAAGATAGAATGACATGGTCGCTTGATAAATCAAGATAAACATAAACGAAATCACTGAAGTACCCAATTTATCAAATGAAGATTTATAATCCAGCTCTAGTGGTGAACATTTTCTGCTAGATTTACCCATTAACAAAGGCTAGATTGATTTATCTTAACCTAGTGAAATGTGATTTTCTACATGTATCTTCTTCATTTCTTAGATCAACCCTGAAGATACGACCAGTATTCTAGTTTCGCAACTATAAACCAGTAACACCTTTTATATTCGAATATTCCCCAATCGGTTAAAATCAGAAGTCAGATGCGAAGAGATTGGAAAGATATATTTGATGCGTTATCAATATATCTAGAAGCGTTTGCTCTAATCCGGCTAGTGAACGTAGGAGCTGTGTCCCACGCTGGGGTCGTAACGTGATCTGGTGCGGATGCATGACCGAACTCCTTCAGCTAAACAAGTCTACTTGAAACAATGTGGTCAGCATCCAATGTCGAACACTTAAAAAGCTATTGATTTTGGGGGATTATTGACAGCTAAAACCCTAAGAAATATTCATTTTTATCCACCAGATATCACACATATAAAAGCACTTTGTCTCAAATTTTCTTAAAAGTGTTACCGGAAATATACAGCAAGTTTTCAGCATATTCTGACAATTTTTACTACCAGGAGGACTCTTTATGGAATTAAGTCCCTAAACGGTTAGACTATAATTTATGAACGACCTTTGAACAACACTAAAGTAACCTTGAGAATGTCCACTTACTTCCTAGGACTAAATAAAGGTTATACAGCAGTTTGAAGAATTAGGATTATGATTTACAATTGATGGTTAGGGTTGGGAATTAGATTAATGCTTTTCAACACGAAATAACAAAAACGCTATTTAGACAAGTGAATCAATGAATTTCGTGCCAAAATCCAAGAGATGTGTTATCCTAAATCTGATTGGTTCGTCCATAAATTATAGTCTTACCTTTCTAAATGCAAGGTAGCTTTTTTTTCTGGAAGCACTGGACGGCCGTTTCGTCCTATTGTGGGACTCCTCAGCACCATCGGATGTCTAAAATTCCTCAATAACCTTTGATCCTGAAGAAATGGAAATAAACTAAACATTATTTAAGGAGTCACTGTTATTTGGAAATTCTGGGCATAATAAAAATTATGAATCACAGTTTACTATTTATCATTCACAATATGTGCCCTACTGAATAGATGGTATCCAAAGTTTATATGAAGAAAAGTTATTACATGTTAAGTAGATGTCCGTTCTTACACCCGGATTCCATAATAAGTATAACGAGTTCGGCAGCTGTCAAGTGAGGAATGCATGAAATCAAATCGTAAGTTGACTTAAATTAGTCTCTTAACCATATCCTTCTTCTGTTTCTGCTAATTTTAAGGTCATTTTTATAAAATACTTTATTTATCAATAGGTCGTTATCAAGCTATAGCTGAAAATCTTCATGGAAGAGTTACCTGTTCAGCATTTATAAGTCCTATTGGTTATAGTCAAACAATAATTAAAAGACCTCCATCTACGATGAGTTTAACAAGGCATACAGTTACACGACAAATATGTCCTCGTGAAACATCATTACCTCCATCACCGGCAAGTACAGCTCCAATCATTTCACCACAATCATTGGCTACAGTTCAATTATCTTTATCACCAGTACGATTTCAAAGAGAAACATCGGCTCCACCATCACAATATTACTTGACAAGACATCATTTACAAATAAGACCAAGACAGCCAACACCACCAATTCAACTCACTTTTGCATTACCACGTAAAGAACAATCATTAAGTCGAACAGAGGTAAAATAAATTGTTTCCAGATAGTTTAAAAATTAGTAGTCATATATGTTAAATACATCTTTGTATGTTGAAATTTCCTAATGTGCATAAATTCCTAATTCTATTATTCCAGTCTTTAGTCTAACATTAATCTATTCATGATCTCAATCAAAGCTCAACAATCCCCATAACCCTATACTGATGATTGTATATTAAACATTGTTGAATTCCTTCTATGTTGCTTAGATCACTTTTTGAGATCAATATATAAGTTGATCACATTTAAACTGCCAACTAATTAGGTGAACTTAAACGATATAGTAGTAGTAGTTTAGGAAACTATTCTAGTCTCATTATCCCTAGGTTTTAATGTTTACCTGATTAATATTGACTGTTTTTCGATGGTTTTCACATGTTTCAGCAAATCGGATGTTATTCTGAAGATGAAACAACATGACAGAATCCAAAGATACAGTTCTACTAATGCTTAGACGGTAGGATGACACCAAAATTCTAATAGGGAGATGTAACAGTTTGAATGTATTTGGTACCCATTAAGGTGAATAAATCTCTATGGAGATTAGAAATGTATTTTCTCTTGTCACCAAATGATATTTTATACAAAACTTACTGTGAATTTAAACCTGTACATTATCAATGTGCTGGTTCACGTAATTTGTATGTCAGTACTAAACCAACATCTACGATGAAAACCTGTTCAGTATGATTATATCAGTTTAATCGTAGAGTAGTAAGTGAGTGCTTCAATTCAATTTGGATCTCGTTAACTGAATACTTGATTCAGCCAGTTTTCGAGATCAAACCTGAGAATTTTGACTTCCGGCACGAGTGTGTAATAGATAACTGTATACATAGAAATATTCTCTGTTTTATAGCAAACAATCCAAGATTTGAAGCAATAGTGAATTGAAGATTCAATTATCATTATATTGTTTCTAGACAACAAAAAACTACAATATTCTCAGGCATATGGATACCTAAATTAACTTATTTTACCTCGTTAACTGGAGGTGTTCTCAGGTTTTTGATTAACTTGTTGATAAGTCTTCTAATTGAAAGCTGGATTCGGTTTCCTAAGCTCTCTAGTAACCCCCAGGCTTAATCTACAGAGCAATTTAAACACGAGAGAAAAGGTACGAAACGTGTGAGAAATGCTTTACTGCAAGGTTCGTTTATGTACAGAAAATCTAGGGGTTTTATAGCATTTTAGATGACCCGCACAATTCTGTAACACTACTAAACTTAGTAGTAGTATAGGTAACCATCTAACCAGAAACATGACATGTGACTTTTCACTTTCTACATGTTTCTGGCAAAACTTCTAGCAAATGCTGATTAAAAAAGCTGTTTCTTGGCGTTTTCAGAATCCTTTTTGGCTTTTTAAGAAGAATTTTCTGGATCTTCTCATCACTTATGTTCTCGTAAACATTTTTAATTCATTAAAATATCCAAGACAGAAAACGTAGTAATAATAAACAGCTCGTCAGTGTGTCATTTTAATGACGTTAATCTTAGATAGTTGATGTAGAAATGAAGAATATACAATCAATAGTAACACTGAAGGGAATGTACTTCAAAAACGTCAAACAATAAATATGGTATCATTAATTCAATATCATAATGGATTAAGTGCTCTGGCGCGAGACTGGTAGGTCCTGGGTTCGGATCTCGCGAGGCGAGGTTGTGGACGCACATTGCTGAGGAGTCCCACAATAGGACGAAACGACCGTCCAGTGCTTCCAGATTTTCCTTGGTGGTCTAGCTTCAATTGACTCACGCTTTCAACTAAATATCAGTTTATTCATTGTACAAACTATTGTTTCGTAGTTCAAATGTCAAAAAAAACCAAAGAGTTTATGGTTTTGGCTAATGCACAGATATCAAATACATCTTTCAATTAATAGAAAATATCTTCATACGACTAATGGATAATTTTCAGTAGATTTTCTAGTGAAGACCTCTTAGATTACAATACTACTTAATATGCTATAAAGTGACTCAATGAAGACCGATGATTTCTTTGTATATATCTCTTAACAACATGTTTCGGAAGGTATACAAATGAAGCCAACAATCTATCATCAACATCCGTCAATGTTTACTGACTCCTAGTTGTCAACACATGAAGTATAATCCTTATGATGAAGGGGATTTGCGACATAAGTAGATCCTTTTAGTGGTGTTATGCTTTCTGAACTAGAAAGAACCTACAGAATACAACATCAGTAGAAACAATATTTCTATAAAGGATAACATGTAAAATGAATAATCTTTATGTCATGGTTCTCAAACTAATACTAATTTTAAGCAAAGACGGATAATGGCTACTAGTGGAATCCAAAACGCGCGTTTCGTCCTATTTGGGACTCGTCAGCTGGATGTACCCCATAGCACAAGCAAGTGGCTATCAGGACTCAATGACCAAGTGGATGACGCAATGGCGTTTGAAGCGAAAGGTACTGGGTTTGAGTCCCACAGTGAACACCAACTCTGAAATGCAGGTACATCCAGCTGACCCTTCCCAAATAGGATGAAACGCGCGTCAAACTGGAATCCACTGATAGACACTATCCATCTTTGCTTACCGTGCTTGTGAATTAAGGCTATATCGAGGTAATACGCACAGTATGCATATATGCCAATTAGAGACTGACCAGTTGCAGTCCTAACACATAAATGGGAAGTTCCAAACAAACAATACTAAATGAATTTAATCCTAATTTTGTTTTTAATTCTTTTAGATAATACGACCTGTTGAAAGTCAGTTAAAATTACAAGGACAAGTAAAACATTATAGTAGTACACAACATTTATATAAGAAACAAATTACACCAATTGTGCCAACTATTGAAACACGTTATTCACGACGTGTTGCTAGTCAACCACGTCTTTCACCAGGTTATTCATCAGAAGAAGAACATGAACATAGTATGTCTGTTGTACCAATGGTACGTCATTATAAAACACGTATGGAAAGAAATCTAGTAACTAGACCATATATTATGTCTGGTTATAGTACAGTAAAAGAACATAAACGTACATTACATATTACACCAATGAGACGTGAATATCAAACATCATTAGAACATAATTTACCAGCTAGGCCAACATTAGAAAAAGGTTATGCAGCTGAAGAAGAACGTGAATATGAAATGAATGTAGTACCTGTTGTACCTCATACAGATTATAAAACTGAATTAACAACTGATATTTATAGTAAACCAGAGGTGACATCAGGCTATACTACAGAAACTGAACATATTCGATCATTTGAAGTTACTCCGATGGTACCGGAATATCATACAAAAATGGAACGACAAATAGCAAGTCATCCAATACTTGAAGCTGGTTATTCATCAGAAGAAGAACATGAACATAAATTGGATATTATACCTATGACTACTTCATATAAAACTGAACTAAACACTGATATATCCTCTAAACCAGAATTGATGCCTGGATATGTCGTTGAAACTAAACATCCTATAAAACTTGAAGTTACACCAATAGTTCCAGAATATCGTACTGAATTAGATACAAAAGTTGCTAGTCATCCACATTTAGAAGAAGGTTATACATCAGAAGGTGAACATGAGCATCAAATGGAATTGATCCCGTTAGTGCCCGAATACAAAACACAACTATCAACAGATTTATCAGCAAAAACTGAAGTGATTAGTGGATATGAAAGTCGATTACATTATGAAAAAACTTATCTTATGGAAACTCAATTAAAACAAGTAAGTAATTGTATAAAAGGTTCAGTCATCTGTCTTATACAAAAGACTTAACTAATCGTTTGGTTGCCATGTTGACGTACAGAATCCCATCATTTCGACAGAAATCTTCGATATAAAATTACATAAAGCTTTCAGCTTTACTTAATGAAGATATATCGATTGCTTTTTTATTTTTCACTTCCTCCTATTTATTTATAGTCGTTTTAACTCAATATTCGTTTTTTATATTCTATCCCTTCTTTTTAAAAAGTTTATTTTTAGAGTTAGATGACAACAATCATGATAGTTCACTTAGGTACATCTAGCTGACGAGTCCCAAATAGAACGAAACGCGCGTCCTGGATCCCACTGCTAGCTATTATCCATCTTTGCTAATCATGATAGTGTTTCCTTCACCAGTTCAGTTGGGATTTATCGCAACTCATTTAGGATATCTAACATTATCTTATACAGGAACATGTTCAAGTTATCAAATACGTTTTGAGAGGTGAAATGAATGAAACAAGAGCATCTGGTTAAAAATTATGATTTGCTAAAAACGTTTGTGCCAGGCTCTATTTTAATCAAGACTAACTCACAAACATTATTTAAATATTTTCATAGTTGAAATCGTGAGTCAATTGCAACTAGACCATCATGGAAAACCTGGATGCGCACTGATGAGGAGTCCCATACTAGGAAGAAACAGTCATCCACTGCTTCCAGGTTTTCGATGGTGGTCTAGCTTCAATTTACTCATGATTTCAACTATGAAAATACTGAAATCTCTACGAAACCCGCTTTGATTATTTAAATACACTTAATATCTACTATATATTCTATGTGTAAAACAAATCCATATTTTTATCTGGAATCATATACAGTATTTCATTCATGTCATGTTGCTGTGTTTGTATAAAATAGTGTAATCTGGTCAGTGTTTTCATGACAATAGGATTCTTCTGTTCAAACAGTCTAGAGTCATTCTCCTAAGTAATTTTCCCTATCATTAGTTTGATAACATATTGACATTGTTTTGAGATACGGAATGGTTCTTGTTATATCTGCGTCGCTTATTCTTTATACTGGAAAAGAAAGGAAACACTGCAATTCCCACAAACTGAAGGAAGAACACAAAGACTGGTACAAATGAAAATTCATTAACTTCGAAACACGAAGGTGACCCTAGTCGTATATAGACTCACTTTTATATTGACTGGACACCAATTTGGTTTATTAATTAGGATGCAATTACACGTATAAAAAAATACCCAGAATTATAGCAAAACACATGCAGTATAAGCAAAAATGGATGGTGGCTAGCAATTAAATCCCATCCCTTTGCACAAGCAGGTTTTCATCAGGACTCAGTAGCTAAGAGGATAATGCGTTGACGTTTGAAGCGAACGACACCAGGTTCGAGTCCCGGAATGATTGCCAACTAGGGTGCAGGTATATTCAACTGACGAGTCCTAAATATGACGAAATGCACGCCCTAGATTACACTGTTAGCCACCGTTCATCTTTGCCTAAAATGCTTGTGACTTAAGGTAATACCGGAGTAATCCACACAGGACGTACATATGTCAACAAGAGACTAATCAACTGCTGTCTTAAACAACAGCGGGAAGATACAAACAAACGACACCAAGTGAATTTAAACCACATACTGTATGTCATGATGAGGATAGTTCATCTTAATTCAATACAAGAATATTGTATCTTGAACAAACATCATACTCAAATGATTTAATGTTATACCGAATATAATACCGTATTGGAAAAACAGAAAGTCAAATACTACACTGAGTAATCAACTCCGCCTGTAGCTCTTCTAGAGTTACTGTCGGCCCCAAGCTCGGGTAAACGAGGAAGATTGGGCATGGAGTTAGCGACCCCATCCCCTAGAAAACTAGCTAGCTAAAAAAACGCTAACCAGAGAAAAATAATTCAAACCATTTAAACTCTGCTCTGGGAGTTGAAGGAAGAATTATAACGCCTCATGATGAAAGCCGAAATTCTTCGGAAATCACGAGACCAGTGCACCTTCTAACAACCAGAGCAACACTTTTTATAGGTACATGGAACATCCGGATAATGTGGGAGACCGGGAAGACCAGTCAAAATAAACGCTGAGTAATCATCTCACTGATTTAAACACGAAAGTAATGTTGAGCAAAAGCTACATTGAGTACAATCATATAATTTTTCTTCTATCTCCCGGTCATATCAGTTCTACTTTTCCCACTGTCATCTAGGGTAGGGTAACTATTTAGCGTCCCTGTTCTTTTTTACTATCGTTATTGGTAGAAAACGCAATCATACTCAGTTAGTTAATCAATCAATGTACTATGAACGGTAGTTTACACATCATGTATTCCTTTTAAGAACAATGTTTCTAAGTAATATTTATTCCGTCTATACAAATCAAAACTATACAATTGATCTTGGCTAGCAGTGGGACGAAACGCACGTCCTGGATTCCACTGCTAGCCACTAGTCATCTCTGCTTACCATGCTTGTGAATTAAGGTTATATCGAGGCAATACGCACAGTACGCACATATGCCAATTAGAGACTGAACAGTTGCAGTCCTAACAAATCGATGGGAAGATTCAAACAAACAATACTGAATGAATTTATACAATCGATCTGTTTTGAAAAACTTTCCCATTATATTTGTTTATTTCTTTTATTTTAATAGTATGAAACTGCTATTTCAACTCATCTACCAAGTAGACCATCTTTAACATCAATATTTGAATCAACTCTTGAACATGAAACAAATATGAATGTCGTTCCAGTTGTACCACAAATTGAACATCATAAAAGTCAATGGATTACTGATTTCTATGCTAGGGTATGTTGAATGCTTTTTAAAGATGTTCTGATTTTCGTATGAGTAAGTAGAGAGTAACTATTCGAAGTAGAGGTGTTTTGACAGTCAAAAACAATTTTTAAACTGACAGAACTAACAGAATGAGTATTTGTAGAGATTGCAGTAATTTGAACAGTTGATTTAAGCTAGATCATCATCGATAATCTGGAAGCACTGGACAAACGTTCCCGTCCTAGTATGGAACAACTCATCAATGTGTTTCTACGACTCCACACGTGGGACTTAAACCAAGGAACCTTGGGTCTCACGCTCCAACCCTTATACTAAGAACCACTGAGCCAGCATCAAACCATTTTACTGTCTAACTTCAATCTGTTCAAGGTATTGCGCAACCCTTATTTATTACCTGTGGCAGAAAACTGATTCACAACTGACATAGTCGGACTCTACTTGTTACGACTTCGCACTCGGACGTTAGGACTTGCATCTTCAAACTAGTCACTAGTGAAAACATGGTCATTGTCTGTCCAGTCTTGAACTCAAAGAAAATGGTCCTATATAGCTCTCGGATTTTTTTTACGATTTTCTATCCAATATAGATTTGTGGTGAAACGTATCTTAAGATACTATTCCTAGAAAATTACTTTATTTGCCCCCTGATGTTTCGTATAAAATGTTTTTGATAATCAAATCAATAGTTTAATAGTGTATGCCTTGTAGAAGAACTGAAACTCACCTCTTTGACATTTCGTCAAAATAAAACTTCGAACTCACAAACCATTTTGTTCAGAGCATCATAATCATCAGTGTGTTTTTGCAAACTTAATTATTCATGAGTCAATTCAAGCTAGACCGCCATGGAAAACCTGGAAGCACTGGACGACCGATATTGATCAACATATGCTCACTAGTGACTGGCTTCAAGGGATATTTCCTGGAGTTGTAGTGAGAAGCAGTGAACAGTGGAGTTCAACCGGGTATGTTGTGAGATATTAACCCACTGAAGACAATGATGGATGTGTCACTCAATTTCATCGATTAGTTGAAGTCAGACATTAGGACCGCTGGATTCCGGTTCAGTAGTCTAAAGTTTAAGTTTCGTACGCGAGACCGATATAACTTGGGTCCGAATCTTGTGAGTTGGGATCGCGGATGCGCACTGCTAAGGAGTCCCACAATAGGACGAATCGGCCTTCTGATGCTTCCATGTTTTCCATGGTGGTCTAGCTCCAATTAACTAATGATCTCAACTATTAAAAATATTATTCTTTATTATCGATTAACTGGTTAATTTATTTTATTGTTTGTTATTCGTAATCTTCCAGTACCGTCCAGTGGATGTAATTGTTGAAGTACCTATTCCACCAGAGTTTGTAAGACCTCTAGCAAATGTTGTAGCTGATGAAGGAGCGTGTGTTGTTATAGAAGGTCTTGTGAATGGTACGCCACAACCCAAAATATCATGGTATCGTTCTGGACGTCAATTATCTGATGGTCCTGATTTCCGTTTAGATTATACAAACAATCGTGTACGACTAACACTTAGTGAAGTGAGTTACTTTTTATTATTAACGAAAATAAGTCAATTGCTACTGGTGAATTTTATAGTTTCTAATGTGTTACGTAATATTCAATGAATTCATTGGGTCCAAAATTTCAGTCGAAGTAATTGAAGTTAATCCGAAATGATGCAACATTTCTAGAGATCTGACCAAATATCTTTATGTTAAAACTCCTGATATGAATAAAAATCCAAAACGGTGCTGCGGTTTGTGAAGATTGTTGCATGCTATCGACTATTTAACTGACTCATATTAGACTGAAGATACTACCAGTATTGTAGTTTGACAACTGTTTACCAATAACACATTCTATAATCGGATCGTGCCCCACTCAGTTAAAATCAGAAGTCAGAAGCGAAGAGGTTGGAAAGATATATTTGATGCGTTATCAATATATCGAGAAGTGACTGATCTAATCTGGATAGTGATCGTTGGAGATGTTTCCCACGCTGTGTTGTAACGTGATCTGGTGCGGATGCATGACCGAACTCCTTCAGCTAAACGAGTCCACTTAAAACAATGTGGTCAGCATCCAATGTCGAACACGTAGAAAGCTATTGATTTTGGGAAATTATTTATAAGTACAATACAATCAATGATAACCAAGTAGTATGAATTCAATTTGAAATCGTTTGAATTATCCCGTTGTTGACATTTTTGTCTGAGATTTGATTACTTCATCTGTTATATATCAACTTGTATTATAATGGCTGTATAGATGCAATCTGCACAAGATGTATATATATCAACTAAGACTGATCAAACTGAAGTCAAAAATACTAATAACGGGATAATCCAAACCAATTCAAAAAGTGGACAGTTAGTTGTACTCAGTAGCACAGCGGATAACACGATGGCATTTAAAGCAAATGGCACTGGGTCAGAGTCCTGGAGGGAACACCACCTGACTAGCCTTGGATTTCACTGTTAGTTACATTCCGTTTATTCTGTATCAACAAGTAGTGCTGTGGTGTATCCTACTCATGTTAACAGATATAAGTAGAATATAACATAAATCAGAAGTGGGATGTCTGTCAAAAGAGGATTAAGAAGATTGAAGTGAAGAGAACCGAAAAGGAAACAGAAAAGAATAGGAATAAAAACAGAATTAGAAGTATCATGAAGGGTATAACGGACAACTGATGGAAGATGTGCAAATGAAGTACTTAATGTATGGCTTTCATAATTTATGAGGACACTATAATTTCGCACTAAACAATATGCTGGTTATCTCCACCTGAGTATCTTTTTTACTACAGTACTAGCTAACGTCAATGCGTGATGCAAACTATTATAAGCAGTTATATGATAACCTTTGTCTGAACTTGAGCGTCTCAGTAGTTGGGTACTGAGTTTATGAAAGACAGTAAGAATGTATAATTGAAAATGTACGATAGGGAAAATGTTAAAAGTCAAAAAATGGTATACAATCTTTAATGTCATCAGATTGGGGCAAGTAACCTTCAGAATAAGTCTTACCTTTGCTAGACTGACCTAAGGTCAAGGGACTAATTATATTTTAGTAGTTGAATTCATGAGTTGATGTAAGCTAAACCACCATTGAAAACCTGGAAGCAATGGGCGGCTGTTTCATCCTAGTATGGGGCCGCTCAACAGTGCACATCCATGATCCCGCACACACAACTCGAACTCAGGACCTTCGGTCTCACTCGTGAACACTTAACTTCTAGGCCAATGAGTCGACATCCAACGGTGTTAATGATTAACTCCAAATAATCCATGATATTGCGCGATCATCTTTCATTGTCTTTGGTGCGTAACTGTCTCATACTCAACAAGGAATAGACTCCACTGGTCATAGCTTCTCACTAGGACTCCAGGAAATCCATCTTGAAGTCAGTCACTAGCAAGCATATAATGATTATGATAGGAATGGGTTTTGTGGAGACTGTAGTAATTTAAATAGCTTTCCATGATGGTCTAGCTTAGATCGACTTGTGAATTCAACCATTAAAATTACTACTATCTCAACAAAACCGATTCTGATCATAACTATACTTGCATTAGAATATTGATTTTCTTCGTATCTTTTAATCAAGTGCATACCTAAATAAATATGAATTCGATTCAGATTGATTACTTATTTTAAATAAATCTCACCTTCTAAACAGTAGTATTTAACAGATAAAATGCTGTTTGTAGTTGGATATTAACACCATTGGATGTCGGCTCAGTGGTCAAGAGGTTAAGCGTTCATGCTCGAGTCCGAAGGTCCTGGGTTGGAGTTGGGCGTGCAGAGCCGTGGATTCACACTGATGAGTCATCCCACACTAGGACGAAACAGCCGTCCAATGCTTCTTGGTTTTTAATAGTGATCTAACATTCATAGATTCATAATCTCAATCAAAAACTTAACAATCTCCATAACCCCGCACAAATAATATGTTTCCAATTCTTTTTCTTTAAAAATTAAAGGCTTTTCCTGATGATGCAGGTGAATATACTTGTGAAGCTGAAAATATTGCAGGTCGTGCACAAAGTACTGCAAATTTAATAGTACGTGGTCGTTTAATGACACCAAGATTTATAAAAGGACTTGAAAATCAAGTCATATATGAAAGAGAATCAGTTCGATTAATTGTTAAAGTAGATGGATATCCACCACCAACAGTTACATGGTAAGATTATTTACATTATTTCAAATGCATATGGTAAATATTGAAATCATTTTGTGAAATAACTGATCATTTCTTTTTATTATTTGAGATCTACTAATTTATGTACTATCATTATATAGCAATACTGATTACTCGTTTAAAGATCCCCATCATACAATTGCTGATTACACTAGTTGAAGCACGGGATACAGTGGACAGATAGGATGCAGCTGGAAGATTTACACTTCTCAGTTGATATCGCTCTTCTATTACACACGCAACAACAAATGCAGGAGCAGACGACCAGTGCAGCAGTAGACTCAGCAGCAGTGGGTCTCAATATAAACAAAAGGGAAAAGCAAGACTATCCGATACAATACAGCATGCACTAATCGAATTACACTTGACGGAGAAGCTTTGGAAGATGTGAAAACCTTTACATATTTGAGCAGCAACAACGATGAACACGGTGGATCTGATGCAGATGTGAGGGCGCGGATCGGCAAAGCAAGGGCAGTATATTTACAGCTGAAGAACATCTGGAACTCAAAACAATTGTCAGTTAACATCAAGATCAGAATTTTCAATACAAATGTCAAGACAGTTCTACTGTATGGGGCGGAAACCTGGAGAACTACGAAAGCCATTATCCAGAAGATACAAGTGTTTATTAACAGTTGTCTACACAAAATACTTCGGATCCGTTGGCCAGACACTATCAGCAACATTCTACTGTGGATAGAACAAACCAGATTCCAGCGGAGGAAGAAATCAAGAAGAAGCACTGGAAGTGGATAGAACAAACACTGAAGAAATCACCCAACTGCGTCACAAGATAAGCCCTCACATGGAATCCTAAATGCCAAAGTAAAACAGGAAGACCAAAGAACACAATACGCCGAGAAATGGAGACAGACATGTGAAGAATGAACAAAAGTTGGGTAGAACTAGAAAAGAAGGTCGAGGACAGAGGGGCTTGGAGAATGCTGGTCGGCGGCCTATGCTCCATTGGAAGTATCAGGCGTAAGTAGTTTATATGGATTTCAATTAATCTTAAGATGAGATAAAACAATTGTTCCATATTATTTGTTTCTTAAAAGTTCCTCGGTATACATCGGTCTTTCATCAAGAACTATCTTTGAACATACGACACTGGTTAGTTACAAACAAGAAGAAAAATCTAAATAATGAGAAATAATTTCTTGGAAAATTAGACAAAATTTCATCATTTAATTGTATGTTATATCCTCATGATGAATTGAATGATCGAATATCTATGTAACATAATACATTATTTACAAAATTAATTCTTTTAAATATTTCAGGACTCGTGATGGTCATGAAATCACAAGTTCTCCTAACTACATACTTGAATGTGAAGGTGATGGTATATATGCACTTAATATACCTGAAGCATTCTTTCAAAATTCTGGTCGTTATGCTGTCATTGCTGAGAATCCAGCTGGAAAATGTATTTCTTCTGGTTTATTAACCGTTTTAGGTAAGTTATTCTGAAATAATGTGATGATGATTTGCATCACACGTACGTGCTCTTAAGTAATGTTATACTTTATAAAAAATCTGTAACACAGTGGCTTAGTCAGTTATGAAAATCATACATAGAATACACCATTTCAAAATCTTCATTGCACTGTCCTTTACATATTCCATTATTCTTCATATGCTGTTGTTATTTTGATTAATCTTGGATTTCCTTCATATTCTCTTCATTGCAACCTTCCGTTGCCAAGTATTCAGATTACGATTGGTGCTAGAAACTATTTGTTTGTCAGTATAAGTAGCATGCATGGCGAGACAATAATTTAGGGATGACCTCTGAACGAATCTCAAGTGACCTTGAGAAATGTTAGCCAATCAGAAGACAGTTAGTATAGAGTAAAAATATATTATACAACACCAAAGAATTAGAGTGAGTACACTTCTTTGACATAGTCCAAAGGTTCCTAAATCGTAATGTATAAGGTAGAGGAACTCATCAATGTGACTCCATAATACTCGGTCTCTGGAGTCATGATAAGGTTACAAAAACTATATCAGCCTCGACCAAATAGCTTCAATATTGTTTGTATGTAGTCCGGTTGTGTAAGTTTGTCATTTTTATTACGCATATATCCCTACAACACTCACCTCTGAACAACCGAAGCTTCAGTAACATCTGCGAATATTGCAGCCAATAATACTGGTGCTTTTATTATACAGTTCACAGCAATTATAATAATTTGCCTTAGTCTCAATTTGGATCGAGTGAAAAAGGTTCCTATTCTAGCAGACTTCTTCCTCGAACATACATTACATCAAAAGATAACATCATCAGGATAGTCTGAGCAAGGTCTACAAGTCAATTGATTACCGCAATTACAAATGAAGGAACTTCTTATTAGTCCCATTTATTGTAGCCATTTAATTGTCACGTTTTCTCTAGGATCCTCTATGAACCGATTGTACATGAGCATCAGGTTCTGAAATTCGCGCTGTGACTTTGAAGTCCTTCAGACGCTTCTGATTGGCTCGTCCATAAATTATAGTCTCGCCGCATGCACCATAGAAATAATTTATTCAATACATTTTCCAATATCAATTTGTATATTGTATGCTACTAAACTATAAGTTTTGTTTAAATAGTGATCAATAATCTGAATGAGTTAAACTTTTACTCACTGGGTATAATATAGGTGACAAGTTTATGATGGTATGTACTGCACTGAGCTACCTAGTACACAAATATCATGCATACCTTGAAATATCCAAAACATGAATATCCCGACACACTAATCTGTGTATTAAAGTGATTATCAGGTCAATTTGTCAATCGAACCTAAGTTGAGTTTACATAGTTAGAAATTACAGTAATTACGTTAACAAGGTGGATTACACTCAATAGCCGAATGGATAACGCGATGGCATTTGAAGCGAATGGTACTGGGTTAGAGTCCCAGAGTGAACATCAACTCTGAGATGCAAGTACATCCAGCTGACGAGTTCCAAATAGGACGAAACGCGCGTCGTGGTTTCCACTGTTAGCCACTATCCACCTTTGCCTACAATTTTTAGTTATTCACTTGAGAGCGAGACTAAACTATACTGACGACCTTTGAACGAATCTTAAGTGACCTTGAGAAATATTAGCCAATCAGAAGACAGTTAGTATACAGTAAAAATATATTATACAGAACTCAAAAATTAAAGGGGATACTGTTCTTTTACATGACTCAAAAACTTCTCAAGGTCAGATATATGTTCAGAAGTTCTAAAATCATAGTGCATACGGTACATGAACACATCCATATGGCTCCATAGTAGTCGACCTCTGAAACCATGATTAGGTCTCAAAAATTCTTTTAGCCTCGACCACATAGCTTCAATGTTGTTGGTATATTGGTATGGTTTACAGTTTAGGGTTAAAATTATGGTTTAGGGTTTAGGGCTAAGGGTGAGACTATAATTTATGGATGACCTTTGAGCGACGCTAGAATGACCCTGAGAGTGTCAACATAATAACTAAGGCCAAATGAGGGTTATAAACCTGTGTGAATAATTCAAATTATGATTTACAGTTCATGGTTAAGGCTAGGAATTATACTTAGGGTTTTCATCACGAACTGACATCAGCTATAATGCCAAAACTCTATTTATCCAAATGGATAATTGAATTTTGAGGGAAAATCTTATGATCACTTCTCTTGTAGACGCTGAACTATCACGTCCTCCCTAAAATCCGCTGTAAATCGATCGTGCGTAAGCATCAGATACCGAACTTAACGCCGTGACCTTGAAAACCCGCGAAAGCTTCTGATTGGCTCGGCAGTATAGTTTAATCTCGCCAGTTAATTTGGGATCGAGTAGAATAGTAAGTCAAATACCCTATGCAACAACTATAAAAAGCTAGAACAAACATTGAAATATTACTTTTATTTATGTTAACAACCATTTTAGAGCCCATACATGACCTTGATGAAACTTGTATTCCATCGAAATGTAGAATCTGAAATATCTCTTAGTCACTAAACTAAACTTTAGAATTTAATTTCATTCCCCGCTATCCTTCAAACGTCTATGGTTGTAACTTATAAACAACTATTAAATAATATTTTTTTTAACTTAAGTTCTTTTCCATAGTTGAAATCATGAGTCAACTGAAGCTAGACCAACATGGAAAACCTGGAACCACTTGACGGCCGTTTCGTCCTATTATGGAACTCCTCAGCAGTGCGCACCCACGACCCCGCCTCGTGAGCTTCAAACCCAGGGCCTACCAGTCTCGCGCTGATATGCCACTGGACCGGCATCCAACGGCCGTCCAGTACTTCCAGGTTTCCCATGGTGGTCTAGCTTCAATTGACTCATGATTTCAACTATAGAAATACTGATATCTCCACAAAACCCCTTCTGATTTAAATTATTCTATTTCTAATCTTGTTTTGCAGAACCAGAAAGACCTTATCCTCGTGAATTAGATAAGTTATGTCTGAGCCAATTGACAGTGCAAGTAGAAGGTTTAAAACAAGTTCATATACCATCCCCAGAACCTAAACCATATCCGGAGAAGCCATATTTCACAAAGGTACGTCAATTATGAATACATGCTTATTGATCAGATATTTGTGATTCACTTCAACTGTGACTGAAGTGAAGAGGGTTATTTTTTATTTATTATGTATTGAGATGTATATATACTGACATGTAGACCTGCTAAAAAATCAGGTACATATTTATTAGGTATCAATTACCGTACTGTAATCGATAAGAATTGTCCATTATACTTCACGGAAGATCGATACGTGTTTTGATGCAGTTTTGTTCTCTGAGCTTGATGGTTTGGTCGTGGAACTTTCATCGTCCTTCTGAACGACATCATCAGCACAAACTTCGGGTAGAAGTGAAATGTTTGAATTTCTCGACATGTGATCCACAGCTTGCCCTGTGCACATCGATGTTGGTTGGTTCTTATTGACCTTAAATCTGTCATTGTTTATTTCTTTGTTTTGGTTGTATCTCCTATTGGTTTCTCAGCTACAAATCTTCTACACCATCTCAAGATCGATACGTGTGTTAAATGCTGGATATTTCTGCTCAACCATAATTCATACTTTTATTTCAGAAAAGAAAATTGAGTTTCACCATCAAAATCAATCCATTCATAAAATAAAGCAGCAATGGGCTTGAATTTTCTGACTACCCACATATTAACGTATTAAATGAATGAAGATATTTACGGTTTTACTATATTCAAAGGTAAATTTAGTCTTGATAAAAAAAACGGCGAGACTATAATTTATGGACGAGCCAATCAGAAGTGTCTGAAGGACTTCAAAGTCACAGCGCGAATTTCAGAACCTGATGCTCATGTACAATCGGTTCATAGAGGATCCTAGAGAAAACGTGACAATTAAATGGCTACAATAAATGGGACTAATAAGAAGTTCCTTCATTTGTAATTGCGGTAATCAATTGACTTGTAGACCTTGCTCAGACTATCCTGATGATGTTATCTTTTGATGTAATGTATGTTAGAGGAAGAAGTCTGCTAGAATAGGAACCTTTTTCACTCGATCCAAATTGAGACTAAGGCAAATTATTATAATTGCTGTGAACTGTATAATAAAAGCACCAGTATTATTGGCTGCAATATTCGCAGATGTTACTGAAGCTTCGGTTGCTCAGAGGTGAGTGTTGTAGGGATATATACGTAATAAAAATGACAAACTTACACAACCGGACTACATACAAACAATAATGAAGCTATTTGGTCGAGGCTGATATAGTTTTTGTAACCTTATCATGACTCCAGAGACCGAGTATTATGGAGTCACATTGATGAGTTCCTCTACCTTATACATTACGATTTAGGAACCTTTGGACTATGTCAAAGAAGTGTACTCACTCTAATTCTTTGGTGTTGTATAATATATTTTTACTCTATACTAACTGTCTTCTGATTGGCTAACATTTCTCAAGGTCACTTGAGATTCGTTCAGAGGTCATCCCTAAATTATTGTCTCGCCAAAAATACTCTTCACAAATAGATCGACACATTGATTTATATAAAGTCTAGTATATTAGTTGATAGGCCTGTGAATCTCACTCTCAAACCACGCTAAGGTTCCAGCAGTTTTACTTTTAAATCACTCAATATGACATAGTGAGCAGTAATTGTTTTCGTATTAATTGATGGTTGTTAAATATGACCTGCGAAGCTAACAGCCAAGTTTATTTTAGTAGTATTTGATTGTACATATTTCTTGTGTACTTTGAATTCATAGGATGTTGATACATTTCCGAATGCAACATGATTTTAACACACCTGACATGAATATAAGAAATTGTCATCAAACCTACACCAAAACTCAGCCTTTTTCACTTCAGTTATAGTTGCTACCGCTTTAATTCTATCCAACTAATGTTTCTCAGCATCATTCATCATAACCGAACACACAGTCTGTTCAAATGAAATGTCTAGACCTATTTCCATGGTGTCTTAATTCATCTCGTATACTACCATGACATTCACATTAACCATTGTCTTTTCTAACATACTTTTTCATATTAGACATTTAGTCCAGAAATAGAAATATGTGAAGGTGAACGATTGGTTTTAATAGCTGAAGCTTGCGGCAATCCAATACCGTTCATTAAATGGTATCTAAATGGACAACCTTTAGTTGATAGCCCAGATCATCAACAAACTCAAGTTGGACCACCTGTATCTGATGTGAATGAATTACAACCTCATCCGATAATAATGACAGGACATTTAATTATGAATGAACTATTCCCAGAAGATTCTGGTCTTTATACATGCATAGCAGAAAATATGGCTGGTCAAGCAGAAGTTATGGCTAATATAAGTGTTATACCAAAAAGTAAATCGTTGCACTTTTGAATCTTTACTCTTTGTAAATTGTTAATCTCATGCCTAAATTTTTCAAAAATAAGTATGAATTAAAACTAACCAAAGTGACAAGAAGCTTTATTTTAATACTATTCATAAGAATCCAAGTAATCAGTTATATATCCCGCTTCTCATTCAATGTGTGAAGTTCAGTTTAGTTGAGTAACAGATCATTACCTCTTTATCGGAGTCGTATTATTTGGGGATATAACCAAAGTTTGAGAAATAACTGTCAGTCAATCACCTTTTAACATACTGTTAGTGTGTTCAATTGATGAAACTATTACAAATGGTTTATTTGGAATAGTTTTCACTTTAATAATGGTCAAATTGAGGTCCCTTGAAAGGTGTTTAACGTTCCTGGAAAAATATAACAAATTGATTTTTATGAAGTTTCATCGACTAAGATGGATGATTTATTCACAAAGCTTTCATAATCCTTCTAAACAATACCATCACAACAAGTTTCAGACAAATGTGATCTATCTGAATATCATTACATATTAATTGACAGCCCGTTCTGTCAGTCTTAATCTTGACCAGTTTTGACAGAATAGCTACTTGTTTGTTATTTATCTAATGAAAAAAGCATATAAGTTCATTAAAATTTAGTTTCATAGTTGAAAGCGTGAGTCAATAGAAGCTAGACGACCAGGGAAAACCTGGAAGCACTGAACGGCCGTTTCGTTCTATTGTGGGACTCCTCAGCAGTGCGCATCCACAACTACGAAACGGCCGTTCAGTGCTTCCAGGTTTTCCCTGGTAGTCTAACTTCAAATGATTCACGCTTCCAACTATGAAAATACTAAATCTCCGCAAAACCCCCTCTGATAAAATTTTACTGTGTTATATAGATTTATGCTTAATAATGATTTTATTTTGTTCAAAAAAATAGCCATAAGCGATACAAAAAAACCAACTATTCAACCACCGGAGTTTATTAAATTCCCAGAATCTCCAGTAAGAGTTCAACCTGATCAAGAATTGATACTAGAAGTGGAAGTTAAAGGTTTACCACTAAATTCATTGAATTGGTATCATAATGGAATGATTGTGTATAACAATCCGAATCAATTCATTCAAAATATACCTAATACAGGGATTACAAGATTAATTATTCAGCAAATTCAACCATATGATCAAGGAGAATGGATAGTGACAGCTACAAATCCAGCTGGTTCATGTTCGAAATGTCTACAGATAATTCGTGAAGAGCCTATGTAAGTTTTCGTGAAAGCTTTAAATACACTGAATTTTATATTATGCGTTTATTTCAATCTCTTCATTGAATGAAAAAGAAAACTGTGAGTAGTGAAAAAACAACTATATCATTCAGTAGGTCCTGTCTAATATATCTGAGTTACCTATTCACTGAACAATCTATTGACATCCTCATTAAGGTGTGTTTTATGATTAGTAACCGCAGTAGGTTTTATAACGAATTTTCCTTTTAAATCACTTGAATTTAACTGATTAACACAGTCCTTTCCTAAGATGGTGGTTGGAGGTGGTTAACAGGAAACTCTGAACCCGGGTTTCATGCTACTTGGCACTCGTCAGCAAGGTGTACCTGTAATCCTAAAGGAACTGGTGCTCCCTGACGGGTTCGATCCCGTGTCACTCAGCTTCACAGTCAAAGACGTTACCACTGAGCTATTCGGGCCGTGACCGACAGTCCTTTCTTTTATTTGTAATTCAGAGATAGTTGATCATCATAGCAACCAATTTTACTAAGGACTTTATTAAATCATTTTCATTTTAAGCTTACATTCGATGAACCAGTTTCAGCTTACTTATCTTCAACTAGATCATCTTAAAAATGTCTTTACTTAAAAATTAATCACTTATCTGAAGGTGTAAACTAGACCTCCAGAGTGTTTTATTATTATGCTTATTATTCCACTGATAAATATAGCATGCCTTAGAAATCGTAGTATTTAAAATTAGTCAAAAGATCAAAATTATTGAATCTAGTTAGACAATAACACCGTTAAGCGCCAGATTAGTGGGTCGACTTACGCATGCGCAATCGTGGATGCTCACCATTGAGTCGTCTAATACTAGGAAGAAACGGTTTTCCAGTGCTTCCAGGTTTTCAACAGTGGTCTAACATTGATAAATGCATAATCTCAATATATATATGAATTAAATTTCAGATCTGTTCTGCCAGAGCCAGTCGTTCATACTGAATATGAATTGAAATTAAGTCATCCATCTATGGATATCACCGACTTATCGCATACATATCAACAACAAACAATATTTATACAACCAGAAATGATTCCACCCAATTTCATTGAACGATTTCCAAGTGAACTTAAAATAAATGAAAAGATCCCATTGCATATAAATGGCAGAGTTTATGGTCAACCCAAACCAAGCGTACAATGGCTTAAAAATGGGAAACCATTGTATTCAGATGAAAGGATACATTATCATGTATTGGTAAGTATCGAATGTCTTTTAGTTTTCTTCATGGGATTCAATGTTATTCTGTATTCAGGTTAATTAACAGTTTATTGATTAATTCCAGTTGGCTTATCAACATGAAAAACAATCTATTAGTTATTGTAAGCAAAGATGGATAGTGACTAGCGGTGGAATCCAAGACACGCGTTTCGTCCTGTCTGGGACTCGTCAACTGGACGTACCTGCGTCTGGGTTGATGTCCACTCTGGGACTCGAACCCAGGACCCTCGCTTCAAACGCCATCGTGTTGTCCACTCGGCCACTGAGTCCTGATAGCCAATTGCTTGTGCAGTGGAGTGAAGATTAAATTCACTTAGTATTGTTTGGTTGAATCTTCCCATTCATGTTTAGGACTGACCAGTTGCATTCATAAACATCAGTGAGAAGATTCAAACAAACAATACTAAGCGAATTAAATCTATTAGTTAGTTAGTGATTCCTGCCTACTAAGAAACTCATTTTAAAGGTGGAAACGAATAACTGTTAATAACATCGACAAATAGGATAACAAAATTTTTCCAATTTGATCATGAAAGCTTTCGTTATTTTATACCAACCGCCCATTCAAAGTCACAGCATCTTAATCTTCACAGATTGGACTAATTGCTAAGAGGTTATTTAAGGTTCTAATAATTTGATTTTCAACTAGTAGATCACTGGCTGATACTTTAATCAAACAGACGGTATCCCTTAAACATATGGTGTGGGTCAGAGTCCAAGACATATATTTTCACTTGATGAATGTCTCATATTTAACTAATAAACGTTATTGCTCTATGAAAAATCCCACTCTACAGCAAGCTTCACTTAAATGATCCTACAACTTGGATTTATACAATAATGGTAACTGACTTCCTTTTTAACTTTTTCACCTGTAACATTCGAAGTGAAGTCTTTATAGAATAACGGATAAAAGCTAATAATTCATGTCTAATTCTAGTGAATTACATTTATTGCATTTATTAAACTTGCCATTTTAGAATAACGAGAAACTTAACTAGACTACACGATGAAAGTTTAGAATTTAGCTATTTGATACTCATTGTTTTTAATAAGTCAGTGAAACCACTTCGTCCTCTACATTATACACCAGTTTTTTGATTGAAATCTTGAACTGATCATAGTTAGACAGTCAGTGAAAATCAAGAAGCCCTGGAGAATGATCTTATCTTAGCATGAGACTCTTCAGAAATGCATATCCACAAATCTGTCTCTAACAGTTGGATACCAGAACCAGCGGTCTAGAAGATAAGAGTTCGTGCATGAAGCCAAAGGCCCTGGATCTGACCTCTGATGAGGTAGTTGTGGATACTCATTGATGTGGAGTTCCATTCAAGGATAAGGCATCTATCCATTACTTCCTGAATTTTAATGGTTGCTAAGTTAAAATCATCCTATAATCTTAACTAAGAAATTCGAAATATTTCTAAAGATCCCCTATAGTAATTACTTGTAAAAGTAGAGATCGGTTAGAAGACGATACTCGTATAGTTTCTATTTATATCAGTACTCTACTTCCTAAATAATATAGTATTTCTTCCAGATATTTATTTTAAATTAACCTTTTTCATTCTTACATAATCATTCATAAAAAGATTGAAAGACTCTAGATCATAATAGTTATTACCTAAGTTATCTTTTTAAAATTAAAGTCATACATCCTAGTGACTTCGACCAACACTTGGAAAATTGGTATCATCATTTGTATGATGTAATAGTGAATAATGTAGATCAGCAGTGTATAATCTTACCACTACTAGTGTAGCAAGTTCATTAACTATGAAATGGAATTATATGCTTTAGAAAACTTTGTGTGTGGGCTGACCGAAGCAGGTGGTTTTCTTAGGGGGACACAGCCCAAGCCTTCTACTTAAAAGTCTGATCCACAAGGCAATGGAACATCGTGAGGAGATGCAGTCACATGGTAGCCGGTGGCCAACAATAGGTTCATACACCATTTGTTCCCTCAGGATCCTGAAGCCTATGCACATCATTGGTTTGGAATCAGGGTTTTTCAACTCCCCTATGTGAACCCACAGTATCCACCAACCCAGTTAAGGCGCCGGACATTCGCTTTTCGTCCTCTCAATTCCGTAAACAACACCCCCACCACGAGAAGGTAGTGAGTGTGACTTCCTGGCAGAGGCTATATACGCGTGGCCATGTGAGAGCATTTAGAGAGGGAGAGCGGACTCTCCTCACCCTCGGCCGTACCAGGGCATTAGGGGGCACCTTGTTGATAAATGCTAAATGAAACAATTAATTAATTTGATCAATTATCATTGAAATCCTGGTACAATACAATGTCATATTTTGTGATAAATACCTTGTATGTGAAACAATAACTAGTCGTAACTTAGAGGATAGCACTACACGTCACATATTGTTTGCTTTCTAACAGTAATTAAAGTACCCAATGTACAAACATAGACATTAAAATTAGTCTTTTTATATTTTTATGGGAGAGACATTGAGACCTATGTAATTATGAACGTTTTTTTTATCAGGATAATGGTGAAGTGAGATTGGAAATTACAGAACCTACTGAAACTGATACTGGAATTTATGTAGCATCGGCGAAAAATCCTGCTGGAGAAGATCATTGTATTGTTAACGTAAGTAAATTTGTTAATGGTTATTGATTTCTTTCATGATGATTAGTAAACCTCCATAGATCTCTTTTAAGAAATGTAATATCATCGCATGTGCTTTAACATTCAAGAAGTGTTGCGATCTTTTTATTGTAGCTCTCCGTTGTACCTCTATCAAGTGTTGCCCCAACTGGTCAACCACCAGTATTCTGTAGAGGTCCTCTTCCTTGGTCTCCGACAGAAGTTGGTCCAATAATCACATGTCCTGGTGTGTTACATTTACAAGAAGGTCAGCCTGTTCGCTTAGAAGCTGAATTAATCGGGAAACCAAGCCCAACAGTATCATGGTTTATTAATGGTCGTCCGATTACCATGGATAAAACACACAAGGTAAATACTCTCAAATTTTATAAGTACTTTTAACATAGAACGAACTAGTTATATTTTAAAACCGTTTCCATCAAAACTTGATATCTGGTCGTAAGTCACTAAGGAACTGCTTTGTTTTTACCAGCCATATCCCAGTGATGGACACACTTGACTTCACATGCAATAAAATGAAGTATTTTCAGAGAATCCATGAAAGTAAACGAAGTGTCTTCTCAGCACCTTTTTTTTCAGGGATTCTCAAGCTTATATGAATTTATTAAAGAATTATCTTGGTATCTTTTAAATGTCTCTAAACCAAATAGTCATATCTTCTTTTCCATTTTCTAATACCTTACCATTTCAGATCGTCCCCATGCGTGCAAACGTATGTTCACTAATTCTAGATACACCAGTACCTAACATTGATTCTGGTGTCTGTAGTTGTATTGCTACTAATCAATTTGGTCAAGCTGAACTTCGATTTAATATACATGTCGAAAGTAAGCCACAAACAATTTCACAGGCTCCTCGGTTCATACAAAAACCACCCACTCAACTGACAGTACCCCTTAATGAGGAAGTTACATTGTATGCGGTTGCAGAAGGTATACCACAACCAATACTATCATGGCATAAAGATGGAAAGTAAGTTTATTGACCTATATTAAACATATTGGTTAGATGAAACATATAAGCTTGTTATGTAAGTAAATAGAAAATTTATCATTACCACTGATGTAAAATGAACTGGATCATAAATTAATTATATTTAATCAAATCAACCGATCAAAATTTAGAAAAATCAACAATATTTACATAAACCTTTTCATTCTAAGAATGATCCTAACAACAGAAGTGGCTAGGAAGATTTGTAGTTCAGGTGGATGATTTTGATGGAGTTTTGTTCTCTGAGCTGGATGGTTTGATCGTGGAACTTTCATCGTCCTTCTGAACAACATCATCAGCACAAACTTTGGGTAGAAGTGCTGATGATGTCGTTCGGAAAGACGATGAAAGTTCCACGATCAAACCATCCAGCTCAGAGAACAAAACTCCATCAGAAGTGACTAAAACTTGATTTCCATTTATCAAGTTTGTTCGAGCAAATAGAGAAACAAATGAATTTTCATTGTATATTTTACATGTTAACATCTTCAAATTGAAACCAGTCGAATAGACTCAGAAAAAGTGTCCCCTAGTAATCCCCAGTTTAAAAAACCAAAATAAGTGTCACTGTTAAATCTAGACTCATATTGTTGTACTAAATGATTAGATAACTAGATAGACATCGACTTAGGTTCCTTGTAGACTGTTTCTTGAAGTATGTTGACAATGTATATAGCTTCCACTGAATTCGTATTTACTAGTTCATCATTTATAAAAGATGTAATCAAGTTTTGTCAAGTAATAATTAGAAGAAATTAATGTATTCAACACTGCTGACGAGTCCCACAATAGGACGGAACGGTCGTCTAATGCTTCCAGGTTCTCCATGGTGATCTAGCTTCAATTGACTAATGATTTCAACTATATGTATAAAAAATTACATTTTAGGTTATTCACTGGAACATCAGATGGTCGTATTCAAATTTTAACAAATGAATTAGAGACAACACTTCATATTGCAGCTTTACAGTCTGAAGATTTAAGTACATGGCAATGTTTGGCTGCGAATATAGCTGGAACTGCTTCAGCAAGAGCAAAAATTTCAGCACCAAGTAGGTCCTTTTTTGAGAGAGAGATAATAAACTACTTAAGTAAAAACGGTTGCATAATTTTTATTGAAATGATTATATTTATTCAGTAGTACTTTTTAAATATATCACTCGTAAACGTATCTGTTATGACTTGTGGCCGAGTGGATGCCTTGTTAATGTGTAACGTGATAAGACCGCCAATTAGAGATCAACGAATTATCGATCGGACTAATGATACATGGAAACCATACGAGCAGTCTAGAGTACTTATCGGTCCTGCTTTCTGCCTAGCCCAACCAGTTAAGTAAAGAACAGCCTCTGAAATATGAACCATTATTCACAAACATACTGAGTTTATATACCAAACTAACTGACCACATCATACCAATAAAATAGAAAACAACATTTGTACAAGATTTAGCCAGATGTGGCTGTGAATGAGGGAGGCATTAATTAATAGACTGGGTATAACTCAGGAATAGTATCCGATATCAGTTATTCTTAGTCTAGATTTATTATCAAGTCAAATGGATCTTCAATTAAAATTAATCACTTACAAATTCAAAGATATTATATCTACAATGTATCGAATAACGGATTCCACACTAAAATAAGATATATACTGATCAGTAGGAAATAACCTAACCCCAAAGCCTAGAATTCCTTCTTGATAACCTCTCACATGTTAATATCAGTTGCAACGCAGTATTCTATGGTACATATCATTAACGTTTATTGGTTGGGTTTTTCTTATCAGTACAGAAAGGAGAATAACGTGAAACTAATTACTTTTGCAAAGTTAATCAATTGAAGACTAAATATTGTTGTGACTTTATAAAAGAAGGCTGTATGCCAATTCCTTGTGGTCTTATTTACGGCTTTTTTATCACACGAATTATCCACCAATCAAAATACAACTTCCACAATCTTAACGCTGTACCAAATCAATAATGTCCAACTGGTATGAGCAGTCTAACGTCCTTATCGGTCCCTTGTCCATCTGGCCCTTCCAATTGAGTCCATAAACACCAATTACAGCTTCTAATATGCGAATCATTTATTTCAAGCAGAATCGGTTTATATACCAGACAGACAGACGGCAACACACCATAAAATAGAAGATATTATATGTACAAGATCAAGCCAAATGTGGCTGTGAACGTGGGATACAGTAATCAATAAACTGAGCATAATTTAGAGACAGTAAATCGTATAATAGTAATTCATAGGTCAATATGAAGCTTATGATAAGATGAATATAGATATCCATAATCTAATTACTCAATAATAAAACAATAAGAATATATATAGAATGATCGTCCATTAATAGGTCCTGAGAGTTACCCGTACTTAAGTCTTCGCTATGATATAACAAATATACTATTTAAAGTGATGTATGGTAGTGAAAACAAAGTATAATTAGTCGTTGAGCATAGACAAATAACTACAGCCTACGAACTATTCAATAAGTGATTTTCCTTCCTATTATTGATTTTGACTCCTAACTCCCTGTAGTCATATTGAGTATAGTATTCTCTAGTGTTAATCTGATTCTTTATTTTGGATAGCAAATCTTGGTTCTAATATAACGTGATTTTTATTTCATATTTAGTTGAAGAAAAACCTAGAGAAATAATTCGAAAGTTTAGTATACCAAAGAAACAACCAGAAGGGTAAGAAACGAATAGTTTCCTATTTTTTATTCATTATTGCATACGATTATAAGCAGTTATAAATCAAATGAATTTGATAGACAGATTCCAGTGAATATTAGGGGAGAGTCCGCTCTCCCTCTCGAAAAACCCCCACATGGCCACGCGTATATAGCCTCTGACAGGGAAGTCCCACCCTGTGCTTTATCGTTGCGGGGGTGTTGTTTGCGAAATTAAGCGAATATCCGGCGATTTAACCGGGTTGGTGGAAACGGGAAGTTCACCTAGGGGAGTTGGAAAACCCTCATTCCAAACCAATGGTGCACATGGGCCTCAGTATCCTGATGGAACAAATGGCATATGAACCAATTGTTGGTCACTGGCTACCATGGGATTGCATATCTTCACGATGCTCCACTGCCTTGTGGATCAGATCTTTAGGTCAAAGGCTCGGGGTGTGGTCCCCTAAGAAAATCATCTGCTTCGGTTTGTGCACCTGGTCAGCATCACAGCCCTCACACAAATCAAATGAGATTTGTGTGGCGCATATGTATTTGGTGTCCCTTTGTACCAATATTTATGTGTTCAAATAATAATTATAACATAATAACATGTCTTTACTAATCCATGAAATCAGTTAATAATGTCCCAACTACTCACCACGTTTACGATTTAACAGTCTGCAACTGAAATCTAACCGGATTGTTTACATTAATGTGAGTCTTTATGAGTATTGTGAACAAAATGATGATTTTAAATACATTGTTTCTAATGAAAATACCATCAATAGGACACTTCGATGAGACAAACACACTGAAACTGTGTGACTTTTTTCAATAGTCTTCAGTTTGTGTATGTAGTCACTTGATCGGAACCACTCATTTATCATCAAAATAATGTTGTCATCGTCACAATAGACGTGATGAAGATTGATTAGGTGTTATAGTATGAAGCTGAGTAATAAACATGTTATTTAAGCTCTCATTACATGAATCGAAAACAACCGACATGAACGAATCTCTTATTTGGTAAGACCTGATGCAGTGAGTTTGATCCGTATGTGAAGTGTTTTTGATTGATTGTTAGTTATTCTAGTATACATTATATAATCCATTTATATATTTTCTGAAAGGGTAAAGATACTAAACTGTACATGGGAGACCTAATTTCAAATTACACCGGAGAGCTGTGAAGTGTTTTCTGAACTCTAGTAACTCTTTAGTTGATCCCAACCCATGATTATTTATTATCACGTACAGACAGTAAACGCTGACAAGCATTAAAAAATGGTTAAAATAAATTGTTTAGTAAACCTCAATAAGGGGCTCCATGAGGTATTTCCTGGAGTTCTACTGAGAAGCAGTAACTAGTGAAGTTCAATCACGTTTTTTGGGAGATATCAACTCACTCAAGACATTGATGAAATGGTTGCTCAACTTCGTGGATTGGTTGAAGTTAGACATTAACGACGTTGGATGCCGGTTCAGTAGTCTATTGGTTAATTGCTCACGCGCGAGACTGATAGGTCCTGAGTTCGAATCTCACAAGGCGGGATCGTGGATGCGCACTGCTGAGGAGTCCCACAATAGGACGAAACGGCCGTCAAGTGGTTCCAGGTTTTCCATGGTGGTCTATCTTCAACTGAGTCGTGATTTCAAGTATATGTAAACCCCGATAAGTTGAGTGTATAATCTTAAAGTCTTCTTCAGCATTAACGACGTCCCAATCTAGTTTTTTCCTTAAAATAACTAAGTAAAAACAGTTTAGCCATGACTTAATTTATAGCAGTTAATGAATTTTTTTAAGCACAATCACATAAAAAAATAACTTTCAAGTAAAATTAATATTAAATACATTATACTACTTACAAAATGTGAACACTATGATTTACAACGGTTAAAAAGATGTGTAGCTGCAAGGGAGAATGTTAGTGTTATGTTCTCTAATGTGATCAGAAACCTATAAACACTTATATTACTGGTATTTGTAGTGAACAAGAGCACGAATGGGGACAATCGAATGTTTGTAAACTCAAAATTACAGAACATCTTAGTAAAACCTGGAAACCAAACAGTAAATACTTAATTTACAGAATGTCAATCAAACTTGACTGTTTCTTTGCAACTGCCAATTAGTTGTTTCATACTTCACTGTTCCTTTATCTCAATACCAATTTCTTCCTGTCTCTGTTCCTCCCTTTTGGATCTTCTAATACCAGATATTCTACTCCTGACTCACGATATATACTACTTATGTCGGTATATGTAGCACACATCACAGTATAATTGTGAAAATGATCATCAGAATTAATTTATCAATATAATCTGAACAATAATATTAATACTTACTCACTTGCACAAGCAAGTGGCTATCAGGACTCGGTAGCTGGATGGATAACGCGATGGCGTTTGGAGTGGGAGGTACTGGGTCCGAGTCTCAATGTTAACAGCGACTGTGAGATGCAGGTACATGCAGCTGACGAATCTTAAATATGACGAAACGCGCGTCAAACTGGATTCCACTGCTAGCCACTATCCATCTTTGTTTACAGTGCTTGTAAATTAAGGCTATATCGAGGCAATACGTACAGTATGCACATATACCAATAAGATATGGACTGATCAATCGCAGTCCTGAATATCAACCGGAAGATCCAAACAAACAATACTAGGTGAATTTAAACAATATTGTCTCATTCAATTACATTTTTTCTTTGCATTTACTATATTATATAATAATATTGATATTCGTTTATGGAAAATAGTAAATTAATAAAGATATTTTATTTTTTCAGACTACAAGAAATAACCTCTCCTAATCCAATAATAATGTCACCACCTCAATCAGTATGCATAAATGAAGGTGAAAATGCTCGTTTTACAGCTCATATTGTAGCAAATCCATCACCAATTGTAACATGGTACGTGAATGGTCAACCTGTACCTTCTTATGGAGTTATACAGGCACAACAACCGGAAAGTGAAGAAATACGATACATTAGTAGATTTGATGGTTTAATTTATTATCTAGATATGCAAAAATGTAGACCTGAAGATGCAGGTGAAATATTTGTTGTAGCTCAACGAAGTGATATTTCACCAGAATTAGTAAATATTGAACCAAATGCTGTTGTAAGTGCATCTGCTAAATTGGAAGTGATACCAGTAATTGATTTACGTGCACAACTTAAACCAATTCCAAGTAAGTTAAAATTCTACATAAGAATTTGAAATTGTTTGTTTTATACAATTATCTCAATATTATAATTGAGACCATTAGACAATTGAAGCCAGACGACGAGACTCATCAGTAGTGCGTATACATGATCCTGTCTCGCAATATTCGAACCTAGGACCTGTCAGTCTCGCGCGCAAGCGCTTAACCTCTTGACCACTAAGCCGGCATCCAACGGTGCTGACTTCAACTAATCCACGAAATTGAGCAGCCGTCCACCATTGCCTTCAGTGAGCTGATATGTCACAACAGACCTGGTTGAACTCCACTGGTCACTGCTTCTCACTAGAACTCCAGGAAATACTTCATGGAGCCAGTCACTAATGAGCATATGATTATTATCAGAAGGGGGGATTTTAGTAATTTTACAGTTGAGATCATGAATTAATTGACGCTAGACAACTATGGAAAACATGGAAGCTTCAATTGATTCATGATCTTAACTATAAAATTACTAAAACCTCCACAAACCTCCCTTCTAATTATCTCTATAGTCATTTAAAATGAATAATGCTTTCTTCAATAACAGTAGAAGACATCAGATTAAGCTTTCTAGTCTATCTAATAATTGAAAACATACTCTTTCTCAGTTAAATACATTAATTAATTTGATTAAACCATTATTAAAGACAATAAATTTCAGAAAGTCACTGATTTGACACGTAATAAAGTAAACGTCTAGGAAGTGGTTGGGTCACTTGTTCAGTTTACACAATATCCGTGCATCTTGTCAAAATTATGAATTTTTAGATCTTTTAAAGTTATTTTTAATAGTTGGATTTACAAGTCAATTTAAGTTAGACCATTTTCGGAAACCTGAAAGCACTGGATTGCCGTCCAGTCATGGTATGAGGCGACTCATCAGTGCGCACCTGAACCCAGGACTTCCGGTCTCGAGCGCTGACCCTTGACCTCTAGTCCATTGAGACGTCATCCAACTGTGGTAATGTCTAACTGCGATCGATCCATATTTATGATGAACGCCACAATCTGGTGACCAATAGCTCAAGTAAATCTATTAATGAATAGCTCTAGCCGATAGTATTGAAAGAAACATTTTCATAACCAAACTTAGCTAGGAACTTGGTAGGTAACTGCACAGTATCACGTTCGATCCTAAATAATATACATTTAAATTTCAACTGAAATTCGAATCCATGTTTAGCATGTGAATAAAAACGTGTACATTTTTTCTTTCTTCCAGAACCATCTGTTGAAGTAATACCTGAAAAAGTTATACCAATACAAGAAGGTCCTACAATGCGTGCACCACGGTTCTTGAAATTCTTACAACCTCAAACTGTTCCTGAATCTTCAGAAATAATGTAAGACAATGTTTAATTTAAAGGTTTATTACATCTTTAGTACAGTACTAGGTTATTCATTCAACTTGATAAATAAACGTTAGTGTAGAAATACATCTGTAGTGTATAAACTCCCAAGTGGGGAGAAACCATACGATCAATACTTCACTTGAAATCCTCCATCCATTGTTTCAAACTTCATCGTTCCTTCATTGCCATAACAGTTACTCTTTGTTCCCATTCTCTTCGATCCGATTTTCCCAACCTTTCGTTGCCAGGCATTTTCCTTCTGATTAGTTTAATATACTACTGATATCAATATAAGTAGCACACACCACACTTCGATTCCTTGCATGACAAAAATAAAATGACGTCTTACGATTGTAAACTATTTTTGAAATTGGAAATACATGATTAAAAATAAGAGTCGAAGTTTATCAAATAACCATCAGGATTGAACATTGATCCATGAGTCCCATTTCAAATCTATACAAGTTTTAGCATGAAAGTCAATTCACCTTCTCATAGAACTAACGGATATGAACAACAACTTCAACTAGTAAAGTTTTTTTTCACACAAACATGAATAGTGTAATTGAGATAACTTCTCAGGTGTCTTAGACATTATAAATAATCCAGTTCATTCACAGATGGTGGAGAGGATTTGTATATCAGGTGGGTGATTTTGATGGAGTTTGGTTCTCTGAGCTGGTTGGTTTGGTCGTGAAACTTTCTTCGTCCTTCTGAACGACATCATCAGCACAAACTTTGGGTAGAAGTGCTGATGAGGTCGTTCAGAAGGACGATGATAATTCCACGACCAAACCATCCAGCTCAGAGAACAAATCTACATCAAGTTCATTCACAGTTACAACAATTTGTTCATTTCAGAAACCAAATAAAATTGGCGCCCATAAGTATTATGTTGATCTTCTAACTTTAATCTTTCTTATAAACAAAGGTGGATTGATTAATTATTAATGTTAACTGTAAATCTTCCAATTCTATTTTATTCCATTATCTTTAGGTTTTCAGTGGAATTTGATGGTGAACCAGCACCTGAAGTTATCTGGACACGTGAACAAGTCGATATAAGTAATAAAGAAAACTATAAAGTATGCAAAATATTTACGTTTTTTGATTATATTTACAGGTTACAGTAATTTTTAAAAACTTGATATCAGTCAGTCAGTCACAACGTAGAACTTCGTATGTAGGTACATCAGTTCGAGTTACCATACCACATTAGCACATAGATGTAGCTGATGATTCGAATCCCATAGCAGTAGATGTAGTAAGAGCATAAGCATTATGTGAAAGATTAGGGTTTGAAGATATTAACCAAGGAGTATAATCCAATGAAATAAATTTGGAAAGAGAAAAAAGATAGAGACATGAAGAAGATTAGAAGATTAGAATTTGGTAGAACACGAAGAGTGGATGCACCTTTGCCATTAAAAATGATTTTGAACCATTTCATTCAAGGTCTCTAATCAGCAACATGGCTCAGTCCACCTTTCAGTGACTTCATGGGTTTGTGCCACGTTTAGGTCTGGCCGTTCCTAGCATTCTTCCAACTTACTCCTACACCATAAAACATTGCACGTCGGGACAGTCGGTGGTTGGACATACGTAACACGTGTCCCAGCCATCTCAACTGATGAAGTTTCACTACGTCATTAATCAATTTGCCATCCCTATCTAGTACCCGTGTCCTTACAACTGCATTACTTACTCGGTGGTCCCAGGATATACGAGCAATGCTTCGAAGAGACCTACGAATATCCTCTACTCTTATCGGCCATGTTTCACTGCTATTAAGTAGGATGGAAACGACTTGATATAGAATAGATAGATTGTGGATAATAATGAAATCCAGGAAATATGTATCATGTTATTCGAGGCTCATTAGCTGGATATATCTGAATCCTAGTTATGTTATTTACATTGAGAATCCAACTTAATAACCTACTCTTCTAAAGTCAATGAGTTATCCCCTAAGTTATAGAGTTCAAATAACCATTCACCTGTTCAACCGGTGTGATGTTTATATCACTATTTTTTTTTTTAAGTTTGAATGATCTATAGAATGTCAACAACAGAATAAATACTACTATTATCATTACTACTAACAAACAGTTACTTTATGTATATTAGTTATTTCATTGATCGATTATCACCTATAATGCTATTGTTGTTAAATTCTTCTCCTTCGACATAGATTATCAGATTAATGTACCGTGAACACAAAAAATAATGAAAAACAGCATAGAGTGAATTTCAGGTATTAAGACTCTGAGTGAATGTTGAACAGTTTAATATGATTTTGAGATTGTGGAGATGATTTGTAGCTCAGGTGGATGATTTTGATGGAGTTTTGTTCTCAGAGCTGGATGGTTTGGTCGTGGAACTATCATCGTTCTTCTGAATGACATCATTAGCACTTCTACCCAAAGTTTGTGCTGATGATATTCGTTCAGAAGAGTGATGATAGTTCCACAACCAAACCATCCAGCACAGAGAACAAAACTCCATCAAAATTTATAATGAGTTAAGGTCACTTATGCTATGAATAATTTTCTAGAACCATATGAACCATATGTCTGAAAAAGTAATGAATTTTAGACATTATTAAGTGAAGAGTACAATACTTTATAGATCTTTTTTCTGCAGTAATTTGAATAAAGATGGTCTAATTTTAAGTGATGTTACTTAATTACGCCTGTTGCTCCCAGTGGACCATAGACCGCCGATCAGCATTTTCCAACCCGCTCTGTGCTGGGCTTTCCTTTCTAGTTCTATCCAATTGTTATTCATTCTTCTCATGTCCTTCTCCATTTCTCGGCGTAATGTGTCCTTTGGTCTTCCTCTTCTCCTTTGGACTTCAGGATTCCAGGTCAGGGCTTGTCTTGTGATGCAGTTGAGTGTTTAATTGATGTAATTGTGAAATATTCTAAATACCAAATAGTACCAGATGATGTTACTGACTTTTCACCTTCCAATTTGTCATGTTGTGATAACTATTAAAAATATGTAAAATTTGTAACCCACTGCCCCATTGTTAAGAATTACCGAATTTATAGTAAGATTGATTTAGAGCAACAGCCTAATGTGAGAGTAAACAAACCAGCCTCCGGCTGATGAGGAACTTAGGAAAAGACAATGATAGTGGATAGGATATATATTACAGAAATCCTCACACTGAATCACGAAGAAAGCACTAACTTAAGACCCCGATGTGAAACGAAAAAGAGACCAAGGAACGTACTGTGCTGAGAATTCGAAGGAGACACGAAAAGGATGAATAGCAACTGGAAAGGATTATCTAGGATAGAGTTGGATAGAAAATGCTGACAATCACCCTATGCTCCTCCACGAGGGGTGACAAGTGTATGAAAGTACGTAAGTATGCTGAAATATAGTAGTTCCAATAAGTTATTCAAGAATTCTATTCTAAAGGTATAGTAATGTGTACTATGTATGCTGTGTGAACTTTAATATCTCTAAGTTAGAATCGAAAACATGTCTTCATATAAAACTACAAACATTTTGGACTAAATTTAAAAGTTACTTAATTTGCATAATTTGAAAAGCCATTAAAATGGGATACATCGGTTATCTTATTGTCAAGGTTCAGACGAATTTTATGAACTGCTATGTTCAACCCATTACAACCCTACTTACAAATCCTTTTTTCTTTTACAAATAGATAACAACAACATCAACAACTAGTCAACTTGTTATTTCAAAAGTTCTTTTAGAAGATACAGGAAATTTCTCAGTTACATTACGTAATCCAGCTGGACAAGCTTGTAGTAAATCAAGGCTTACAGTGACACAAATTAAAGTGTCAGGAAAAGCACCTGAATTCATACCACCCTTAATAGAATCACAGATTGTAGAAACTGGAGAACCAATCACATTTGAATGCAAGGTTAGTATATACTTTCAACTTATTTCTTAATTCACTGCACTAAATTGTAATTATGTTGGAGTGTTAATTAACTTTCAATTATTAAAATTTTAGATATCGGTTAAGTGCTCTAGTGCAAGACTGGTAGGTCCTGGGTTCGAATCTCGCGAGTGCGAGATCGTGGATGCGCACTGCTAAGGAGTCCCATAATAGAACGAAACGGTCGTCTAGTGTTTACAGGTTTTCCATGGTGGTCTAGCTTCAATTGACTCATGATTTCAACTATGAAAATATTAAAATTTTGCAACAAAAATTAAAGTGAAGAAATGCATCAATCAATCATGTTCATGTGAACCGGTTAAATGGGTTGACATTAATTACACGGCCATTATGATCCCCTACCACCCAATTTTTTCGAAATTCAAGGATGTGAAAAAAATTTAGCAATTGGTGATTGGTGAACTCGTTTTTGAAAGTGTGTGCCCAACTGAAAGTGAACAAACATTTTGTCACCCGTCATAATTTTTTCCAATTTAAAGCAATCATTCCCTTTGATAATGTAGTAAGAAGATGAAGATTATCAGAACTATGTGATTGATATATTAGCGCAATACATTTCGAACAATCTGATCACACATTTATAAATAAAAATAAAAGGTCAACTAGACTGGAAATGGGAGGTGGTAAGAATAGACAAGGATAATAATAATAAAAATAATGTGAAAACAATTTGACACCTAATCACTTTGGCTAATAAGTTAGTATTACCAGGGTAGGTTTAAGGTGAGAACAAACGGTTTTTGAATACACGAAGGGGTTTAAATTTTCGTATGGGTAAGGCTTCAATAAATCTTAGTATATGCCCTTTTACACTTTTTATACAACACCACAAAAGCAAAGTTAAAATCAATCTGATGGCCTGTTTCGATTATATGTTTGACAATAGAGGATGATGGATGTTTATCTTTTTTAATTAGCTGTAAAGGGTGCATCTTTATAATCTGATTAGTTCAAATCGAACTTACATAAAGTGTTTTAATTGGATGTAAGATAAGAATTTTAACTTCGGAAAAAAAGACACTAACTCCATTTCATTACCCTGCCATACTCCTGTCAGTGACTGTACATCGGGATAAGTTTATTTTTCAATCAAGTTGAAATGGAACTGAAGTTGCTAGTTATCGTGACAAGAGCAATAATTTGTAGATTGTAATTGCGTTATTTCGCTAATTCATGACAAGCGTTAATTGTTTATACCTGTACACATAAAGGTCGACGACACACCTGTACTATTAAATGTCATTACGTGATCAAAGAAATGGAGGCCATTGTTGTTAAGTATATGATTGGACGATAATAATTCACCAGTTAATAACAATAATAATGCAACGAACAAATGGCATAAGCGAAATCTACTGCAAAATATTCGTGTGTAATAAATTAAGTATACTTGAAATTCGTCACAGTCTGTTGCATAGAAGTGGACCACAACGATTATAATTGAGTTTATGAATTGACCAATGTTAGACCACCATTGAAAACCTGGATGTACTGGAAAGCTGTTTCGTATTAGTATGGGACGAATCAGCAGTATGTACCCGCAATTCCACACGCGGTATTCGAATCTAGGACCTTCGATCTCGCGGTCGAACCCTTAGCATCTAGACCACTGAGACGGTATCCAAAGGTGTTAATGTTTCAAATCAATCAATCCAAGATATTGCGTGACCATCAACCATTATTATTATTATTAGCTTTATTCAATATCATATTTTTGGTACAATATAGAATTCTCAGCACAATATATTTCAACAAGTTTCCGTTTCTTACCTCTTGATCGATCCTGACGACAAATACTGAGTGTTCGCCAGCTAGAAGTTAGCAGTTCAGTCAATCGACATTTGAATAATGTACATTTCTTTACCCTTCATATTGTCAGCAACCACAATATCTCTGGTTGGGCCTTTTGTAATTTGCACAACGATAGGTTGTACACTTTTCAGAAACGCACCTGAATAGATTATGCGATTAATAGACATACTGATGTATTAAAACAAACAAAAATAGATAAATTGTTAAAATATCTGGATGACAGGAACAGGTGGTCCAGATGTTCAAGAAGGCCGACTTTGAAGCCTTTGTCATACAAAAAACCAAACTCTTCTTTTATATTTAAAATCAGTTGGTTATTTTGATGTTAATTTCAATGTTTTCTCTTTTCTACTCCGGTTGTTCACATGCCACAGATGACCATTTTGTTTCGACAATTAATAACTCAACTAATTAATGTATAATCAGATAGTTCGAAATATTTTGGATGAATAAATCACATCTAATATAACTACCTAAATTTTCAAAACTAGTGTTTTATGTAATGAATAACTATTGTTGATTTTAATTTACTAATTGAATGAAATATAGGTTACTGGTGAACCAACTCCACAAGTTCATTGGGAACGAAATGGAGAACGGTTACCGCTGAAAGACCTTGAACATATACGCGTATTTGATGCCCCACCATTTCATACTCTTGTATTGTGTGAAACTGTACCAGACGATTCTGCCGAGTATCGTTGTGTAGCAATAAATGCTCATGGACAATCAATTTGTAAAGCAAATGTTACTATACAAGGTAATTTCAAATGGGGTCTTTGTATCAACTATTAATTGCTCATATTTCATAACAGTTGTTTTACGTCCTGTTTTATAAGGCATATATCTCTTAGTCAGATAGTTTAATTAATAACTCTGGAATGTGATGATATAAACTACTGACTCCGATCTCCATGGTGACCTCAATGCTAAAGCACAGAAACACTTAATTGATAAATTCTAAACAGAAAGATCCATACCCTTTAGATATAATTTCTGTTCAATCCTAGATGAATAAATTTTATGGTTGAGGGTTTATGAATACTAAAAACAAAAATGTCAGCTACCAAGAAATTTCACTGTTGCTGAAATCCGAGAGTTCTAATCATATTTTCCTAGAAATTCAACATTTGAATATAAAAACTCGTGTAACCTTTGTGGTCAACAAGAGAATGTAAATCAGTGTACAGAAATGGTTAACCGCTTATCACAAGGACTAAAAGACTTCTGTTCGATCAGTAGCAATGTCTTATGTGCTCACTATTGAGTAGACCCATACTATGAGGAAACAGCTGTCCAGTCTGTTATAACTCATAACCCTGTGTCCCATTTATAAATAACGCAATAATACCGCCAATTAAAAATCAGTGACTTGTCAACCGGACCAATGACGCATAAAACCCGTTTGAGCTGTCTAGAGTTTTTATCGGTCCTTCTTCTTACCTAGCCCTGTCTGTTGAGTCCAGAACACCAATCTCCCTCCATGATATGAATTATGTATTTCAAACATACTGGGTTTATATACAAACCAAACAGATCACATCGTACCACAAAATAGAAAACAACATTCATACAAGATCTAGCCAGAAGTGGCTGTGAATGTGTACTATTAGATTTGAATAATTTATGTTGAATATTTTATTTCCCTACTAAACATTTTTAATTTTTCCCCATACAATAACAATGGACAAATTGAAATCTAACACACGATTTAATTTCTTTTTTTTTACCTCAAAAAAGCTAAACCAGCTGCTATTGTCCCACCAAGAATTATTCAAGAACCAAAAAGTGTAACTGTCATGGAATCTCAACCGGTTCAACTAATTGCACTAATAGAAGGTACACCAAGTAAGTAGATATATACGAATCACTGGTATCGATGATTTATACTTTCCTACACAACATGCCAGATCAATTATACAGCTGCTTTGAGGATTTTATCATTAGTTCAGCTTTCATGTACCCACTTAATATGATCAGTAAACGATCAAGTCCACCAATGTTTAGTCTATTGTCAATAATAGGAATGACCACCATATATTTTTTCAGTGTTTACCCACGCAAAATTCTATCGATAACAAACCCATTCAGTCACAGAACACGAGCAAAGCTACCTGATTTACATTGTATTGTTTTGACTCCCAAACCCACGTGATTATAACATCGATCACAAGACCATATTATTTTATGGTCTGCAAAATAATTAGGTCACCTGTAGTACAAACTTAAGTAACGGGCACAGACTAATCTGTACTAATTTGTGAATGGTAGACATATCAATAGTTAATGTGGTTAGTGTAAACTAACAATTCAAAGAATATGGGGATACTTTTGAATGAAATAGTAAGTTCATACACATTTAAAATAACCATGACAGTTCAGCTTAGGAAATCTCTCAAAATTCCACCTTTAACATTTGTTTATTCATACTTAATAAATTTACATTAATGTTATACACTTTCTAATTAATAAAATGGATATTTATAATTAATTAGAAAAGTTACCTTTTTAAAGAAATATATAGAAAAATGGAAGTATTGAACGGCCGTTTCGTCCTATTGTGGGACTCCTCAACAGTGCGTATCCACGATCCCGCCTCGCAAGATTCGGAACCAGGACCTATCAGTCTCACGTGCGAGCGCTTAACAACCAGATCACTGATCCGGCATCCAACGGTGTTAATGTATATCATAAAGGCAATCCAAAATAAGATAAATATATTCTATCTGTATAAATATCACACTTCATTTTTCATGTTTGTTATTTTTATTCAGTGCCAGAAATTACTTGGCTATTCAATAATGAAATTATCAAACCATCACGTTACTTTCTTCCTGAAGTTCGATCTGATGGTTATACAATACTTAATATATCAAGTGTTTATCCAGAAGACACTGGAATTTATACAGTACGTGCTGTAAATTCTGGTGGAGAAGCTCAAGCATCAGTAGAAGTCTCAATTTCTGGTTAGTTTATACTTTTATTATTTTGTCACTTCCAGGATACTGTATGTAGAGTCTTCTATAAGCAGTCCCTTTCTTATAACAAGATTATTTTAATATCACGTCATTCAAGTTACTAATTCTGTTGACAAATCTAAAACAAATTCTAGTTTATTCATATGTTTCTTTTGCTTCCTTGGAATTTTGATAAATTAGTTGTATGAAGAGCACAACATGAACACTGTTTATTCCTCACTAGTATTCTTTGCATTTCAAAATGATAAACCGGTGATATGTATATTGTTATTGATTTAAAAACAAAACAAAACAATCATCCCTTTAGAATGAAGGTAAACTAATTTAGAGTCGGAAACATTCTTTGATAATAAAAACCAATAATCAATAAACCTGGAATCACCGGACGGCCATGGGACCCCTCAGCAGTGCTCATCCACGACCCCACACGCGCGAGATTTGAACCCAGGACCTACCAGTCTCTTGCCAGAGCACTTAACCGATAGACCACTGAGTTGCCTTAGAAATGGTGTTAACATCTAACTTCAACCAATCCACGAAGTTGAGCAACGGTTCACCAATTGTCTTCAGTGAGTTCCTATCTCACAACAGACGTGGTTTGAACTCCACTGGTCACTGCTTCTCACTAGGCTTCAAATGACTTATGCTTTCAACTATGCAAATACTAAATATCCACAAAAAACCCCCTTCTGATTATAATCAATAAACCGTTATTCAAACATCATTAAGAAAGTAAGACATTCAAAATTACTTTTCCAAAATATTCACTACTCTAGGTAAGATGAATGTTTATCTATTGATTTTATCAGCTGAACCATTAGTTGATTTTATGTTACAATACACTTACTTACGTCTGTTACCCCTCATGGAGGAGCGTAGGCCGCTCACTAGCATTCTCTATCCAACTCTGTCCTCAGTAATCCTTTCCAGTTGCTATTGATCCTTTTGATATCTACTTCCAATTTCCGATGCAGTGTGCTCTTTGACCTCCCTCTTTATCGTTTCCCTTCAGAATTACAAGTTAGTGTTTGCCTCATGATGCAGTTAGATGATTTCTTTAATGTGTGTCCTATCCACTTCCAACGTCTTTTCCTATTTTCCTCTTCATCTGGAAGTTGGTTCGTTCTCTCCCACGGTAGTCTGTTGATGATGGTACCCGGCCGACAGACATTCAGTATCATACGTAGACAATTGTTTATTAATACTTATACTTTTTTGATGATGGTTGTGGTAGTTCTTGAAGTTTCAACTTCGTACAGTAGAACTGTCTTGACGTTCGTATTGAAGATTATGACTTTGATATTGTTCGACCTTTTTTTTTGAGTCCCATATGTTCTTCAACTGTAGGAATGTTGTCCTTGTTTTGCCAATCTGTGCCTACATATCTACATTGGATCACCATTGTTCATTGATGATGCTTTCTAAGTATGTGAAACATTCCACCTCTTCCCGAGTTTCACCATCAAGTGTGATTCTGTTGTTATTCTCTGTGCTGTACTTAAGGATCTTGCTTTTTCCCTTGTGTATGTTGAATGTTACAAGTTCGGTAAAACAAATCAAGAAATTTTCTCATTTCTATTATAATTTAGCTCCATTACAAACTGCTCCACAATTTGTTAAACCTTTACCTACTGAGAGAATAGAAGTAAAAGAAGGTGAACGAGTATTCTTAGAAGTTGAAGTTTCAGGAGAACCTATACCTCAAATTGATTGGTATCTTAACGGTCAATCTTTACAATCTGTATCAAATTGGAAAGTAAGTGACCTTGTACACAGAGTTGTTTCTACAGTCTTGGCTGTTTCAATTTTGATGCCTCGTGAAATTTCGATTTATATTAAGAAACGTTTAAGTCACTCAATAAGAATGAGGTTGTGAAGAGATAAAGGAAGGCGAATATACCACAAAAACAACGAAAATGACTAAAAACTAGTGTATGCGATTGAAAGAATAATAATGATAAAAGCACTTCTGTTATGTCAAATACATCCAGAAAGGATTCACTCAGTTAAAGAAGTTACTCCCCATCGTATGAAGAAACTAAAAGAAATTTACAGCACAATCACCATTGGCTTCTTTTCTGAGCCCATATCTGATAAGGTCTCAATCCACTGTATTGCATGACCTCTGAGACCTTTTAATTATCTTGTTCCACTCAAGAATGTACAAATTAAATCAATAATATTTATTGAATATTTAGTTGTATAAATGTGAAGTTTATCACCCCTAAGATTATAGTTGTGAAATATGAAAAAAGCAGTATTGGAATCTTGACATTTTAATGTTTACAGAAGGGACTTTTCTTTACTACTGTAGTGAACAGGAAGACTAGTGGGGACAATCAAATGTCTTTGACACGAAAATTACAGAATATCTCACAAAAATCTGACAACTATACAGCAAACAGTCAATTTGCAAACTATCAATCAATTGTCTCAATCTTGACCATTCCTTCTGCAAATATCAGTCCATAATCTCTGATTATTGTTGTTCATGCATTTTCATACCGATTGTGTCCCGTTCCCGTTCTCTCCTTATCGATCTTCTACTGAAATACATTCAATGCCCGACCATCGTTGTATACTACTTGTGTGGATGTAAGCAACCCACACCACAATACGTCATAGTTTTTTTTAAATCTATACACGATTGTATTTGTATCAGATAAGTCATGTGACAAAATATTTATCTTTCTTGATGGTAATTATTAAACATAGATAGATGGCGGCTAGCAGTGGAATCCAGGATGTGCGTTTCAACCTTTATGAGACTCTTCAACTGGGTGCACCTAAATGCCAGAGATGATGTTCACTTTGGGACGCAATGGCGTTTGGAGCAGACGGTACCGGGCCCGAGACCCGGAGTGAATATCAACTCTGGGATGCAGGTACATCCAGCTGACCAGTCCCAAATAGGATGAAACGAGCACCAAACTGGATTCCAATACTAGCCACCATCCATCTCTGCTTATAATGCTTGTGACTTCAGGCAATATCGAGGCAGTTCGCATAGATGCACATTTGCCAATAAGAGACCGATCAATTTCAGTCGTAAGCAACAATGAGAAGACACAAGCAAACAACGCCACGGGAATTATTAAATTTATAAGAATTTGTAATATTCACAATTTCAGATTAAAACGGATAGATATATTTCACAAATTGAATGTAATGTAATCTCCATGACTGATGGTGGAGAAATTCTTGTCAGAGCAACTAATTCAGTTGGTCAAACAACTACGCAAACAAAAGTGGTGATAATCCAATCAGGTATGTTAATAGTCAAGTATTCTATGTCACTAAGCTTTTTTTTAAGAAATAAATACAAAATATCTATAGTCAATAAGATTTCCATTGATTCACATAACATAGAGTTTTATAATCAAAAACACTAGTCATCCAATATAGGGTCGACTTGTCTTGTTCGATATTCATTACCCATTTATGAATATCTTTCGGTTTTGTTTAGTTCACCGTTACTTTTCATAGTTATATGTCATGACAAATAAATATGTGGATTAGTTGGAGTTAAACATAAACACCATCGGATGCCGACTCAGTGGTCTATCGGTTGGATGCTCTGGCAAGAGACTGGTAGGTCCTGGGTTCGAATCTCGCGAGGTGAGGTCATGGATACGCACTGCTGAAGAGTTTCACGATAGGACGAAACGGCCGTCAAATGCTTCCAGGTTTTCCATAGTGGTCTAGCTTTAATTAACTCATGCTTTCAACTATGAAAATAAATATGTGATCAGATTACTGCAAACGGTCTGATTGTCTCCGTCTTATTGGATTATCTAAATTTGTAAAGAGGACAAACTGTTTGAAATTATTGGAATATGTTTCGAATTCGTTCTTACTATATCGGAATAGCTTAATAACGTGGTATTTAATTGAACACCATCTAAAAGGCAGTTTACTATACTTCAATTTATGGGTTTATATTATCTGCAGAATGTATTCCATTATGTTGTTTCATATCTTGGGTTCAACTTGAGGTTATTGGCCACCTTGATATCGATAGGATAGAAGATTAGAATATATTGCAATTATTGAAGTAAAATAATCGAATCAAACAAAATAGAGAACAAGGATCATTTTTCTAAATCATTGACTTAATCGTGCTAAATTACTATGGTTGCAATTAACCTTTCCAAAATTGTACATCTACTTTCATAATATCGATTTTAACGTGCCACTAAGACTACGATCCAGTTGTTTGCCTCACTATCATCTTATTTTCTTAGGGTCGACTTGTCTTGTTTGATATTCATTACCCATTTATGAATATCTTATTAGGTTAATGTGATCAGATTGTTCGAACTAATAATAATGCAGTGTTATACCATATAGGTTTGATAAATCACATCATTTCACTGTATTATCTAAATTTATCGAATGGGACCTACTATTTTAATGTTCTGTTTTGTATTTTTCGTAATCAATTCACTACATTTTGTAAGAGAATGAATTCTGATAACTGATGACGGTCTTTGTATACTTGGGTTTAGAGCCGCTATGATATTTTCATGTGGTCCGAATTCTCCACATGTTTAATATAGACTAATGCCTAATTATATACATAGACACTATTACATTGCTTGGTGTAATTGTGTCGTTTAGTTGATCTCATATTTTGGTTAAGATAACATATCCATTCAGCTGATCAAGTATCCAAGGTTTGATGATGAAATTCTAATTTTGTACCTAATAGGTGTAGATTTTCAAATGGAGCAAGACTTTTCGAGTTATTCAGGTAATAATGACTTTAATCTCTTCTCATATTTGATATGTGCCTCATTGTAATTCTACCAATCCTATCATCATTTGACATGGTATTTTTATTAATATACACTTAGGAATTTGATATTCCCCTCTAGCCCTTTCATAATCCCAACAACAAAATCTGTTTTACTTATAACTTATTTATATAGAACTAATAGTCAATTCTTCAAAGAATTTACTAGCTTTGTAACATAGACTAACCATTCTCTGATTTGGCAGATCAGTATTTCTTGTTATTCTCAAGGAATTCCCTTTATGATTTATTCGACATCATACTTATATGCGACCCATGAAAGTATGGTATTGAATAAATCATAAAGGGTATTCCTTGAGAATAACAAGAAATACTGATCTGCCAAATCATAGGATAGTTGGTCTATGTTACTGACGAGTTTCTTTCAGAATTCCACACCATATTTCGACATTATTTATATTCACTTAGTTGACATTATATCCGATAAGTTCGTGTATACATCTTCACAAATATATGGGGTTCTCGATGTTATGTTATGGAAATGTTGATTGTCATTATGTTTAATCATAATCATACCGATGGACAATTGTCCATTTCCATAGTTGAAATCCTGAGTCATTTGAAGCTAGACCACCAAGGAAAAACTGGAAGTACCGGTTGGTCGTTTCGTCCTATTATGGGACCCCTCAGCAGTGCTCATCTACGATCACACACTCGCGAGATTCGAACCCAGGACCTACCAGTATCGCGCCAGAGCACTTAACCGATAGACCACTGAGCTAGCCGGCATCCATCGGTGTTAATGTCTAACTTCAACTAATTCACGATGTTTGTGCAACCGTTCACCAATTGTCTTCAGTGAGTTGATATCTCTACAACAGACTTGGTTGAACTCCAATGGTCACTGCTTCCCATTTGATGTAAACTATTCGGAGGTCATTTAATCTAGACAAATGTTAACAATTCCATTGAATAACTTCATTCAATTAAAACTAATTACTTCTTTTGTTTGAAATTTCAATAATAGGACCCAAACCAAGTCCACCAGTTTTTCAAAAACGTCTGCAACCTCAAGTAAAAACACCAGAACATCACACTGTTACGTGAGTTTTTATTATTTAAGTGTAATTTGTAATAACATCCATTGTATCTTCATTCTCCCATACTTGTTACGAATTTGTCTAACCTTACAATTATTCTTGTAACTCACTTAGTGTTTGTAATAAATGGTTAATTGTTTACACAACACGCCACCCAATGTGCTAACAAGAACGCCTGGATAACCGAAAAAATATCTCGCACTATTTTATATTGTTCAAACAATATCTAGGGCCATGAGGTACCATAATTAGTAAATCACAGTACGTACACACCTAGAGTCTGTGATACAAGCCTGGACAGAACCTCTATCATTAATAAACAGTAATTTGCGAATGTAAAAATATATTACAACAATCATTGTGTCGAATGGTAGCTTACAACTAAAGTTACGTATTTGTTTAACAAATTCTAAAGGTTAAGTTCTCGCGCTCGAGACTGAAAGGTCCTGGGTTTGAATCTCGCGAGGTGGTATCGTGGATGTGCACTGTTGAAGAGTCCCAGAATTGGACGAAATGGCCGTTCAGTACTTCCAGGTTTTCCATCGTGGTTCGCTTCCATTGACTCATGATTGCAACTATAAAATTCGAATTAGTTGTGTATATACTAAATTCACAGAGAATAACTTTCAAAGTTTAACATTTTCATGTATTTTGCACGTCTGAATAATACTGAAAGGGTAGCGATAACTATTGTGTTGCTATTTTGTTTAAACAAACGATACAAAGTATATTAACTCTAATAGTGCGTACTCGGACGGTCGATTATAGACTTTACACAATCCAACGTGAAATCACTATTCGGAACATCATAAAGAAAAGCCAAGTACCTGTAAATGTATTTTGTATTCTCTTTCAATCAATAGCTCACGTGATTACGTATACAAGATGCAAGATCGTAATGAACCATTAGTAATTAATATAAATATGCACATATATAACTGAAGCATAATACAGGTCATAGTTAGTTAATTGTAATTTATGGACAGATAAAGATATCTCAACACTATGAATCAAATGAAAGCTTATAGTCACGCTTCGTTTTAACAGGTTTGTGATAATGAATAAATTAGACGAAGTAATCGATAATAATAGGGTTAGCTTATTAAGTGAATACATCCCATTTATGTGCACACTAGAGGTAAATAAATTCAACACTTGAATTTAAATATTATCAGTTTGAGTCCGTTACTTCAGCTTAGCACCACTCTATGATATCAGGACCTGACTTCATAAAATGGCTAAGACTCAATTGATTGTGATCACGTTTTTATCTCATAGTCTTTAGCGTATGAATGCTCAACTTTCCGAACCTCATGGCATGTTATTTATGATTACTTATTTATTTGGACACAAATATTGTTACAAAGGGGCGCCGAATACATGTGCACCATAAAAGTTACTTGATTTGTATGCGGGCTGTGATACTAACCGGGTGCCCAGACCGAAGCAGGTAGTTTTCTTAGGGGGCCATACCCCGAGCCTTTTACTTAAAGGTCTGACCAACAAGGCAGTGGAGCATCGTCAGGAAATGCAGTCCCATGGTAGTCGGAGACCAATAATTGGTTCGTATGCCATTTGTTCCCTCAGGATGCTGGAGCCCATGTGCACTATTGGTTTGGAATCAGGATTTTCCAACTACCCTAGGTAGATCCTTCATATCCATCGAGCCGTTTATAGTGCCGGAAATTCGCTTTCGTCCTCTCAATTTCGTAAACAACAGTGATGCCCCGAGAAGGGAGTGAGTAGGACTTCCCTGGAAGTGGTTTTGTATGCGTAGCTATGTGAAAGTATTTAGAGCGAGAGAGGACTCTCCCCACCCTCGGCCGTACCAGGGCATTTGGGGGCCAAGTTATGATTAAACTATGTAGTATGACGACTTTTGACAAAAGGATTGTTCAACGACATTGAAGATAAATTAAGTATTAAACCACTCAAACTCGATTGTAAAATCTCATATATATAGAAATGACTGTTGAGCGACTTTGTTGAGCATTTAAATATTTCAACTACTTTTTTTAATATTTAGGTTGGTGTGTTCAGTAAATGGATATCCAGAACCAACTTTACGATGGTTTCATAATGGTGTAGAGTTTGAACCAGTTTTAATATCATCCCTTTCTCATGAAATGACTGCTAAGAGAGAATTATATATTGATGAGGCAACACATACATATACATTACACATACATGATTTAAATGCTTTTGATGTTGGAGAAATTATGGTACGTGCAGAAAATGAACTTGGCATAACTATGTGTAGTAGTGTATTAGAATTAGAAATTATTGATGGAAAAATTGTTGAACCACGTTTTATTCGTCAACCACCAGAAAGAATTGAATTACAACCTGGAGATAGTGCTCAACTAGAATGTGAAGTGGAATCACAACCACCTGTTACATTTAAATGGTATTTAAATGGATTACAATTAGATCAATCAAATAAACAATTTAAACTTCTTGAAGATATAAATCGTACAACTCTTATTATTCCATCTGTTCAAAAAGATATTCTTCCTAGTGAAGTAACTATTGAAGCTGCTGGTCAAACTGGTACAAAAATTGTGACCTCTTCCATTCTAGTAATGACTGCAAAAACAGATGATTTATCAATGCCTGAACCACCAGAATTACGTTTTACTCGACAACTTCCATCAAATTTATCATATAATGAAATGGATGAAACAATTATTCTTGATGTAGAAATTGATAAACCAGAAATATCATCCATTGAATTACCTAAACCTACATTTAGTTGGTATATGAATGGAATAGATATATTTTTATTACCACCTGAAAAGAAACCTGAACGTTATAATATAACACAAGATAATCCATGGCATAGTCGATTAACTATTAATAAACCTGATACATTGGATTCTGGTGAAATCACTTGCTTTGTAACCCGTTTAACTGGTACAAAAGAAGAGAAAATCTATACTACATGTAATCTTGAACTTACTTATCAACCAATCCAACAAGAAGAACCATCTAAACCAATTATATCTAAACTTGAATTTGCACCACAATTTATTCAAGGTTTACCAGAAAAATTAACACCCGAAGTTGGATCAACTGTAGTCATGGATATTATATTAAAATCAAATCCAATACCAGATATCCAATGGGTAATTAGTTCACCAATAACAGCTGAACGATTTGAATTCTTCGGTCCAGAACATATCGACGATGTCACATTACAATATCGTGCTATATTACATAATTATCAACCAGATAAAGATGATAATACTATGTTACAAATTATAGCTACATCTCCATTAGGACAATCTACATCAATTTGTTATATTCAACCAAAAGAACAACTAGAAATTGTCAATGTACAATTTGCTAAAACATTAAATTCACAATTAGAAGTTGTATTAGATCAATCAATTGAATTAGAATGTTCTATTATACCAACAAATATACCTATTGAATTTCGTTGGTTTATTAAAGATTTAGAAATTACTTCAGAACATAAACCATATGAAATAATAACAACTAATTATACATCAATATTAAAAATTCCTAAAATTACTACTGAATTAATAGATAGTACTATTCAAGTATTAGTAGTATATCCATATGGTGAATTAAAAAGTTCTTGTGAATTATATACGATATCTGAAAGTCATTTACCGATGATTGAAGATGTTATTACTGAATTACCAACGATCCCAGAAATGGTAACCATTCAATCAAAACTAATTGAACATGAATATGATTTTGATTTTATTAAACCAATTCATTATGAAATACAACAACATTCAAATGATGAATATACTTTAGAGTAAGTTAGAATAATTATTTATCTTATTCAATTGTTGTTGGTATATGTGCATCTGGTGAGTACTGCCTCGTTATTGCCTGAAGTCACAAGCTTTATAAATAAAGATGGATAGTGGTTAGCAGTGGAATCGAGGATGTGCGTTTCGTCCTATTTAGGACTCCTCAGTTGGATGTACATCCCACAGTTGATTCGAACCCAGTATCGTTCGCTTCAATTGCCATCGCGTTATTCACTTAGCTACTGAGTCCTGATGGGCACTTGCTTGTACGATGGGTGAAATTTAAATTCAATCGGTATTATTTGGTTGAATCTTCCCATTGCAGTCCTAAATATCAATGGGAAGATTCAACCAAACAATATCAAGTGAATCTAGTTCTTAGAATGATACAATATATTGTTAAAGTGAAATATCTCTTGGTTTTCTTCCTTACACTAATGGAACACTGATTTCCCTTAGACGAATACCTACCGTAGATGGCCCGCCAGTGTCTACACGACATCAACGAAAGTCGGATCAACAACACGTGACTAGTTCGACTAGAACGTTTATTTTCACTTCAACAATCGACAATAGCAAATATTGACAAGAGAAACTTAGTCAAATGTCTGGCAAATAGAGCTAGGAAGATATGATCAGTCGATACAATTAACTAGGAGTTAGAGGTCATACATAATATGTTGATTGAAAGGGTTTGTCTACAAGGTTTTCTGAAGAAACACTTGCTTATAACAAACAAGAAAATAGCGATATCAAGAGCTAGTAAGAAACCTCTCTTCCTGAAACTGCAATTCAGTGGAGATGTAGCTGGTGATACACTACGTGATAGACTGACTAGAGCAGTGAAGAGAATGTTTAATGTTGCCGACCTCTGTCTATCGTACTCGACCCGATCTGTGGTGATTCCTCAACTAAACGATAAGTTACCTAGTTATGCCACGTCTATGTGTATCTACGAATTCAGCTGCTCCTGTGGAGAAAGCTATATTGGGCGCACTACCTGACAACTGAACCACAGAGTTAGTGAACACCTCCCTTTGTGGTTAGGAAAAGGTACTGTCAAGGCAATACAGAGCTCGGTTCTTTCACACTTGATCGATAACGGTCATATAGTTGACAGACATAAGTCATTTAAAATTATTTATCGTATTCCTACTAGTTTTCCATTTGGGGTTTGATCTTGTCTCTTTCACATAGCAGATCCTATAGGAATTCTACCCAACAATCCAAGCCTTTGTGTTCGTACGAAATTTGCAACATTCCTATCTCTCCCTTGGCCTTGATAAATGGTCTCATTTTTTCATACTGTTTCTTCGTTTATTTTTCTTCACCCCCTCCTACTAATTTTTTTCTCTCAAATATATGTTTCGCGGTCCAATTATCTGATTATTTCTTATTGCGTAATTTTGCAATTTTTATGAATGTTATTTCAGTGTCTATATTGTTCTAATCATTGACCTATTTCCCATTATGTAACGTTGGCTCAAGCCTTTTATTATTCTTATCCCAACTAGTACATCTGTCATCACACTACAAATCAGTACTTTTTACTTATTATGTTTAGTTATGTAATCTATTCCACTGTTATCATTGACTCATAAACCATCTTGATTTGTTTAATAATTTCGTATAAGCATATGAATATCACTGTATATTAAAGCCTGATGAGGATCGAATCGAAAACAAGATTGTTCACTTATTTATAGTGTTCGACATCTACTACCTATTAGACTATCTACTAGTTTGACTAGGTAAACAACCAATAAGTATTTTCCTCGGTCACACATCATGAGGTTTGTTTAGAGTTGATGATTTTACGTTCTTTTTCATAGTTGAAACCATGAGTCAATTGAAGTTAGACCACCATGGAAAACCTGGAAACACTGGACGGCCGTTTAGTCCTATTATGGAACTCCTCAACAGTTCATCGTTTGGTCAGGATCATGTTAGTTCATTCAAAAACAGAAATTTTAAGCTTCAGCAATAACGAAAACTTGAATATGTGATCACTATTGTTACTTGAAAATTTAGTATATTTCGTTCTGGTGTCTGATATTTAATTTAAGTAATATATTGTACATTAGTAAAGATTCGGATATAGACAGTCGAGTCTTAAATATGATTGAAAAACTTAACTGTCATGTAATATTATTTATTTCTACTCTGATCATACTCTTCAATGAAAGTTAAGACTATAGGTACCTAGTATACCTGTCTAACTTACCTCAGTGGATAGGGGGTAAACAAGGTGTTCAGGTAAATTACATTTTTTCTTTGAAAATTCAACCATGAGATTATTCTACGTATATTGCTATCAGTACTCAAACGACATTGTGAAGAAGATTAAGCAGTAATCTATTTTTAAGTGTTTGGTTTCTATCTAATTGATAAACAACTAGTCCTTAACTATAGTAAATTTTGTATGTTGTTTTCGTTGCTGATGTATTTCAGTCAAAACATCACCCATTGGTAAATTCTCAACTGTCAAAATAGCCGTCCAATGCTTTCTGACTTTGAATAGTGTTTCGACTGAGATCACCCAGTAACAAACACAAATAGTGTGCACATGGTAATTATCAGTTTGAGGTTGTGGAGATTGTTGAGTCTCTGTCATCTTTATTCATTTACTTTTGTATTATTATTATCATTATTATTGGTCTGATATCATTATTAACCTTCTGAATACTAAAATTTTTGTATGATGAAAGTGTTCGTAGATGAATGTTGTTTATCACACAATCCTTTATAGATGTATATATCTGTCACAAATCCAATATGTTCTAGTTTTCACGGTTAAGAGATCTCCACAAGCTTCTTCAGCAGGATGTAAAAATATGGTAGTGATACTACGATTTTCGTTGAAAGATCTCATGAACTCAGTAATAAAGAAGTATCAGACGACTATTAGCAGATAAATTACTTCTATAATCCCTTTTCCTATAAGTTTAGATCAACCATACACACTATTCATTTGCTAGCTTATTATTGTTCAACAATTAAATATTCAAAATTCGAATCTTTATTTAAAAGAAAAAGAAACCATCTCGATGTATTTTACTTATCTATCATTTAACATTTAGATTAGAATGTCAATTAATAACAGATCAACAACCAGCATCTATTAAATGGAGTCATGAAGGTGTTGAATTAAATATTTCTGATCGTATTGAACAGGTTTATGAATATGAAAGTGGTTTAGCTAAATTAATTATACATAATATTACACCACAAGATATGGGTGAATATACTTGTATTGCTACACAAGTTCAACTTCAATCTTCACAAGTTGAACCAATACAGAAAACAATAACTACAAGTACTGTTGTGGATATAGAAGGTATGTTATAAAAATCATAGTGATTACATAAATATTGTTTTGTGACAGCTTTCTCGTTTATTCAACAAACATTTAACATGGAAAGTAAGATAACAATTTTTTCAACAATCATACTACATTTTCATAGTTGAAAGCGTGAATCAATTGAAGCTAGACCACCATAGAAAAACTGGAAATACTGGACGGCCCTTTCGTCCTATCGCGGAACTCTTCAGCAGTGCGCATCCACCACCTTGATTCACAAGGATCGAACCCAGGTCCTACCAGTCTCGCGCCAGAGAACTTAACCGATAAACCACTTAGTCGGCATCCGATCGTGTTTATGTCTAATTACAACCAATCCACGAAATTAAGCAACCGTTCCGTGGTGGTGTAGCTTCAATTAACTCACGCTTTCAACTATGAAAATACTAAATCACCACAAAACCCCTTCTGATAATATACTTGGTTTGTAATATCCGAATGACTAGAAAAACATTTTCTGACGTTTTGTGACTCTTTAATCCAATTCTTCAGTAAATGAATAAAGTTAAACAGTGTTAAAAATTAAATTCATGTTATATAAGTATATAAATATCTGGTCCGGAATGAGCTGATATCGTGTTACTAACCTAGGTCATAGTGGCTTGATGAATCATTAACCATAAATTTCAGTCCAATCAAAACAAGTCCTCGTGCTGATCTTAGATACAAATCATTCAAACAAATCTTCAAACAAAATAATGAACAAGTCAAATTGTCTCCTTTAAAAAGGAAGTAAAATTAGATCGAAAAAAAAATCATTTATTGTAAAATTTACATAATTAAAAACATGTCAACTGAAGCCTAAACACAATGCAACACCAGGAAGCACTGGAACGCCGTTTCGTTCTATTATGGGACTCATAAGCAGAGCACATTCATGAAACCGCATTCATGGTTTAAACTATGAAAATCATGAAATTCACACTAAAACCCTTCTGATCCTTTATAAAATTCTTATATGTTCAAAAATATTAAAAAATATGACATTGTCTATGCAAACAGGTCCATATTGAATACGGAATATGACGTATATCCTGAAAATAACTAGTGTTTAGTCGTTGTGGAGTGTCCAATCCACTAGAACTACATCTAAGCCATTTTCAAAAGTGTTATTAGCAGATATCGATCACTTCTCAATGGTTTTGGTGGTTCTCTATTCACGTTGTTAGAAGGCATTTGGCCCTCAAGTTTTTTTAAGATGGTGATTACAGCAATGAATGAGGGAATATCGGTGGACAGAAATTAGGGTGCACTGACGTTGTTAGTGTGATTGGTTGAATGTTCAGAGTGAATGTGTGTGTGTGTACGAGTAGAGATTAGTGAGTTTGCTATTGACAACACACAAGCACATTTGTCGAGCAATCAGTCAAGTAGTCGTTGGACAAACTCTACATAATATACCCACTATTATAACTTGATGATTATGTTGAAATGTGTTCTCGCATAAATCTGTCAGTGACTTTTCCATATTGTAATGTAATAAAAACGAGGTGAATAAATATCAATTTGTTTTGTTCTTTGAAATCAGTTCCTGAAACGACAGAAGTTGTGCCAACAGTGACTGAGAAGGTTCTCACCTTCTTACAACCAGTAACACCGAATATCCACACTGTACAAGACCATAAGGATCTTGAGTGAGTTATCGTTTTGCGTTTATTTTTTTCTCATGTAATATTGATGATGACGTGATATCGATTAATATGTGGTGTAATGTAATCGTGGCTTGAAACACCGGTTATCATTTGTGTGTTTGACCAACTAGTGTGAATCGTAAATTGGGTCCATGCAACAAGTGGATATGCATCGATGTTGATTTTTCCGATGCGCATAAAATCTAGTATTTATCATTCAACTATGTGAATTCCAACTTCATAGATATCTATTGTGCTAAACATGTTGTGCAGGACGTGTATGATGTTGAGTTCGATCTCAACTGAATGTGGATAACTAGTGAATGACGAATGCATTGACCATTAGGTGCTCAGTCTCATATTACACTGTTATCAATCGAAATGTCGAAAAGATGATGCATTGAAACATGAATGACTATTCGATTATTATATTTATTTGTAGACTGGAATGTCAAATTCAAGCAGATTTAAAGCCTATTGAAGTCGTGTGGGAAGTTGATGGCAAGGAATTAACTCAATCTGATCGTAATGAAATGATCTATTTTGAAGATAGTGGAATAGCTCGTCTAATAGTGCATCAAGTGATTCCATCGGATTCTGGTGAATACACTTGCAGAGTTCAAGGTGAGGTGGTTGAAGCTGAGACCAAACAACAAATGACTAAAACAATTTCATCTGGCTCAATTGTTACAATTGAAGGTGAGTGAAATGAACTAAGATGTGGTGATAAGTAGCTAAGAAGAAGTAACTTAACAGTGATTTCTAGTTTCTACCATTTTTGTCGACCATTTGAACTTGTGAGAAACTGTGTTTCAGTGAGAAAGAGCACGAGAATGACCCACTTGAACTCTCACAATTTGTGTTGAGATGGATTTTACTGAGTATATTGATTGACTACGTTATGTGGTGGTGATCACTGATAATGATGAGTATACTGGTTTGCTCACCTTAAATCATCACAATAGCCACTTACTTATCATCTCTCCCTTTTACCTGATTCTGACGTCATGGTTGTTCATCTTTCTTTTAATTGGTTGACAAATTGTGTGTATTACTGTGTGTTAACTAATTGTTGAGTGGGATGCAATTGAGCATCCAGAAATGTTCCGGCATGTTTAGAGTTGACTGAGTCGAACATTTGAAAGATTTCACAGTCGAAGCTGAGTGTACATTAGTGTACACGAACGAATTGATGTTGTTTAAGATAAGTGTGGACTTTTGATAGATATGTGATTTGCATTGATACAAGCGAAGGTGAAGAGAAAGAGGATGATCACTTCACTGATGTGGTGTTGTTTGCAGTCGGAACAATCAGTTTTTTGAATAATGTTTGCATTGTCTTCTCGTACTGTTGCCTCCTTTGATTTGAACGATAAAGATTGGAGTGATTCTTTTAGCTTGTGAATCACGTTTACTGCTAACGGCTCCGAAATTCTAGTTGTCATCTATGGTATGCTTTTTATATTTGAAACGACAATCTGTTTGTTGGATTTCACACTTGATTTCGTGTCTAGTGATGAATGTGACAAGCGTGTTCTGATTAACTGGGGTTTTGTAGCCGTCCTTCACTCCAAACAATAATCATTAGGTTCACTTTTCCTTTCTATGTATGGTAGGCAGTTGTACTACAGTGTATCTTCACGCTATTGAATAGGGTTTGAACGTCGTTGATCTCGTAATTGTTTGGTTTGTTACAATTGTAGTCGATAGTTTGGTGTTTTTGCGTTGTATTGCTAAACACCAGATTTTTCAGTCCTCCTGTATTGGTTCTGTGATGAGAACGTGTAGGAAGGTTAGTTAGTTGTTCGCCTGCATTTCCATTGTGAATTTTATGTAATCGAAGACGTTATTAACGAAGTTGTGGGTACTTTTCAGCACATTCCGTTTGATGGTAGTGAGCATGCTATCCACATCGAAATAGTGGGTCCGAAGTGTTGTCTTGATAAATGGTGAAATTAAATCTTCGAGTCTGTGCACTACTTCTTCTACAACGAGTCTGAATATCAGTGATTTAATCGACATTCCTATTGACTGTTTCAACACTTGGTTGTTGAATTGGACACATATTGCAATCCCCAGATGGATGAGCTCAATTAATCTTTGACTTTGGTTCTTTGTGTGATTATGAATATTTTTCACATTGGTGACCGACTGATTGTGATAAATTATTATTATTATTTGCTCGCCAAGTTTAGTTCAATGCACCTGAATAAAGCTATAATGTCATAGAACTCCATCAGTTTGTCACGGCATATATGGACGTTCCTAACCAAACCCATATGTTGTTGTTATTTCTTGACCTAGCCGTCGCCAATTATTGTGTTTGGTCAAGGTTGTGTAGCCAGTCGTTATGACTTGATCAAGGTCGTCGCTAATTTGTTATGGCCTCACAAATTAAACAAGGACGTAACTTGCGTGAATTATCCACCAATAGAATACGACTTTGACCTTAACACAGTGACGATCAAGGACGTTCAATCAGTATGAGTAATCTCGCGTCCTTATTGGTCCTTAATCCGCCTAGCCCGTTCACTTGAGTCCAGAACACCAATAGCAGCTTCGGCAATATGAATCTATGCGAATCCGTGCGAATCGTTTATTTCAAGCATACTTTGTTTATATACCAGACAGGCAGACCACATCACACCATAAAATAGAAAATAATATTTATACAAAAAACAAGCCAAATGTGGTTGTAAGCGTGGGAGACAATAATCAATAAACGGAATATAACATAGGAACAGTAAATCATATAATAATAATCAATAGGTCAAATTGAAGCTTATAATAAGATGAATATAGAGATAGATAATCTAGTTATTGAATAGTTATACAACAGGAATATACATAGAATAATAATCCGATAATAGGTCGTGGGAGTTACCCATACTTATGTCTTCGCTAGTATATAACGGTTGTATGCAAGGATTAATCGAGTCGTTGTCAAATTCCATTGAATGTTTAAGAGTTGTTGACATTTGTGTTGACAGATTGTATGTATGTGTGTGGGTGACAGGAAGTGAAACCATTAACTGTAGGGGAATTCTTGGTGTAAGTGATAACGGAACCGTGGAAGAACATGTCCATTAGACTGTATTTGCCATAAGTACTGTGTCGTTATTTGATACAACATGATGAGTTATTGTGGTAGGTCCTGTCAACCGGTTATCCAGATTCTTGAAAAGATTTATTTGCACTGATTAGTACGCACTTCAGTTCTCCAGTAGCTTCTCAATCAGCCTGATGTGGTCTCCTATGTCCATATATATATATATTTGTATGTATTCTGTCATGTTCCATCCCTTTATTATCTGGAATAATGATGGTGTTCTAATTTGTGAGAGAGATTCTTTAAAGCCGTCTATTGTATGTGGTTGTGCGGAACGTACAGCCGTGTTATTGTTGATTCTGTCGGTTTAAGACATTCGTAAAACTACTGTTTAGAAACTTCAGTAAATTCCTTTTCGTTCAATCCAATAATGTTTCTGTTAACATGTCGATATATAGAACGGGACATGGTGTAATTCGTGAAAATAACTAGTGTTTAGTCGTTGTGGAGTGTCCAATCCACTAGAACTACATCTAAGCCATTTTCAAAAGTGTTATTAGCAGATATCGATCACTTCTCAATGGTTTTGGTGGTTCTCTATTCACGTTGTTAGAAGGCATTTGGCCCTCAAGTTTTTTTAAGATGGTGATTACAGCAATGAATGAGGGAATATCGGTGGACAGAAATTAGGGTGCACTGACGTTGTTAGTGTGATTGGTTGAATGTTCAGAGTGAATGTGTGTGTGTGTACGAGTAGAGATTAGTGAGTTTGCTATTGACAACACACAAGCACATTTGTCGAGCAATCAGTCAAGTAGTCGTTGGACAAACTCTACATAATATACCCACTATTATAACTTGATGATTATGTTGAAATGTGTTCTCGCATAAATCTGTCAGTGACTTTTCCATATTGTAATGTAATAAAAACGAGGTGAATAAATATCAATTTGTTTTGTTCTTTGAAATCAGTTCCTGAAACGACAGAAGTTGTGCCAACAGTGACTGAGAAGGTTCTCACCTTCTTACAACCAGTAACACCGAATATCCACACTGTACAAGACCATAAGGATCTTGAGTGAGTTATCGTTTTGCGTTTATTTTTTTCTCATGTAATATTGATGATGACGTGATATCGATTAATATGTGGTGTAATGTAATCGTGGCTTGAAACACCGGTTATCATTTGTGTGTTTGACCAACTAGTGTGAATCGTAAATTGGGTCCATGCAACAAGTGGATATGCATCGATGTTGATTTTTCCGATGCGCATAAAATCTAGTATTTATCATTCAACTATGTGAATTCCAACTTCATAGATATCTATTGTGCTAAACATGTTGTGCAGGACGTGTATGATGTTGAGTTCGATCTCAACTGAATGTGGATAACTAGTGAATGACGAATGCATTGACCATTAGGTGCTCAGTCTCATATTACACTGTTATCAATCGAAATGTCGAAAAGATGATGCATTGAAACATGAATGACTATTCGATTATTATATTTATTTGTAGACTGGAATGTCAAATTCAAGCAGATTTAAAGCCTATTGAAGTCGTGTGGGAAGTTGATGGCAAGGAATTAACTCAATCTGATCGTAATGAAATGATCTATTTTGAAGATAGTGGAATAGCTCGTCTAATAGTGCATCAAGTGATTCCATCGGATTCTGGTGAATACACTTGCAGAGTTCAAGGTGAGGTGGTTGAAGCTGAGACCAAACAACAAATGACTAAAACAATTTCATCTGGCTCAATTGTTACAATTGAAGGTGAGTGAAATGAACTAAGATGTGGTGATAAGTAGCTAAGAAGAAGTAACTTAACAGTGATTTCTAGTTTCTACCATTTTTGTCGACCATTTGAACTTGTGAGAAACTGTGTTTCAGTGAGAAAGAGCACGAGAATGACCCACTTGAACTCTCACAATTTGTGTTGAGATGGATTTTACTGAGTATATTGATTGACTACGTTATGTGGTGGTGATCACTGATAATGATGAGTATACTGGTTTGCTCACCTTAAATCATCACAATAGCCACTTACTTATCATCTCTCCCTTTTACCTGATTCTGACGTCATGGTTGTTCATCTTTCTTTTAATTGGTTGACAAATTGTGTGTATTACTGTGTGTTAACTAATTGTTGAGTGGGATGCAATTGAGCATCCAGAAATGTTCCGGCATGTTTAGAGTTGACTGAGTCGAACATTTGAAAGATTTCACAGTCGAAGCTGAGTGTACATTAGTGTACACGAACGAATTGATGTTGTTTAAGATAAGTGGTGACTTTTGATAGATATGTGATTTGCATTGATACAAGCGAAGGTGAAGAGAAAGAGGATGATCACTTCACTGATGTGGTGTTGTTTGCAGTCGGAACAATCAGTTTTTTGAATAATGTTTGCATTGTCTTCTCGTACTGTTGCCTCCTTTGATTTGAACGATAAAGATTGGAGTGATTCTTTTAGCTTGTGAATCACGTTTACTGCTAACGGCTCCGAAATTCTAGTTGTCATCTATGGTATGCTTTTTATATTTGAAACGACAATCTGTTTGTTGGATTTCACACTTGATTTCGTGTCTAGTGATGAATGTGACAAGCGTGTTCTGATTAACTGGGGTTTTGTAGCCGTCCTTCACTCCAAACAATAATCATTAGGTTCACTTTTCCTTTCTATGTATGGTAGGCAGTTGTACTACAGTGTATCTTCACGCTATTGAATAGGGTTTGAACGTCGTTGATCTCGTAATTGTTTGGTTTGTTACAATTGTAGTCGATAGTTTGGTGTTTTTGCGTTGTATTGCTAAACACCAGATTTTTCAGTCCTCCTGTATTGGTTCTGTGATGAGAACGTGTAGGAAGGTTAGTTAGTTGTTCGCCTGCATTTCCATTGTGAATTTTATGTAATCGAAGACGTTATTAACGAAGTTGTGGGTACTTTTCAGCACATTCCGTTTGATGGTAGTGAGCATGCTATCCACATCGAAATAGTGGGTCCGAAGTGTTGTCTTGATAAATGGTGAAATTAAATCTTCGAGTCTGTGCACTACTTCTTCTACAACGAGTCTGAATATCAGTGATTTAATCGACATTCCTATTGACTGTTTCAACACTTGGTTGTTGAATTGGACACATATTGCAATCCCCAGATGGATGAGCTCAATTAATCTTTGACTTTGGTTCTTTGTGTGATTATGAATATTTTTCACATTGGTGACCGACTGATTGTGATAAATTATTATTATTATTATTTGCTCGCCAAGTTTAGTTCAATGCACCTGAATAAAGCTATAATGTCATAGAACTCCATCAGTTTGTCACGGCATATATGGACGTTCCTAACCAAACCCATATGTTGTTGTTATTTCTTGACCTAGCCGTCGCCAATTATTGTGTTTGGTCAAGGTTGTGTAGCCAGTCGTTATGACTTGATCAAGGTCGTCGCTAATTTGTTATGGCCTCACAAATTAAACAAGGACGTAACTTGCGTGAATTATCCACCAATAGAATACGACTTTGACCTTAACACAGTGACGATCAAGGACGTTCAATCAGTATGAGTAATCTCGCGTCCTTATTGGTCCTTAATCCGCCTAGCCCGTTCACTTGAGTCCAGAACACCAATAGCAGCTTCGGCAATATGAATCTATGCGAATCCGTGCGAATCGTTTATTTCAAGCATACTTTGTTTATATACCAGACAGGCAGACCACATCACACCATAAAATAGAAAATAATATTTATACAAAAAACAAGCCAAATGTGGTTGTAAGCGTGGGAGACAATAATCAATAAACGGAATATAACATAGGAACAGTAAATCATATAATAATAATCAATAGGTCAAATTGAAGCTTATAATAAGATGAATATAGAGATAGATAATCTAGTTATTGAATAGTTATACAACAGGAATATACATAGAATAATAATCCGATAATAGGTCGTGGGAGTTACCCATACTTATGTCTTCGCTAGTATATAACGGTTGTATGCAAGGATTAATCGAGTCGTTGTCAAATTCCATTGAATGTTTAAGAGTTGTTGACATTTGTGTTGACAGATTGTATGTATGTGTGTGGGTGACAGGAAGTGAAACCATTAACTGTAGGGGAATTCTTGGTGTAAGTGATAACGGAACCGTGGAAGAACATGTCCATTAGACTGTATTTGCCATAAGTACTGTGTCGTTATTTGATACAACATGATGAGTTATTGTGGTAGGTCCTGTCAACCGGTTATCCAGATTCTTGAAAAGATTTATTTGCACTGATTAGTACGCACTTCAGTTCTCCAGTAGCTTCTCAATCAGCCTGATGTGGTCTCCTATGTCCATATATATATATATTTGTATGTATTCTGTCATGTTCCATCCCTTTATTATCTGGAATAATGATGGTGTTCTAATTTGTGAGAGAGATTCTTTAAAGCCGTCTATTGTATGTGGTTGTGCGGAACGTACAGCCGTGTTATTGTTGATTCTGTCGGTTTAAGACATTCGTAAAACTACTGTTTAGAAACTTCAGTAAATTCCTTTTCGTTCAATCCAATAATGTTTCTGTTAACATGTCGATATATAGAACGGGACATGGTGTAATTCGTGAAAATAACTAGTGTTTAGTCGTTGTGGAGTGTCCAATCCACTAGAACTACATCTAAGCCATTTTCAAAAGTGTTATTAGCAGATATCGATCACTTCTCAATGGTTTTGGTGGTTCTCTATTCACGTTGTTAGAAGGCATTTGGCCCTCAAGTTTTTTTAAGATGGTGATTACAGCAATGAATGAGGGAATATCGGTGGACAGAAATTAGGGTGCACTGACGTTGTTAGTGTGATTGGTTGAATGTTCAGAGTGAATGTGTGTGTGTGTACGAGTAGAGATTAGTGAGTTTGCTATTGACAACACACAAGCACATTTGTCGAGCAATCAGTCAAGTAGTCGTTGGACAAACTCTACATAATATACCCACTATTATAACTTGATGATTATGTTGAAATGTGTTCTCGCATAAATCTGTCAGTGACTTTTCCATATTGTAATGTAATAAAAACGAGGTGAATAAATATCAATTTGTTTTGTTCTTTGAAATCAGTTCCTGAAACGACAGAAGTTGTGCCAACAGTAACTGAGAAGGTTCTCACCTTCTTACAACCAGTAACACCGAATATCCACACTGTACAAGACCATAAGGATCTTGAGTGAGTTATCGTTTTGCGTTTATTTTTTCCTCATGTAATATTGATGATGACGTGATATCGATTAATATGTGGTGTAATGTAATCGTGGCTTGAAACACCGGTTATCATTTGTGTGTTTGACCAACTAGTGTGAATCGTAAATTGGGTCCATGCAACAAGTGGATATGCATCGATGTTGATTTTTCCGATGCGCATAAAATCTAGTATTTATCATTCAACTATGTGAATTCCAACTTCATAGATATCTATTGTGCTCAACATGTTGTGCAGGACGTGTATGATGTTGAGTTCGATCTCAACTGAATGTGGATAACTAGTGAATGACGAATGCATTGACCATTAGGTGCTCAGTCTCATATTACACTGTTATCAATCGAAATGTCGAAAAGATGATGCATTGAAACATGAATGACTATTCGATTATTATATTTATTTGTAGACTGGAATGTCAAATTCAAGCAGATTTAAAGCCTATTGAAGTTGTGTGGGAAGTTGATGGCAAGGAATTAACTCAATCTGATCGTAATGAAATGATCTATTTTGAAGATAGTGGAATAGCTCGTCTAATAGTGCATCAAGTGATTCCATCGGATTCTGGTGAATACACTTGCAGAGTTCAAGGTGAGGTGGTTGAAGCTGAGACCAAACAACAAATGACTAAAACAATTTCATCTGGCTCAATTGTTACAATTGAAGGTGAGTGAAATGAACTAAGATGTGGTGATAAGTAGCTAAGAAGAAGTAACTTAACAGTGATTTCTAGTTTCTACCATTTTTGTCGACCATTTGAACTTGTGAGAAACTGTGTTTCAGTGAGAAAGAGCACGAGAATGACCCACTTGAACTCTCACAATTTGTGTTGAGATGGATTTTACTGAGTATATTGATTGACTACGTTATGTGGTGGTGATCACTGATAATGATGAGTATACTGGTTTGCTCACCTTAAATCATCACAATAGCCACTTACTTATCATCTCTCCCTTTTACCTGATTCTGACGTCATGGTTGTTCATCTTTCTTTTAATTGGTTGACAAATTGTGTGTATTACTGTGTGTTAACTAATTGTTGAGTGGGATGCAATTGAGCATCCAGAAATGTTCCGGCATGTTTAGAGTTGACTGAGTCGAACATTTGAAAGATTTCACAGTCGAAGCTGAGTGTACATTAGTGTACACGAACGAATTGATGTTGTTTAAGATAAGTGGTGACTTTTGATAGATATGTGATTTGCATTGATACAAGCGAAGGTGAAGAGAAAGAGGATGATCACTTCACTGATGTGGTGTTGTTTGCAGTCGGAACAATCAGTTTTTTGAATAATGTTTGCATTGTCTTCTCGTACTGTTGCCTCCTTTGATTTGAACGATAAAGATTGGAGTGATTCTTTTAGCTTGTGAATCACGTTTACTGCTAACGGCTCCGAAATTCTAGTTGTCATCTATGGTATGCTTTTTATATTTGAAATGATAATCCGTTTGTTGGATTTCACACTTGATTTCGTGTCTAGTGATGAATGTGACAAGCGTGTTCTGATTAACTGGGGTTTTGTAGCCGTCCTTCACTCCAAACAATAATCATTAGGTTCACTTTTCCTTTCTATGTATGGTAGGCAGTTGTACTACAGTGTATCTTCACGCTATTGAATAGGGTTTGAACGTCGTTGATCTCGTAATTGTTTGGTTTGTTACAATTGTAGTCGATAGTTTGGTGTTTTTGCGTTGTATTGCTAAACACCAGATTTTTCAGTCCTCCTGTATTGGTTCTGTGATGAGAACGTGTAGGAAGGTTAGTTAGTTGTTCGCCTGCATTTCCATTGTGAATTTTATGTAATCGAAGACGTTATTAACGGAGTTGTGGGTACTTTTCAGCACATTCCGTTTGATGGTAGTGAGCATGCTATCCACATCGAAATAGTGGGTCCGAAGTGTTGTCTTGATAAATGGTGAAATTAAATCTTCGAGTCTGTGCACTACTTCTTCTACAACGAGTCTGAATATCAGTGATTTAATCGACATTCCTATTGACTGTTTCAACACTTGGTTGTTGAATTGGACACATATTGCAATCCCCAGATGGATGAGCTCAATTAATCTTTGACTTTGGTTCTTTGTGTGATTATGAATATTTTTCACATTGGTGACCGACTGATTGTGATAAATTATTATTATTATTATTTGCTCGCCAAGTTTAGTTCAATGCACCTGAATAAAGCTATAATGTCATAGAACTCCATCAGTTTGTCACGGCATATATGGACGTTCCTAACCAAACCCATATGTTGTTGTTATTTCTTGACCTAGCCGTCGCCAATTATTGTGTTTGGTCAAGGTTGTGTAGCCAGTCGTTATGACTTGATCAAGGTCGTCGCTAATTTGTTATGGCCTCACAAATTAAACAAGGACGTAACTTGCGTGAATTATCCACCAATAGAATACGACTTTGACCTTAACACAGTGACGATCAAGGACGTTCAATCAGTATGAGTAATCTCGCGTCCTTATTGGTCCTTAATCCGCCTAGCCCGTTCACTTGAGTCCAGAACACCAATAGCAGCTTCGGCAATATGAATCTATGCGAATCCGTGCGAATCGTTTATTTCAAGCATACTTTGTTTATATACCAGACAGGCAGACCACATCACACCATAAAATAGAAAATAATATTTATACAAAAAACAAGCCAAATGTGGTTGTAAGCGTGGGAGACAATAATCAATAAACGGAATATAACATAGGAACAGTAAATCATATAATAATAATCAATAGGTCAAATTGAAGCTTATAATAAGATGAATATAGAGATAGATAATCTAGTTATTGAATAGTTATACAACAGGAATATACATAGAATAATAATCCGATAATAGGTCGTGGGAGTTACCCATACTTATGTCTTCGCTAGTATATAACGGTTGTATGCAAGGATTAATGGAGTCGTTGTCAAATTCCACTGAATGTTTAAGAGTTGTTGACATTTGTGTTGACAGATTGTATGTATGTGTGTGGGTGACAGGAAGTGAAACCATTAACTGTAGGGGAATTCTTGGTGTAAGTGATAACGGAACCGTGGAAGAACATGTCCATTAGACTGTATTTGCCATAAGTACTGTGTCGTTATTTGATACAACATGATGAGTTATTGTGGTAGGTCCTGTCAACCGGTTATCCAGATTCTTGAAAAGATTTATTTGCACTGATTAGTACGCACTTCAGTTCTCCAGTAGCTTCTCAATCAGCCTGATGTGGTCTCCTATGTCCATATATATATATATTTGTATGTATTCTGTCATGTTCCATCCCTTTATTATCTGGAATAATGATGGTGTTCTAATTTGTGAGAGAGATTCTTTAAAGCCGTCTATTGTATGTGGTTGTGCGGAACGTACAGCCGTGTTATTGTTGATTCTGTCGGTTTAAGACATTCGTAAAACTACTGTTTAGAAACTTCAGTAAATTCCTTTTCGTTCAATCCAATAATGTTTCTGTTAACATGTCGATATATAGAACGGGACATGGTGTAATTCGTGAAAATAACTAGTGTTTAGTCGTTGTGGAGTGTCCAATCCACTAGAACTACATCTAAGCCATTTTCAAAAGTGTTATTAGCAGATATCGATCACTTCTCAATGGTTTTGGTGGTTCTCTATTCACGTTGTTAGAAGGCATTTGGCCCTCAAGTTTTTTTAAGATGGTGATTACAGCAATGAATGAGGGAATATCGGTGGACAGAAATTAGGGTGCACTGACGTTGTTAGTGTGATTGGTTGAATGTTCAGAGTGAATGTGTGTGTGTGTACGAGTAGAGATTAGTGAGTTTGCTATTGACAACACACAAGCACATTTGTCGAGCAATCAGTCAAGTAGTCGTTGGACAAACTCTACATAATATACCCACTATTATAACTTGATGATTATGTTGAAATGTGTTCTCGCATAAATCTGTCAGTGACTTTTCCATATTGTAATGTAATAAAAACGAGGTGAATAAATATCAATTTGTTTTGTTCTTTGAAATCAGTTCCTGAAACGACAGAAGTTGTGCCAACAGTGACTGAGAAGGTTCTCACCTTCTTACAACCAGTAACACCGAATATCCACACTGTACAAGACCATAAGGATCTTGAGTGAGTTATCGTTTTGCGTTTATTTTTTTCTCATGTAATATTGATGATGACGTGATATCGATTAATATGTGGTGTAATGTAATCGTGGCTTGAAACACCGGTTATCATTTGTGTGTTTGACCAACTAGTGTGAATCGTAAATTGGGTCCATGCAACAAGTGGATATGCATCGATGTTGATTTTTCCGATGCGCATAAAATCTAGTATTTATCATTCAACTATGTGAATTCCAACTTCATAGATATCTATTGTGCTAAACATGTTGTGCAGGACGTGTATGATGTTGAGTTCGATCTCAACTGAATGTGGATAACTAGTGAATGACGAATGCATTGACCATTAGGTGCTCAGTCTCATATTACACTGTTATCAATCGAAATGTCGAAAAGATGATGCATTGAAACATGAATGACTATTCGATTATTATATTTATTTGTAGACTGGAATGTCAAATTCAAGCAGATTTAAAGCCTATTGAAGTCGTGTGGGAAGTTGATGGCAAGGAATTAACTCAATCTGATCGTAATGAAATGATCTATTTTGAAGATAGTGGAATAGCTCGTCTAATAGTGCATCAAGTGATTCCATCGGATTCTGGTGAATACACTTGCAGAGTTCAAGGTGAGGTGGTTGAAGCTGAGACCAAACAACAAATGACTAAAACAATTTCATCTGGCTCAATTGTTACAATTGAAGGTGAGTGAAATGAACTAAGATGTGGTGATAAGTAGCTAAGAAGAAGTAACTTAACAGTGATTTCTAGTTTCTACCATTTTTGTCGACCATTTGAACTTGTGAGAAACTGTGTTTCAGTGAGAAAGAGCACGAGAATGACCCACTTGAACTCTCACAATTTGTGTTGAGATGGATTTTACTGAGTATATTGATTGACTACGTTATGTGGTGGTGATCACTGATAATGATGAGTATACTGGTTTGCTCACCTTAAATCATCACAATAGCCACTTACTTATCATCTCTCCTTTTTACCTGATTCTGACGTCATGGTTGTTCATCTTTCTTTTAATTGGTTGACAAATTGTGTGTATTACTGTGTGTTAACTAATTGTTGAGTGGGATGCAATTGAGCATCCAGAAATGTTCCGGCATGTTTAGAGTTGACTGAGTCGAACATTTGAAAGATTTCACAGTCGAAGCTGAGTGTACATTAGTGTACACGAACGAATTGATGTTGTTTAAGATAAGTGGTGACTTTTGATAGATATGTGATATGCATTAATATAGCCGCTGCTGAGCTGTTATGAAATGTGAATTTTTGTTTCTGTTTTTTGATGACTTTTTTTGGGTTATGTTATTTGTCGTCGGTTTTACATAATTTCTTATTTAGGAATTGATCGACATATGAATTTTCCGCACCTTTAACATGGAATTTGGTTTTTAATTTTTATACGGATCCGATTATATTACCTTGCTTTCGTGGTTTTGAGATTTATGCTTTCTCGTATTGTAGACTTCCCCTCTTATACATTTATATCAAGAACATATTGGCATTTTATTTGGAAAATGGATCTTGTTTGTGAAATCTGTTTTTTTATAAATAATTCACTGACGAAGTTTATTTTCCTTTTGGCAAAAGTTACATATTATTGTCAGATTATTTGATTATATAATCGTTATATTGTAAAATTCTTTTTATTTCATTAATTCTTTAAGACGTTACTGAATAATTTTCTCTTTTTTTATTATTTTCATGAACATCGCCATCGAATCAGCAGCTGTTGAAAAAGAAGACAACCTTGCTTCTCCAATTTTTGTTCAGGAATTAACACCATTAAATATTTCTGAAGGTGAAGAAATTTATTTAACAGCTACTGTTAAAGGAAATCCGCAACCTGTAGAAGTGATTTGGAAACATAATGGAAATATACTTCAGCCAGATATGACTGATGCTGTAATATTCTATACTCCTGAAACAGGTGTTTGTGAATTAACAATATCTGAAGCATTTCCTGAAGATTCAGGAATTTATTCTGTTGAAGTTCAGAATACTCTTGGTATGGCTGTTAGTCAAACTGAAGTAGTTGTATTGGTAGAGGTAAGGAAAGAACAAATTATTTTAAAGTCAGAAGATCAGAAAGCATCAATTGTTGAAGATATTTTGACTGTTGTTACTGATATTTCAGATGATAAAGCAGTTGTATCTACGGTCGAAAGTGTAGAGCTACTTAAACAAGAAGTAATTGTTAATATAGTGCAAACTGAAAAAACAGAAATGTTTTCACCGATTGAAACTCTTCCAGAAATACCGCAAGCGGCGATTTATGAACATATCATAGAGGAGACTGAATACGAAATAAGTTTGGAAGAACCGTTAGAGATTAGTGATGATGAGTTATTACTCGATGAAGGAGTTACACCGACTCATGTGGTTGTATTAGATGTTCTTATACCCCATGATTCCGTAAGCATTGATGAAACAAGTATAAGCGTAGAGGAAGCTGGCAGGGCTCTGTCAATCCCAAGTGTAACTGAAATTTCCTTACATGACGTTTCTTTAGCCGCAGTTTCAGATGTAAATGTAACAGAATTAAAACCTCTAGACGCCAATGTATTAACACAGGAAGAAAAACAAGAAATGCCTGAAAAAGAATATCCAATTCAAACGAATGATATTACGGGTGAAGAAACATCTGACAAACAAAAGAAAAATGAAATTCAAACCGAACAAACTGAAATGACAGAGGTAAGCACAAACAATGAACTCGAAAAAAACAAAACCACTAAAATAGAAGAAGAACGCCAAGCCACGAAGATATTTGAAACAGATGAAAAACAAACTGAGAAGGTGAAATATGAAAAGATCACCGTGAACGAGACCTTAGTGGAAACAGAAAAAGTCCCGGTCTCAATTGTGAGCGAAGGAGTGGTAGAGGTAACGGACGTGAAGAGCACAGTTGGAGTGGCAGAGGAATCTGGTAGTGTGGCGGAACAGGAGACTTTGGTTGTGGAGCAGGTGGCGGAATCCAAGGAGACTGTGACTGTTACGATGGAGGAGCGCATTGTACAGGAGGTGGAGAAGGAGTCCGTCCCAGAGACCATGGAGTGGGTTTCAGAGGGTGTTGGTGAGTTGGAGGAATCCGACCGTCAGGATAGTGCTCATGTTGTGGAGCAGCCGAATGAAGTAGATGTTGCAGTTTCTGAAACGCAAGTGGAGGTGGAGACTGTTGAGGTGGTGTCAGTGAAGGAGGCTGTGGTGGACGAGGTCCCAGTGGAATCGATGACAGTCTCGGTCTCAGGTGTGACGGAGGAGAAGAGCGTGGTCTCAGTGACAGAAGACTTTGCCATGGAGGTAGAGCAGGTGACTTTGACCATGGATGAGGTTCCGTCTCGTATGGAATCCCTGACGTCCTCAGCTGAAGAACGTGTTGTCAGTGAGGCTGTTCCACTGGAGGAGACGGTTTATGATGTGTATGAAACGGAAGAGGTTGAAGCTGTAACACGCCCCACCACTGACGCTGTCGCTTCTGGTGTTGTCTCCTCGACTACTCCTTCTCTGTCTGACGTTGTCAGTGTTGAAGAAGTTCCTTCCGAGGCGAGTTACTGATATGTGCATACACATAATGCACAGCCTTAGGCTTAGTGGCATGGCAAGTTCTTCTGCTTCAGTCGGTTTTGAAATAACTGGTGAATTTTTCGAGGTTTTATCATGGAAACTGTCAGATGTTGCGCCTCTTATTGCATGCATGTCCCGTTAGTTGAAAAGTTGTCTAGTACTCTCCTTGAGTCTCATCTCTTAACAAACATCATGCATTTGCATTGTTGTATTAGTGTTTGGATAAATGTGAATCTGAGACTGTTTGTTTCATCTGTGAATTTTTGTGAGGCGACATTTCACTTGTCATGGATTGTTCACCTGGTAACTTGTGACCCATTCATTTGATCTTTGTGTTTGTGAGAGAGTGTATTTGTTTCCTACTCCAAATGACTGACATATGTTGAATGTTGTGTTTGAAATGTGTGCGTTTGTGTGTGTGAGTGTGTTTTGTGGTATTTGTTGTTGTTGATGATGGTGTTGTGAGTGGGAATGGATTTATTGTTAGTAGAATATGTGTAACATTGGCTGGATTGTTCGCTCTGACATTTGGTTTTCCGGTAAATATTAACTCGCTTCCAGTTGATCGGTATTGTTAGTTGTCATTTACTAAATGTGATATGGTGATTGATTTTCTGATTGTGAAGCTGAGGAGTAGTCTGTTATTGAGTTATGTGTGGTTTCGATATTCAAGTGATGGGAGTATGTGTAGCTGCAAAATCCACCCATAAATGAATGTCGAGATATTCGGTTGTAGATGATGCCTGTTTGTGCTGAATAGTTGTGATGTGCATGAGTGATAAAGATGTTGATCCACTAGAATCGTTCCATGTCTGATATTGGTATGTCGTCTTTGTGTTGTGGCGTGTAGAAACAGGATTTTTAATGATGAGGAACGGAAGTGTTTAGCGTAGGTGGGTTGTCTGTGGAAGACAATATAATAATAGACTGGGATGTGATTTTGTTGATGTTGTTCTGTGTGTGAAGAATGACGATTGGCTAAACAAAGGGTATAGATGAGGACACTTTGTCGTGTGTGGAATTGCCTAAATGCATGACAGGTTTGATTGTGTTTCGGTGTTGCAGGGTTGGATGCTGAACCTATTCTCTCATTATGTTGCCTTTAGTATGTGACACTGACAACTGGAAGTGTTTGAATCGGGTGAAAAGTTTGTGTGTGATAGTACTGCGTTGACGTCTGTTATAAGCGACATCTGTTAAGCTGACTGAATCATGGACGATAAGTGTTGCTCTGAGTTTCTTGTCAGATGAATATGTGAGCGGTGATTAGTGAAGTTTATTAGACAGTGCCTAGTATTTAAAAGACTTGTGTGTAGTACTTTCGCATCCTGTTGTCTCTGATAAGATGTCAATTTGATCCCACCGCTTGATTTTGTTTCCCCGAATGCTGATACTTGAAACAAACACGTCATATTCATAATGTCGTTCTTTTGTATACCAGCAGGTAACGGAAGTCGGAGACACAGTGACCGAGAAGACCGCCGAGGTCATTGTTCAAGAAGGGAAGGAGTCTGTGTCACAGACCATGGAGTGGGTTTCAGAGGGTGTTTGTGAATTGGAGGAATCCGACCGTCAGGATAGTGCCTGTGTTGTGGAGCAGCCGAGTGAAGTAAGTGTGGCCGTTTCTGAAAAGCCCATGGAACTGGAGGCACGTGAGGAGGTCTCTGTGAAGGAGGTCGTGGTCGACAAGACCCCAGTGGAATCGGAGACAGTCCCGGTCTCAATTGTGAGCGAAGGAGTGGTAGAGGTAACGGACGTGAAGAGCACAGTTGGAGTGGCAGAGGAATCTGGTAGTGTGGCGGAACAGGAGACTTTGGTTGTGGAGCAGGTGGCGGAATCCAAGGAGACTGTGACTGTTACGATGGAGGAGCGCATTGTACAGGAGGTGGAGAAGGAGTCCGTCCCAGAGACCATGGAGTGGGTTTCAGAGGGTGTTGGTGAGTTGGAGGAATCCGACCGTCAGGATAGTGCTCATGTTGTGGAGCAGCCGAATGAAGTAGATGTTGCAGTTTCTGAAACGCAAGTGGAGGTGGAGACTGTTGAGGTGGTGTCAGTGAAGGAGGCTGTGGTGGACGAGGTCCCAGTGGAATCGATGACAGTCTCGGTCTCAGGTGTGACGGAGGAGAAGAGCGTGGTCTCAGTGACAGAAGACTTTGCCATGGAGGTAGAGCAGGTGACTTTGACCATGGATGAGGTTCCGTCTCGTATGGAATCCCTGACGTCCTCAGCTGAAGAACGTGTTGTCAGTGAGGCTGTTCCACTGGAGGAGACGGTTTATGATGTGTATGAAACGGAAGAGGTTGAAGCTGTAACACGCCCCACCACTGACGCTGTCGCTTCTGGTGTTGTCTCCTCGACTACTCCTTCTCTGTCTGACGTTGTCAGTGTTGAAGAAGTTCCTTCCGAGGCGAGTTACTGATATGTGCATACACATAATGCACAGCCTTAGGCTTAGTGGCATGGCAAGTTCTTCTGCTTCAGTCGGTTTTGAAATAACTGGTGAATTTTTCGAGGTTTTATCATGGAAACTGTCAGATGTTGCGCCTCTTATTGCATGCATGTCCCGTTAGTTGAAAAGTTGTCTAGTACTCTCCTTGAGTCTCATCTCTTAACAAACATCATGCATTTGCATTGTTGTATTAGTGTTTGGATAGATGTGAATCTGAGACTGTTTGTTTCATCTGTGAATTTTTGTGAGGCGACATTTCACTTGTCATGGATTGTTCACCTGGTAACTTGTGACCCATTCATTTGATCTTTGTGTTTGTGAGAGAGTGTATTTGTTTCCTACTCCAAATGACTGACATATGTTGAATGTTGTGTTTGAAATGTGTGCGTTTGTGTGTGTGAGTGTGTTTTGTGGTATTTGTTGTTGTTGATGATGGTGTTGTGAGTGGGAATGGATTTATTGTTAGTAGAATATGTGTAACATTGGCTGGATTGTTCGCTCTGACATTTGGTTTTCCGGTAAATATTAACTCGCTTCCAGTTGATCGGTATTGTTAGTTGTCATTTACTAAATGTGATATGGTGATTGATTTTCTGATTGTGAAGCTGAGGAGTAGTCTGTTATTGAGTTATGTGTGGTTTCGATATTCAAGTGATGGGAGTATGTGTAGCTGCAAAATCCACCCATAAATGAATGTCGAGATATTCGGTTGTAGATGATGCCTGTTTGTGCTGAATAGTTGTGATGTGCATGAGTGATAAAGATGTTGATCCACTAGAATCGTTCCATGTCTGATATTGGTATGTCGTCTTTGTGTTGTGGCGTGTAGAAACAGGATTTTTAATGATGAGGAACGGAAGTGTTTAGCGTAGGTGGGTTGTCTGTGGAAGACAATATAATAATAGACTGGGATGTGATTTTGTTGATGTTGTTCTGTGTGTGAAGAATGACGATTGGCTAAACAAAGGGTATAGATGAGGACACTTTGTCGTGTGTGGAATTGCATAAATGCATGACAGGTTTGATTGTGTTTCGGTGTTGCAGGGTTGGATGCTGAACCTATTCTCTCATTATGTTGCCTTTAGTATGTGACACTGACAACTGGAAGTGTTTGAATCGGGTGAAAAGTTTGTGTGTGATAGTACTGCGTTGACGTCTGTTATAAGCGACATCTGTTAAGCTGACTGAATCATGGACGATAAGTGTTGCTCTGAGTTTCTTGTCAGATGAATATGTGAGCGGTGATTAGTGAAGTTTATTAGACAGTGCCTAGTATTTAAAAGACTTGTGTGTAGTACTTTCGCATCCTGTTGTCTCTGATAAGATGTCAATTTGATCCCACCGCTTGATTTTGTTTCCCCGAATGCTGATACTTGAAACAAACACGTCATATTCATAATGTCGTTCTTTTGTATACCAGCAGGTAACGGAAGTCGGAGACACAGTGACCGAGAAGACCGCCGAGGTCATTGTTCAAGAAGGGAAGGAGTCTGTGTCACAGACCATGGAGTGGGTTTCAGAGGGTGTTTGTGAATTGGAGGAATCCGACCGTCAGGATAGTGCCTGTGTTGTGGAGCAGCCGAGTGAAGTAAGTGTGGCCGTTTCTGAAAAGCCCATGGAACTGGAGGCACGTGAGGAGGTCTCTGTGAAGGAGGTCGTGGTCGACAAGACCCCAGTGGAATCGGAGACAGTCCCGGTCTCAATTGTGAGCGAAGGAGTGGTAGAGGTAACGGACGTGAAGAGCACAGTTGGAGTGGCAGAGGAATCTGGTAGTGTGGCGGAACAGGAGACTTTGGTTGTGGAGCAGGTGGCGGAATCCAAGGAGACTGTGACTGTTACGATGGAGGAGCGCATTGTACAGGAGGTGGAGAAGGAGTCCGTCCCAGAGACCATGGAGTGGGTTTCAGAGGGTGTTGGTGAGTTGGAGGAATCCGACCGTCAGGATAGTGCTCATGTTGTGGAGCAGCCGAATGAAGTAGATGTTGCAGTTTCTGAAACGCAAGTGGAGGTGGAGACTGTTGAGGTGGTGTCAGTGAAGGAGGCTGTGGTGGACGAGGTCCCAGTGGAATCGATGACAGTCTCGGTCTCAGGTGTGACGGAGGAGAAGAGCGTGGTCTCAGTGACAGAAGACTTTGCCATGGAGGTAGAGCAGGTGACTTTGACCATGGATGAGGTTCCGTCTCGTATGGAATCCCTGACGTCCTCAGCTGAAGAACGTGTTGTCAGTGAGGCTGTTCCACTGGAGGAGACGGTTTATGATGTGTATGAAACGGAAGAGGTTGAAGCTGTAACACGCCCCACCACTGACGCTGTCGCTTCTGGTGTTGTCTCCTCGACTACTCCTTCTCTGTCTGACGTTGTCAGTGTTGAAGAAGTTCCTTCCGAGGCGAGTTACTGATATGTGCATACACATAATGCACAGCCTTAGGCTTAGTGGCATGGCAAGTTCTTCTGCTTCAGTCGGTTTTGAAATAACTGGTGAATTTTTCGAGGTTTTATCATGGAAACTGTCAGATGTTGCGCCTCTTATTGCATGCATGTCCCGTTAGTTGAAAAGTTGTCTAGTACTCTCCTTGAGTCTCATCTCTTAACAAACATCATGCATTTGCATTGTTGTATTAGTGTTTGGATAAATGTGAATCTGAGACTGTTTGTTTCATCTGTGAATTTTTGTGAGGCGACATTTCACTTGTCATGGATTGTTCACCTGGTAACTTGTGACCCATTCATTTGATCTTTGTGTTTGTGAGAGAGTGTATTTGTTTCCTACTCCAAATGACTGACATATGTTGAATGTTGTGTTTGAAATGTGTGCGTTTGTGTGTGTGAGTGTGTTTTGTGGTATTTGTTGTTGTTGATGATGGTGTTGTGAGTGGGAATGGATTTATTGTTAGTAGAATATGTGTAACATTGGCTGGATTGTTCGCTCTGACATTTGGTTTTCCGGTAAATATTAACTCGCTTCCAGTTGATCGGTATTGTTAGTTGTCATTTACTAAATGTGATATGGTGATTGATTTTCTGATTGTGAAGCTGAGGAGTAGTCTGTTATTGAGTTATGTGTGGTTTCGATATTCAAGTGATGGGAGTATGTGTAGCTGCAAAATCCACCCATAAATGAATGTCGAGATATTCGGTTGTAGATGATGCCTGTTTGTGCTGAATAGTTGTGATGTGCATGAGTGATAAAGATGTTGATCCACTAGAATCGTTCCATGTCTGATATTGGTATGTCGTCTTTGTGTTGTGGTGTGTAGAAACAGGATTTTTAATGATGAGGAACGGAAGTGTTTAGCGTAGGTGGGTTGTCTGTGGAAGACAATATAATAATAGACTGGGATGTGATTTTGTTGATGTTGTTCTGTGTGTGAAGAATGACGATTGGCTAAACAAAGGGTATAGATGAGGACACTTTGTCGTGTGTGGAATTGCCTAAATGCATGACAGGTTTGATTGTGTTTCGGTGTTGCAGAGTTGGATGCTGAACCTATTCTCTCATTATGTTGCCTTTAGTATGTGACACTGACAACTGGAAGTGTTTGAATCGGGTGAAAAGTTTGTGTGTGATAGTACTGCGTTGACGTCTGTTATAAGCGACATCTGTTAAGCTGACTGAATCATGGACGATAAGTGTTGCTCTGAGTTTCTTGTCAGATGAATATGTGAGCGGTGATTAGTGAAGTTTATTAGACAGTGCCTAGTATTTAAAAGACTTGTGTGTAGTACTTTCGCATCCTGTTGTCTCTGATAAGATGTCAATTTGATCCCACCGCTTGATTTTGTTTCCCCGAATGCTGATACTTGAAACAAACACGTCATATTCATAATGTCGTTCTTTTGTATACCAGCAGGTAACGGAAGTCGGAGACACAGTGACCGAGAAGACCGCCGAGGTCATTGTTCAAGAAGGGAAGGAGTCTGTGTCACAGACCATGGAGTGGGTTTCAGAGGGTGTTTGTGAATTGGAGGAATCCGACCGTCAGGATAGTACCTGTGTTGTGGAGCAGCCGAGTGAAGTAAGTGTGGCCGTTTCTGAAAAGCCCATGGAACTGGAGGCACGTGAGGAGGTCTCTGTGAAGGAGGTCGTGGTCGACAAGACCCCAGTGGAATCGGAGACAGTCCCGGTCTCAATTGTGAGCGAAGGAGTGGTAGAGGTAACGGACGTGAAGAGCACAGTTGGAGTGGCAGAGGAATCTGGTAGTGTGGCGGAACAGGAGACTTTGGTTGTGGAGCAGGTGGCGGAATCCAAGGAGACTGTGACTGTTACGATGGAGGAGCGCATTGTACAGGAGGTGGAGAAGGAGTCCGTCCCAGAGACCATGGAGTGGGTTTCAGAGGGTGTTGGTGAGTTGGAGGAATCCGACCGTCAGGATAGTGCTCATGTTGTGGAGCAGCCGAATGAAGTAGATGTTGCAGTTTCTGAAACGCAAGTGGAGGTGGAGACTGTTGAGGTGGTGTCAGTGAAGGAGGCTGTGGTGGACGAGGTCCCAGTGGAATCGATGACAGTCTCGGTCTCAGGTGTGACGGAGGAGAAGAGCGTGGTCTCAGTGACAGAAGACTTTGCCATGGAGGTAGAGCAGGTGACTTTGACCATGGATGAGGTTCCGTCTCGTATGGAATCCCTGACGTCCTCAGCTGAAGAACGTGTTGTCAGTGAGGCTGTTCCACTGGAGGAGACGGTTTATGATGTGTATGAAACGGAAGAGGTTGAAGCTGTAACACGCCCCACCACTGACGCTGTCGCTTCTGGTGTTGTCTCCTCGACTACTCCTTCTCTGTCTGACGTTGTCAGTGTTGAAGAAGTTCCTTCCGAGGCGAGTTACTGATATGTGCATACACATAATGCACAGCCTTAGGCTTAGTGGCATGGCAAGTTCTTCTGCTTCAGTCGGTTTTGAAATAACTGGTGAATTTTTCGAGGTTTTATCATGGAAACTGTCAGATGTTGCGCCTCTTAT